ATATATATGTGCAGTGGTTTCAAAGCTTCATGGAAAGCACGTGCATTGTGTATTGAGATAAACAATCGTTGCACTTCCAAAGGCATTTAAAACCTTCAAACTTCGGACAAATTTCAGTCTCGAGAAACAAGCGCCCTTACCAGACGGCAGGATTGTGATCCCCTCTCTACAAGAACTCTCCAAACCTTCACCGTAAACTAATCATCAGCTGAGTGTGAAGTGGCTGGAAACCTCACCCAGAACGGCGAAATTACAGACTGGGACTTTGGGGGGTCTTTCAACTTCTATAATGGCAATTCCATCCTGCAGTCACTCCAACGCAATACCTCTAACTGACGTAATCGTCTTCTTCATGGCATGGTTACAAAACAGTTAGTGATTCCAATGCGTGAACCTTTGATACACATATATATGTGCAGTGGTTTCAAAGCTTCATGGAAAGCACGTGCATTGTGTATTGAGATAAACAATCGTTGCACTTCCAAAGGCATTTAAAACCTTCAAACTTCGGACAAATTTCAGTCTCGAGAAACAAGCGCCCTAACAGTGGACATGCATCTCAGAAACCATCAACTGTTCTGTGTTGAAAGTGTTCAGTGATGGGCTTCGTCTTCACGGAATATAATACAATAAAGCTATCCTAACATAGTCGGTTTAAACGGTTCGACGTTCGCACACATCTTTAAATACCCATGTAAACGTCCTTAACAATAACATGTCCGGAAAGAGAGGTTTCCAGTTTAACAGGGTTCCACTACATATTGTGTAGACATTTTCAGGTCAACACGAAAGTCCCGTGTTTATCCGCCAGTGATGGAATGTACCCGACAATTGACTGGCGTAATGCAATACGCAAGATTAACAGGGACGCGTGTAAGACGATACAGAATAGACAATGATGCATATTTCACCACGTATATATATTTTCAATGCAATCTTTATGCATAGTTACAAGCAATGTCAGATTTAATCATGTTAGAAATGTAATGGTATTCACAGTTGACATATATTACTGCTTTAAACACACAACTGATAATTAACGTTACTATACTACTTATTCGTATTCAAGTGTTGATTGGGAGAATAGTACCAATGTGACATGTTAATGTAAAACGTCAACGCATTGAAGTATTGCGCAATAACGTCACACAACACAGACATGGGGAGCATTGGCTCCTTAGTGCGCGTGTGTCGGCACAACGGGATGCGGTTGTACAAAGAGTTCTCAGCGCTGAGGTGATCCATACTTCCATACTTTAACATAGACTTACGATTATCGTAGCGCTGAGGTTATATTCAACGGCACCCAGAAGTCGAGGGTTTATATATATTTCTTCTAGACGTAAAGTGTTGTAAAATGTGCAAGAACTTTGTCTCACGTTTTCACAATTTACAAAGTTTAATAGTCTGTGAATTCGTTTGCAACGCTACGATTAGAACTTTCTTGTGTCCCTCTTGGAGAATTTTTGAAGAGGGAACGGGGTTAATTGTGAATGAGAGACAGTGAGCAACTTGGACTGAACTCAATTTTGAACATTACAGTTATATCACAGCAATACAGCTTATTGCGTGCGTGAGCCAGAATTGATGCAGGTCGTTGATAGACGTGTATGGCATTGCACGTACGGGCAAACGTGTTTGGTGGCGGCCAGATGAGAAAGTAGTGATGATCGACCTCCCTGTCGTCCAAACTGACACGTAGCTTTGTTCAATGCAATACATGACATACCGGGGACGCCAAAGATTCCAAACACACCCGCCACTCGCCCCCATTGCTCACTACTATACTACCATTTCAGTTCAAATGCAAGCTTCGTGAATACTGCATGATCAGAAATCAAATGTCAGTAGTGTGGATGTGAAGATAAAACATCAGTTGGAACATACCCTCGAATTTAAAACATGTTTTTACGAAGCCAGTTTTGATGATAAACATAATGATATAATGACATCCTCCAAACCGATGTTGTAAAGATAAAAAACATAATGTCCCTCTGTTTCCCTGGTGTGGGTCGCCTCTCTGAAGTTCAGTAGTAGAATGACGTGGCTACATCCCTGATAATGCCGGGCACCCGAGCCTCTCTGTATCTATACGTCTTGTAGCAGTAGTAGATGAGACCGCCTGTGTTCGCACACAGTCCTATTACAGCTACAGCAACGTCTACAATCTCCATACCTTTCCCAAACACAGACAAGCCGTCAAATTTGTCTTTATATTCCAAGTTGTCCGCAACACCAGTACATTTGGACGCCGTGTACTTTAAATCGTGGATGCTGTTCAGAAGCGATATGACAGGCAACAAAGTCAACAGGGTATACTGAAATGGATACTTTTTCTTTGGTCCAGTCGACATTTCACAAAACAATTCCAGTATTTCCTTAAAGTGATTCTGGCTCATTTCAAAGGACGTTATTTCACCCAATGCCTCTTTAACGGCGTTGTTGTTGTGACGGTTACGTCCAACGTTGACGGCGTAACTGACAGCGCTACCAGCCAGAGCGATGACCGAGCCAGACAGAGTTATGTTAAGTGACTGGGTGTAGTTCACAAAGGTCCACACGAACCCGGCAAATATAAGGCCAGAGCCGATAACTCCCACTATGAGACAACCCACTTTCACCAAATCTAGACACCGCTGTTTTTTATCCAACTCTCTGGCGATGGATACTCCACATTGCCGGTGCGCTGCTTGTCTCCGAAACCTCGCATGCCAAGGTCACTCATAATGCTGATGAAGCTGAATAGAATATTATAATGAAAGGTACATAAAACATGATCCAATTTGTCATTGTTTTGTCACCTCGAGCCAATATAACCTTGAATTACATCGTTCGTATCCAACACAAATCAAGTCACTACCTCTGAAGCACACCAGTTGAACAGATTCAAAATTTTAATAAATACATTATTTATATAACATGTTCATGATTTTATTAAAGAACATATCAGAGTAGATATATTCCCGACAGATATTATAATGATATGATGTTAAACATATAATCTCAGTACAGGCGAGCGTGAAATGAATGCCTCCATATCGTCATGTTTCTGTTTCAGTATTTCATGAACGGAACTGCACACACTCTTATACATAATACGGCTTTTTGTGGCTACAAAGTTATGCTCATATGTATCAGTAGGTTTTTTGTTAAGATAAGGATTATTGCCATTTGAATAAAATCGTACCTGTTATTGCTGGTATGAACTTGAACAACCCTAATAACGTTCAGCGCTATATATCAGCGAAGTAGGTGTGTTGTATTGTAACACACAGAGCATGAGAACATCATCCAAATAGGTTTGGCTAGGGTTCATCTTACCTAATTTGATCCTATTAGTGTCTTATTACACGCCAGCAATGTCCTTACTATCACTCGTGTCATTGAATACATGCATAATATGTATTTCATTTCTCATTTTACAACATTGACTGTGACTTTGTATGAGTTATGATTGACGGTTCCAAGCGTTATAAAACACCGAGCAACAATAATTGGCTTCACACATTCGAGTGAGGTGAAGTGGGGTTACACGTTGCGTTCAACACCATTGCACCCATATAGCGACGTGCATGAACGTGTGTGTGTTGCCTGCCTGTTCTACTTGTTTTGTTCTGCTAGCACTAATGCCGGTTGTAAAGCGCTAGCTTATTGAGATACCAGTCCTTGTTTCATCCGAGACATCCTTATACCGATACACTATATCCACTTGACCACGGGGGCACCCCCTCACAGTTCACTCACTGATTTTCAGACATCAATTCATATAATTGCCAACACCATCTTGCTCAACCGATTGGACATAAATGTTCCTGGAAGTAAGCATGGACTCATAAGACCATGTATCATACTGTTTTTTTTGTGCCATGATACCATTATTAGCTGAAACTGACGTCCATACGTTTGGCCATTATACCAACTGAGGAAGTTATTCACACACGTCTCGTACACTTTGTGTATCGAGAGGCTACACATGAATGCTGGTGTGATGTAGAAAATACGACGCACCTGTGAACTCATTCCATTCAGTGAGAAGCTGAATTCATGAAGAAATCAACGACAACAGAAGTACCATGCCATCTTCAAATTTCAATTCCGAGACATACTTCCTGGACGTGTGAGTCATCACGCATCATGCTTACTACCAGTTGACAGTGACTTCATATCCTTTTTACTAACATGTGTGCCATACTATATTGATACCGCTGGTGAAGTCTATGTTTTGTTGAATTAGGCACCAGAGTTGTTTCAGCAACAGCTGCATATCCAGGTATTTTCTTCATTCAGACTTTGAGTCAAAATATTTTTGGTAATGTAAATTTGTCTAGGGAGTCAGTTTCTTTTTATTCCGACAATATGAATTAAGGATAATTATTGTTTCAAGAACTATCGGAAACAATACGAGGGACAGATAACCCGTAGGTTTCTCTCTATGTTACTATTTGGCTAAAGACTAAAGAGAAATCAACCCAACAGAGAATTATTACTGAAGGCAACACACGGTTCAAATTACATAATGGAATAAATTCGGGACGTCTTCGACAATTTGATGACGTTATTATATTCTATTTTTCTCTAAATAAATGCGTGAGTGAGTGAGTTGGATTTAACGCCGCTTTTAACAGTATTTCAGTTATATCACGGCGTGTCAGCTTAATGTTGGAGAAAAGTCCGAAGTGATGTAGGTCTCGGATGTTTACCACTTGGTGAAACCAGTGGTTATTGTGCTGAGAAACCTGGAAACTCAATGGGGCGAACAGCGATTCGAGCCCACAATCATAATTTCTGTCGAGCCCAAGGGACGCAACTCTGCACTGCGAATTGCAATTGGAGCAACCACCCGTGCCCCCTTCTCGATAACAATGCACGGTGACGTATATCAATTGAGAGGACAACACCTAACAACCATGCTATGTTTATAGCACACTGTGTTTGACAAGGCTTAAGAAGGTCAGTATTATAAATCAACTTTAATACATTCGTCATGTTAACATCTGGCCGCTCAGATGACGGATACACGTCTTTTTACAAACTGTGAGTTAACGCAAGTCCCGATCATACAATCTCCGCCGCACATTGTATAGGCACGCTGCTGACATAGATTATACAATATATCTCCGCAGGACGTGACGCCTCCGTGAACACAGGAGTAGGTCAACACATGGGTTGAGTCGCAAGTCAAAGGTTGCAATTGGTTAATGTATGTCGTTGATATACACGTGTAGCTCTTCACATGGTGTGTGGGTGCAGGTCATTTACAAAGGAGTTGTTCGATCCGTCATTCGTGAATTGTGTGGTCAATAAAGGTATGTGCACGTTTTGTACAGGGACATCATGCAGATGACTGGCGCTATGCTTACTTTAGTTCCGCTCATGTTGTTCAGTAGCCGTCATGTAAATGTTGACATGGACAATCTTACCCTCCTGTCTGTGATGTCAAATATATCAGCACGAACCGAGGGTTGGCATGAGTTGATATATTTCAGATTAAAAGACACGACGGTGAGAATTTTATCATCATCTAATACACTCAAACAATTTATTGAGGATCACGTTAAACTATTTTGAGACCACCATTATATAGGTATTTGAAAGGCATTTAGCAGTGTTACACGTAAGGAAGAGAATATATGGATGTCAACTTCTTTATTATGAGGAACACAACGTTTCGGAGTATATGCTTACTCCTTCATAACCTGATGAAGGAGTAAGAATATACTCCCAAACGTTGTGTTCCTCATAATAAATGAGTTGACATCCATATATTCTCTTCCCCACCATTATTCCCCACCATTATATAAATATATATATAAGCAATATCTCTCACGAAATTATCAAAAAGCAACACAGATATTTGTAGCTTTAACATGTGAAGAAAGGGTGCGATGTATTTAAAAACTAACTATCTTCGTATTACCTGTTTTCACAAATGCAACACACATGCCTTTCTCGTGTGCAAGATGATAAATACTATTGTGTATCGTTTGATCTCAACAAGCGATATCTCCACTGGGACCCAGTATCCGATGATATATACAGTTAAAGATCGAATGAGTCACAAATTAATTTGATAACAAAGGAACGAATAGGTTGATTTATATGTAATCGAACCTTACTATTTTTATGACAGCATAACAGGTCATGAATCAGTGTTTTACTGTAGTGTGGCAGTATATTGAATCGCTCGTAAATTATCGAGCATTTGACGTCGTGTCATGATTGAATTCAGGCGCCCGTTCCACAAAATTACCATAGGTTATCGCTGAGGTTATCGAAACTAACATACATGTACTTTAACTTAGACTAACGACTGTCAATCTTTGTTCGTGAAACGTGTTCCGAGAGTACATAAGGACACGTTTTGGTAATACACAATGTGTAAAACAACTGTATAAAATTATTAACTGTTTTGATCTATCTGTGTGATCCTTTGTTGCCTGCTGAGTTCACCTGCTTCCTTCCAGCAGCTTCAGAGGTGAAAGTGCTTGACTTCAACGTAAGATGATCCGTGAACTTATACTTGTACAGGCTCATGAACCTCTGTCCACTGAGCAGTTGCTTAGAGGAAAAACTTTTTTTTTCAATGTGTACAACTACTCCCCACAAATGATACAATGTCGAGTAGGAACAATTATGTTTTAGCTGTTATTGTGCTATAAACACGAGTGTGATGTGTTCGACAGTACCACGAAGATGTCTTCGCCCAAAGTAATCATCTGCTATTGTAAGAAAGAGATGTCAGCTATAATTCAGGGAGAACTGCCGGGTGCTGACGTCGAGCTGTTCACAAAGCCTTTATCAGGTAAGACGCTCGTGGCAACACAGCCTGTGTGCTATTTCCCCTTCTTTCAAATGTTTCATTAATTACGCTTTTCCTCAGTTTTTGGTCCATTCACAAAGCAAAAAATTGTTTCCATAATCACAAGAAATACCTGTTGAGTCCACTGCACGATTACATCATAAGCATAATTATACTTATAAATCACTATCAGGTGTAATCCAATTCATTCATAAGCGCCCGATTTGCTAGGATAACAATGTATCCGTGTTAATTGAATTCCTAATAATTAAATATAAACTTTTGGCAACTGAGGTTAAACATGCATATTAAGTGAATGTGAATGAAACCGTATACATGTGTACAGCAAGTGTTTGATTTTAATGACATTATTTTTGATGTACAATTGTAACTCACCCACTCACTCACAAGTTTTTCTTTGACCCACCAGGAGCACAGAGACCTTATGGGTGTTAGGCTAAAATTATGCTATGACGTCATGACGACGTTTGACGTAAACTTACTTCAGTGGAGATAGCCATGTGTGATGTCATGTATCTCTGAAATAAATATGAGTTTGTGAATTGTATTTTCTTGTTTCGAAGATGCTGTAGTTTTAAAGTATAATGAAAAGTCAAATTGTGAATTTTCACCCATAAGGTCCTCAACTCATGGTTGGTCTCATATAATGAATGATATGTGATATAGACCTTGGGAATGAGTGAGCAAGTAAGTTTGGTTAACACCACTTTAAACAGTATTTCTGTGACATCACGGCTTGTCAGCGAAGGGGAAAGCCAGAAGTGATGGAGGTGAAGGTTACCGACGAGCACAGTTATGGTGACTACACACCCAGAAACATAGTCAGGTCGAACGAACCGGGATGTTTCGATTAATACAATCAAATACACGCCTGACTGCCCTCATTGGTACATTGTGGACGGGATGTAAATTCACAACAAACTCGTATAACATACAGGACACAAGTATAAATAGGCAGATGCATTTTCCACAAAATAACGTGACTGTACGTCACCTTCTAGATTCTGCCTTAGCTGAGAAGGCGGCTGTCCTCTCTCAGGCAGAGGTCATGTTCGGGTCACCGCCGTTGATGACGAATATCATCCCACGATGCACCAACCTCAAGTGGATCCAGTCGGCAACAGCGGGTAAATTAATATTCTCTCTATGAAGGGGCATTTATGATGATTAAAACAACTCTCATGATACGATTAAAGCATATGTAAACGGAAAAAGGTAAATGTGCTTCATATAAAGTTGTATAAATGTTATGTTATTGGAAATAACAACAGAACATTTGGTCATCCGTCTGATCAGTGTTGTGTCAAATTATGTCTACCCCAAGCTGAGCGCGCCTGATGGTGACGTGGAAGCAAAATTGGGCGTATCGCGTGACGTCGAAGCTGGATGTTGTGCTCCGTCAACCTACGTTTGTGCCACTAATTGGTCTCAACTGAGGAATTGTCCGAGCTTTCAATGTGGCAGTTTGGTATCGATTCCGTAGTTGCACCAACCGAATCTGGTTGTCTTGTTGACGTGACGTAACATGTAGACGACCGGCCTGTGGCAAGTCATGAGTGTTGCCCTTCTGTAGATAACGCCTCCAAAGAGATGATATCGTCTTTCGAAGAACATTAATATGTCTGGCAACTTCTTTTTTGCGCCATTGCGCTGTTTTTTTAGCACGTAATGACATTGCGTGAGCGTTATTTACTGTCAAAGCACCTGATGGCTAACCAATCGTGTGTTGTTCATATTCAACAACTACGAGTGTAATTATCATACTCCCAACAAACACGCAGACATCCAAATTGCGCACCGTGCATTGACATGCACGTGCAAATTGTGAATCACGACTTTAAAGTCTAGATATCTTCCTTCAGGAGTATGTACGTATTATACATTATTTAATTTCAGAATAATTTTTTATTAATTGAAAACTTACCGTTTCCGTTACCACGCATTTAACTATTTCAAGTACACATCTACTGCAGTCAAGTCAATACGTGTACAATTGCTTATTGATCTGAAATATGTATATGCTCTAGGTGTGGAGACGATCATGAAAGCAGTAACAGACAGTGAGGTAATACAACAAGCTTTTCATACCATAAGATGAACATTTGGATATGTAGGGGCGGTGTGGTACCCTAGTGGTTGAAGCGTCGGCTTGTGGGTTCTCTTGTGGTTGAAGCGTTCGCTTGTGGGTACCCTAGTGCTTGAAGCGTTCGCCCGTCATGCCGAAGACCATGGTTCAATTCACCACATGGGTACAATGGTTTCCCTCGCTGTGTTATTGCTGGAATATTTAATAAAACAGGGGTTAAACTAACTCATTCACGCACTCACTCACTTATTTGGGTATGCAGGATTTGCCATGGCTGCACATTGGAGTCTTTCATGTGTATCGATGATTAACTGAAATTGAATAATATTTAAAGAAGCGTACAAGTTACGCGGAATTACGTGGCGAGGAACTTTGAACATTAGTCTACAATAGTAATTCCAAATTGCGGGGAGATTGTTTTATAGCCATTTCCTTCTGAATAATGTGCATATCCTGACGTGGAGAACACAATTTAGTTAGTATGTTGTTGACACTTGACATGAAGAATTGTAGATGTAAATATGACATTACGTTGCTATGAACCTCCTAACAATGACATTGATTGAACTGTTGGAACGAACTTCCTAACAAACATGAAAAACATATGATGATAATGAAGTTTAGAAATCAATTTCACCTATAATCGTGCCGATACTGTTCTATTTTTCAATAGGTCAACACGGACATCATAGTCACCCGCAACGGAGAAACTTTTGCCAAGTCAATGTCCGAGCACATTCTGTCACTGATACTGGCTTCGAACAGAGGCCTCTACAAGTGTAACGACCAGCAGAGGCAGGCGGTGTATAAGCGGTATTGTCATGGTTTCATTTTGTGTCAAATAAACGTGCCTCACAACTTCATATATTCAAAATGCCGTTATTTCACCATAAATATATGGAACGTATTCGTAGTTTAGCGGTAGAGGGTCCGCCAGGAGAGCTTCGATCTCCGGCCGCGTCATACCAAAAGACGTTAAAAGATGGTACTTGTTGTCATCCTGTCTGGCGCTCGGCATTAGGGGACTGAAAACGATACACTTGGACGCGACGTTAAACCTCATTTGACCTTCACCTTCATATGCCACATACATGATATATATCAAATAATACTTATTTCTGCAGATAAGGCCAACTATCACAGTCTGTTACAACTGCACTAATGAAGACAGCAAAGAGACACGTCCAGTTTATAGAAAAAAACATGAAATGGAAAACAAAAAGCGAGAAAATATTATTTTGTTTCGTGTGACTAAGTTAACTATGACACTAGTAGTGCCAGATACGTTACACAATCACGTCTTCCAAGTGGGTGAAAAAGGATGTATAAGTCCTGACTAAAGAACTCATGAGTCATAATTAACACAATCTCTTCTCACCAATGTAACTGCAGCAGACATATGTGTGATCACTTGCCAAAGTGAAGCAATAACTAACAAATGTCATCTCGTGTTTTCATTTCAGACATAACCTTCTTGCAAAACCCCTTTCCTTATCGTCAGTTGGGATTTTAGGCCTTGGCTGCATTGGTAGAGAAAGTAAGCAAGTCTTGTTTTATTATGTTGGTGTTGTTTCACTTAATTCATATGAGTGTTGTTCTTGGGTGCGGTGTCAAGAGACACTGATATTGTGTTGGTTCTCTCCTTTCACTATCAGCTGCCAGAAGATGCAAGGTCTTTGAACTGAAGGTGTGGGGCATGACACGAGGTGCAGTGGCAGAAGATAAGAAGTCCCCGTATGTTGACGAATACAGGTATGTAACATACACAATTATACATAATATGATGTGATGCAGGAAATGTTGATATGCACGAAAGCGCTTGACACACAAGACACTTGACTGGAACGCACGAAATGTGAAAGTAGTACATCCGTGGTCCGCATGTTCTTTTGTGCATGATCCCACTGAATACGTCAAAATACTCTTTAAGCTTTTACATTCACATCGTGCTGTTGTGTATGGACCCAGGGTTGCGACCCAACAAGAATATAATCTTGTCAGGCCCATTCGTAGTCTTGTCGGCGCAATATTGCTGGAATCTAACTGAATGCGGCATCAAACCTCACTCACTCACTCACAACGCAGATAAACGCACGTCATGAACGATTTTCAGGAAAATGTTTAAATCGTTTCCACAGGACGATGAGCGACTTACATGAGATGTTATCTGAATGTGACTACATCGTGAACATACTACCGTCGACTGCAGTGACTCGTGGGCTGCTGGCGGGAGATGTGTTTTCTCACTGCAAGCGGGTACGTACATGTGTATATGTACCATACATAGGTGATGCTGTAAGCACTGACATAATAATCAAATAATTATTATTTAAGGATGCGATTACCTTTCGCAAACACCTTGCATAACAAGTTGATAGTGGTTCATAAACACATGCTAAAGCTATAGTCGGAATTGTACAAAGATGCTTTTTGTAGAGATGTCTTATGACTATAGAGGCCTTTAAGGGTTCTAGCGCTTTTAGTTATACATTCTGTTTTGAAAACGTTAAAATTGCGGCCACAGGGATATGTACATATGCTTCATTACATTATTCGGACGTTTAAATAGAAAGGGTGTGGCTTTTTCAGAGATGGCAGATTACAAAAGATAAAAATATGTTTTCTATGGTACTTATGTTTGTGTATTTGCGTGGTACTTATAAGAACATAACTGTACATTAACTATTATATGTTTAATGTATTGTCTTGAGTGTTATGTTTCACGTTGAATGTTATCCAGGGTGCCACTTTTATCAATGTTGGACGAGGTGATATAACGGATGAAGAGAGTGTCCTTAAGGCTCTCAGGTAGGTTAACGTGACTTTTGATGCATCAAAAATTGTCAATGCAAGAGAAAAAAATTTTCCGCCGAAACAGATTTGACTTGACGTAAAGGGCAAAAGCTGTAGAAAATCAGTCGTGACACCAGGTGTTTGCGAAAAGGGTAAGCATATCCTGCCCTACCGGAAGTACCCGTCATTCATACAATTTACATAAAAGAGTAGGTATTTAACACCTGACGCAGCACAACAGTACTCCTGCTGTGCGATGTCAGCGTGTACACAAACCAGACAATCAAGTGATCGATGAACCATAAAATCCAGTGACACGAGAGAAGCGTTACTCATTTTGTTGAAACTAATGAAAACGGTAATACTATGTTAATTTTGAATTACGGCGCTGATACAGTTGACAGTAGATGGCGTGGGGTTAGTTTTTAAAGGCTACAAGGTGTTGAACTTGTATTGCCTTCTCCTCATGAGTCTTATAATGGTGCGGGGGCACGGGTGGCCCACTCGTCTTAGGCGCCGCGATTCGCTGTGCAGAGTTGCGTCCCTTTGGCTCGACAGAAACCTATGATTGTGGGTTCGAATCCCGGTTCGCCCCGATTATGTTTCTAGGTTTGTCAGCACCATACCCGTGCTCGTGGGTTTCACCGAAGTGGTAAACGTCTGAGACCTGCATCACTTCGGGCTTTCCTCCAACATTAGGCTGGCACGCCGTGATGTGACTGGAATATTGTTAGAAGCGGCGTTAAACCCAACTTAGTCTTATCTTGGTGCCATAGTATGGTTGTACATACTATATGGAGGCAGCTCGACGTCCTCTTACCGGGAAATTCCCATCTTCAGCAACCCATGCTTGTCGCAAGGGGCTCTCTGACTTGCTTGATGCAATCAATTGATACGTATGCGTAGATTGATGCTCATGATGTTAATCACAGGATTGTCTAGTCCAGACACGATTATTTACAAACGCCGTCATATTGCTGGTATGTTCTTGAGTGCGCTGCGGCGTTAAAACAACAAACGAGCAAACAAAGCGTGACATGATCTTGTCGAGTCTCTTTTTTGTATAGCTTTTGTGCATGTAACTAACTTTACAAGTGTTTCACAATCAATCAATGTTTACTGAAGTACTGAAAGGCCCACACCTTCAGCACATATAACACATCTAAACCATTGTGTAGACATTTATTCCTGTACAATGCGTGGTTTGTGAAAATCGACACTTATTTTCTCCTTAATGTGGAGTAGCAAGGACATACAAGTAGACAGTGATATTCATCCTCGTTAACTTACATGCTATTTGTTACTTGCATCATTGTGTCACAAGCAGAACACAAAAAGGCGAAGCGAAGCAATTTAAAAATAGCAAAGGCTGGATTGTGGTTATGTTAAAACCTTCAATATACCAATTCAGTATCAAGAATGTACTATTGTTGTTAGATTGTATGTAAATATGACTTGACATTATCTCGTCATACCATTACCAGACGGCAGGATTGTGATCCCCTCTCTACAAGAACTCTCCAAACCTTCACCGTAAACTAATCATCAGCTGAGTGTGAAGTAGGTATAAATACATCATAAGTATTAACTACTTTATAAATTGACAACGAATTATGGTGACAACGAACGCATTTAGAGCATCAAGAGTTATCTCCCTTGTCATACCACCCGATCGAATGTTCATGTCGATATTTAGGTTGTGCTGATGTCGACTCTGTGATGCTAATCTTCCTGCAGGAACAAGTGGTTACAGTATGCTGCACTGGACGTCCACAACCCCGAGCCGCTGCCAGAAAGTAGCCCCCTGTGGAGCGAGCCGGGGGTCATCATAACGCCCCACATGTCTGGCGGGCACATATCGAATCAAGGTTTCGTACAAGACGTAAGTTAGTCATGCATGTGTGCGCAGTATCTCCGTGTATTAGTTGAAATGCACACACGTACATAGAAACAATATGTGGTATGTTAGACGTCATTGTCACGTGTGTTCAAAGTAGAAAATGGACGTGACCGCCTCCTTGTTCTAGTGGTAGAGCGTCCGACCGGAGAGTGGAGGGTCCGGTGTTCAATCGCAGGGCGCGTCATACCAAAAGACATTAAAGATGGTACTTGTTGTTACCCTGTCTGGCGCTCGGCATTAAGGGGCTGAAATGGACTGGTTGGCTCCGAGTGAGTAAACTGTGTCTGAGTGGGGCATTCATGTTAGACTGCGGCATGGTATCTCAGTGGGCTCGGACTCAGCATTTTACACCGGACTAGTACAAGCAGACACACACACACACACGTCGCTATATAAGTGCAATAATCTTGGACGCGACGATAAACCCCATTTCACCTCACCTTTGAATGGATGGTCTTGTGTGTCTTTAGAAATGATAATTGTTACGTTATAATGTTGCAGAGAGCCGATATGTTTGTGAAACAATATCGCCGCTACGTTAACAACCAACCTTTGGAATACGTAGTTGATGAGGACAGAGGCTACTGATGACGGCCCAAGTAGCGTTTAACCGAAGAGAAGCCCAGTAAACATATATGACTTTAAAGGAGGTTAAATAGATGGAAACATATTCCTAACGAGACGTAGATATCAAGTATGCATATATTTCTTTTATGGTGGAAAAGGTGATGGGTGAATGTTTCTTCACGCCGCGGCCAGCATTACTCAAGGTACACCATGGCGGACTGTTGTGTCGCAGTCAGGTAAACCAGTGGTACCCATGGCCAGCATGTACAACGCTCCATATCAGGCATTGTGACGTTATTATCATCACTTCAGTCGGCTCTGTCGTCGAGCCTAGACACGAGGGACCCAACGGTCAAACTCACTGACTAAATGTATGCTAAAGCGCAAAGTTCGAGATTAAAGGGTCTAAATGAACAGAAACAACGATTCGGTATGTATTCGTGCTAGGATATTTCCAGGAATGTGAAAGTAGTCCGTCAGTGTTAACGTTATTTCAAGAATACAGTCGCGTGAAAAAAGCATTAACGTCAAAATGCGTCGTTCATATACCCTTTAACGTCAGTTTCGTGGTCATGTGACAAAACTATCGTCCAAAGGAAAATCCGCATGTCTTGTAAACTTCACATTAAAAAGTTATTCCTTTATTAAACCGTTTTGATATGATATTGTTTATTACCGACAGCAACAGCACCTGAATATTGGCTATGAGATGACAAGGGTCCATTCACAAAGTGAAATGAAAGTCAATAATATGTGTATGGCCTCCTCTGTGTTGGATGCATTCTGTACAGCGTCGCCTCGGGGACCTGACAGGTCCCCTAACAGTTGCCTGAGGGACGGCTGGTGCTTGGAGAAACTGAATGAGCTGTTGATGATTCACAGAAGGTGGGTGATCAGGCACGACACCCCGACCAAGGACGTCCCAAAGATGCTCCATCGGTGCCAGATCCCGGAAGGGTGCTGTCCAGTGCATCCTTACAATCCCATTTTGGTTAATGAAGTGTGTAACAAAACGAACTCGGTGGGGTCTGGCATTGTCATCTTGGAGTGTGTCATCAGATCCAAAACATTGAAAGCAGGAGTGACAAGAGCCGAGTCTCATTTCTGATGTACAATCTTGTTAGATTTCCATTGACATGATACAAAGGGGCTCGGTGATGAAGCTTGAAACCACACGTACCACAACTGACCCACCATCAAATCAGTCACCTTCGTGTATATCACTGAAGCGTTCATCTCGACATCTAGAGACGTCTTACAATGGTTGAACTGGAGGCTGAAGCGAGACTTAAACCAACGCCGGCGACCACTGCTGCCTTTTCCAGTGGCCATGAAGCCTGTACCAAACAAGGCGAGCAGCTGGATGATGATATAGAAGATGTGGTCTTACAGCTGGACGTCTTGAATTGATTCTGGCGGCACCGACACGGTTCCTTATGGTCTGTGCACTGACATTCACGTGCGTATCTACCTGTAAGTGGTGTTTGTCTCAGTGCACATGCCGTGGTACGTCTTTCATGCAGAGATGTCAGGATGATGAATCGGTCATCACCTCTGGCTGCTACTCTTGGTCCACTTGAACGTGGTCGACCTTGAACTCTACCCGTGGCTGGAAACCTCACCCAGAACGGCGAAATTACAGACTGGGACTTTGGGGCGTCTTTCAACTTCTATAATGGCAATTCCATCCTGCAGTCACTCCAACGCAATACATCTAACTGACGTAATCGTCTTCTTCATGGCATGGTTACAAAACAGTTAGTGATTCCAATGCGTGAACCTTTGATACACATATATATGTGCAGTGGTTTCAAAGCTTCATGGAAAACACGTGCATTGTGTATTGAGATAAACAATCGTTGCACATCCAAAGGCATTTAAAACCTTCAAACTTCGGACAAATTTCAGTCTCGAGAAACAAGCGCCCTTACAGTGGACATGCATCTCAGAAACCATCAACTGTTCTGTGTTGAAAGTGTTCAGTGATGGGCTTTGTCTTCACGGAATATAATACAATAAAGCTATCCTAACATAGTCGGTTTAAACGGTTCGACGTTCGCACACATCTTTAAATACCCATGTAAACGTCCTTAACAATTACATGTCCGGAAAGCGAGGTTTCCAGTTTAACAGGGTTCCACTGCATATTGTGTAGACATTTTCAGGTCAATACGAAAGTCCCGTGTTTATCCGCCAGTGATGGAATGTACCCGACAATTGACTGGCGTAATGCAATACGCAGGATCAACAGGGACGCGTGTAAGACGATACAGAATAGACAATGATGCACATTTCACCACGTATATATATTTTCAATGCAATCTTTATGCATAGTTACAAGCAATGTCAGATTTAATCATGTTAGAAATGTAATGGTATTCACAGTTGACATATATTACTGCTTTAAACACACAACTGATAATTAACGTTACTATACTACTTATTCGTATTCAAGTGTTGATTGGGAGAATAGTAACAATGTGTCATGTAAATGTAAAACGTCAACGCATTGAAGTATTGCGCAGTAACGTCACACAACACAGACATGGGGAGCATTGGCTCCTAACTGCGCGCGTGTCGGCACAACGGGGTGCGGTTGCACAAAGAGTTCTCAGCGCTGAGGTGATCGAAACTTCCATACGTTAACATAGGCTTACGATTATTGTAGCGCTGAGGTTATTTTATGAACAACGGCATCCAGAAGTTGAGGGATATATATCTTGGAGAATTTTTGAAGAGCGAACGGGGTTAATTGTGAATGAGAGACAGTAAGCAACTTGGATTTAACTCAATTTTGAACATTACAGTTATATCACAGCATGTAAGCTTATTGCGTGCGTAAGTCAGAATTTATGGAGGTCGTTATGAGACGTTTATGGCATTGCACATACGGGCAAACGTGTTTGGTGGCGGCTAGATGAGAAAGTAGTGATGATCCACATCTCTGTCGTCCAAACGGACACGTAGCTTTGTTCAATGCAATACATGACATACCGTGAACGCCAAAGATCTGCAACACACCCGCCACTCGCCCTCATTGCCCGTTACTATACTACCATTTCAGTTCAAATGCAAGCTTCGTGAATACTGCATGATCAGATATGCAATGTCAGTAGTGTGGATGCAAAGATAAAACATCATTTGGAACCTACCCTCGAATTTAAAACATGTTTTTACGAAGCCAGTTTTGATGATAAACATGACACAATGTCATCCTCCAAACCGATGTTGTAAAGATCAAACACATGATGTCCCTGTTTCCCTGGTGTGGGTCGCCTCTCTGAAGTTCAGTAGTAGAATGACGTGGCTACATCCCTGATAATACCGGGCACCCGAGCCTCTCTGTATCTATACGTCTTGTAGCAGTAGTAGATGAGACCGCCTGTGTTCGCACACAGTCCTATTACAGCTACAGCAACGTCTACAATCTCCATACCTTTCCCAAACGCAGACAAGCCGTCAAATTTGTCTTTATATTCCAAGTTGTCCGCAACACCAGTACATTTGGACGCCGTGTACTTTAAATCGTGGATGCTGTTCAGAAGCGATATGACAGGCAACAAAGTCAACAGGGTATACTGAAATGGATACTTTTTCTTTGGTCCAGTCGACATTTCACAAAACAATTCCAGTATTTCCTTAAAGTGATTCTGGCTCATTTCAAAGGACGTTATTTCACCCAATGCCACTTTAACGGCGTTGTTGTTGTGACGGTTACGTCCAACGTTGACGGCGTAACTGACAGCGCTACCAGCCAGAGCGATGACCGAGCCAGACAGAGTTATGTTAAGTGACTGGGTGTAGCTGACAAAGGTCCACACGAACCCGGCAAATATAAGGCCAGAGCCGATAACTCCCACTATGAGACAACCCACTTTCACCAAATCCAGACACCGCTGTTTTTTATCCAACTCTCTGGCGATGGACCGGAGTCTGTGCACATACTCCACATTGCCGGTGCGCTGCTTGTCTCTGAAACCTCGCATGCCAAGGTCACTCATAATGCTGATGAAGCTGAATAGAATATTATAATGAAAGGTAAATAAAACATGATACAATTTGTCATTGTTTTGTCACCTCGAGCCAATATAACATTGAATTACATCGTTCGTATCCAACACGAATCAAGTCACTACCTCTGAAGCACATCAGTTGAACAGATTCAAAATTTTAATAAATACATTATTTACATAACATGTTCATGATTTCATTAAAGAACATATCAGAGTAGATATATTCACGACAGATATTATAATGATATGATGTTAAACATATAATCTCAGTACAGGCGAGGGTGAAATGAATGACTGCATATCGTCATGTTTCTGTTTCAATATTTCATGAACGAAACTTCACACACTCTTATACATAATACGGCTTTTTGTGGCTACAAAGTTATGCTCATATGTATCAGTAGGTTTTTTGTTAACATAAGGATTATTGCCATTTGAATAAAACCGTACCTGTTATTGCTGGTATGAACTTGAACAACCCTAATAACGTTCAGCGCTATTCATCCGCGAAGTGGGTGTGTTGAATTGATACACACAGAGCATGGAAACGTCATCCAAATAAGTTTGGCTAGGGTTCATCTTACCTTATTTGATCCTATTAGTGTCTTATTACACGCCAGCAATGTTCTTACTATCACTCGTGTCATTGAATACATGCATAATATGTATTTCATTTCTCATTTTACAACATTGACTGTGACTTTGTATGAGTTATGATTGACGGTTCCGAGCATTATAAAACACCGAGCAACAATAATTGGCTTCACACATTGGAGTGGGGTTACACGTCGTGTTCAACACCACTGCACCCATATAGCGACGTGCATGCACGTGTGTGTGTTGCCTGCCTGTTCTACTTGTTTTGTTCTGCTAGCACCAATGCCGCTTGTATAGCGCTAGCTCACTGAGATACCAGTCCTTGTTTCATCCGAGACATCCCAATACCGATACACTATATCCACTTGACCACGGGGGCACCCCCTCACAGTTCACTCACTGATTTTCAGTCATCAATTCATATAATTGTCAACACCATCTTGCTCAACCGATTGGACATTAATGTTCCTGGAAGTATGCATGGACTCATAAGACCATGTATCATACTGTTTTTTTGTGCCATGATACTATTATTAGCTGAAACTGACGTCCATACGTTTGGCCATTATACCTACTGAGGAAGTTATTCACACACGTCTCGTGCACTTTGTGTATCGAGAGGCTACACATCAATGCTGGTGTGATGTAGAAAATACGACGCACCTGTGAACTCATTCCATTCAGTGAGAAGCTGAATTCATGAAGAAATCGACGACAACAGAAGTACCATGCAATCTTCAAATTTCAATTCCGAGACATACTTCCTGGACGTGTGAGTCATCACGCATCATGCTCACTACCAGTTGACAGTGACTTCATATCCTTTTCACTAACATGTGTGCCGTACTATATTGATACCGCTGATAAAGTCCATGTTTTGTTGAATTAGGCACGAAGGTTTTTTTAAAAACAGCTGCAAATTCAGGTATTTTTTTATTCAGACTTTGAGTCAAAATATTTTTGGCAATGTAAGTTTTTTCTAGGGAGTGAGTTTCTATTTATTCCGACAATATGAATTAAGGATAATTATTGTTTCAAGAACTTCCGGAAACAATACGAGGGACAGATAACCCGTAATTCTAACTTTCGAGTAGGTTACCATCTATGTAACTATTTGGCTAACGACTAAAGAAAGAAAAAACAGAGAATTATAACTGAAGGCAGCAAACGGTTCAAATTACATTATGTAATAAATTAGGGACGTCTTCGACAATTTGATGACGTTATTATATTCTATTTTTCTCAATAAGATGAGTGAGAGAGTGAGTTGGATTTATCGCCGCTTTTCACAGTATTCCAGTTATATCACGGCGTGTCAGCTTAATGTTGGAGAAAAGGCCGAAGTGATGCAGGTCTCGGATGTTTACCACTTGGTGAAACCAACGAGCATGGGTATTGTGCTGAGAAACCTGGAAACATAATGGGGCGAACAGCGACTCGAACCCACAATCATAATTTCTGTCGAGCACAAGGGACGCAACTCTGCACTGCGAATTGCAATTGCAGCAACCACCCGTGCCCCCTTCTCGATAACAATGCACGGTGACGTATATCAATTGAGAGGACAACACCAAACAGACATGCTATGTTTATAGCACACTGTGTTTGACAAGGCTTAAGAAGGTCAGTATTATAAATCAACTTTAATACATTCGCCATGTTAACATCTGGCCGCCCAGATGACGGATACACGTCTTTTAACAAACTGTGAGTTAATGCAAGCCCCGATCATACAATCTCCGCCGCACATTGTATAGTCACGCTGCTGAGAGAGATTATACAATCTCTCCCAAGGACGTGACGCCCCCGTGAACAGCAGTAGGTCAACACATGGGTTGAGTCGCAAGTCAAAGGTTGGCTAATGTATGTCATTCATACACTCGTGTAGCTCTTCACATGGTGTTTGCATGTCATTTACAAAGGAGTTGTTCGATCCGTCATTCGAGAATTGTGTGGTCAATATAGGTACGTGCACGCTTTGTTCGGGGACATCATGCAGATGACTGGCGCTATGCTAACTTTAGATCCGTTCATGTTGTTGTCAGTAGCCGTCATGTAAATGTTGACACGGACAATCTTACCCTCCTGTCTGTGATGTCAAACATATCAGCACGAACCGAGGGTTGGCATTAGTTGATATATTTCAGATTAAAAGACACGACGGTGAGAATTTTATCATCATCTAATACACTCAAACAATTTATTGACGATCACGTTAAAATATGTTGAGACCACCATTATATAGGTATTTGAGAGGCATTTAGCAGTGTTACACGTAAGGAAGAGATTATATGGATGTCAAGTTCTGTATTATGAGGAATACAACGTTTCGGAGTATATGCTTACTCCTTCATCACCTGATGAAGGAGTAAGCATATACTCCGAAACGTTGTGTTCCTCATCATAAAGAAGTTGACATCCATATATTCTCTTCCCCACCATTTTATATATATATATATGACTAATACGCAATATCTCTCACGAAATTATCAAAAAAGCAACACAGATTTTTGCAGCCTTAACATGTGAAGAAAGGGTGCGATATATTTAAAAACTAAGTATCTTCGTATTACCTGTTTTCACAAATGCAATACGCATGCCTTTCTCGTGTGCAAGATGATAAATACTATTGTGTATCGTTTGATCTCAACAAGCGATATCTCTATTGGGACTCAGTATCCGATAATATATACAGTTAAAGATCGACTGTGTCACAAATTAATTTGATAACAAAGGAACGAATTGGTTGATTTATATATAATTGAACCTTACTATTTTTATGACAGCACAACAGGTCATGAATCAGTGTTTTACTGTTGTGTGGCAGTATACTGAATCGCTCGTAAATTATCGAGCACTTGACGTCGTGTCATGATTGTTATCTTAGCTCATTAATTAGAGTTACCTCCCTTCTGGAAACTATGCCGTCACAATACACTATCATAGCCAGTACGAAGAATAGATAGCAAGCTGGTTTTGTTGAAGTTAAGACACATCATCTCATGATGTTAATGACATGTATTTGTCTACTAACGGGGAAAAAAAATGTGGTTCGCATGCAGTTATTTTGGAATTAAATAATGCAACTAACAATGCATATTCATAAAGGCTTGTCCTCGATTTTGAGATGGTTATTCACAATTTGCACGTTTATGTTATGCATGGCGCACAATTTGGATTTGGATGTACACAGAGAATGTTAAGCTAGGTGCTCATAAAAAGACTTTTCTTTAATCTTAATTGACGCTTACGCAATACCACGGGTTGCTGAAAATCACACTTACGCGCCGTTGGTGTGCTACAAACAGGAATGGTGCAACACAATATTGCCAGACATTGGAATGTTCATCGAAACACACTTTCATCTCTTTGGAGACGTTATCTAGATCTACAGCAGTGCAACACTCGTGACTAGCCACAGGCCGGTCGTCCACGTGTGACGTCAAGTCAGTCAGCACGACAACCATATAGACTTGCCAAACTGTCACATCAACAGCTTGGACACTTCCTTGGTTGAAACCAAGTAATGGCACAACCGTAGGCAAGTGGTCGTGGGAGCACGGAATACGGCCCAAAAGTCCTGCGGTACACCAATGCTGCTTCCACGTCACCATCAGGTACGCCTAGCTTGGTGTAGACAGCATCTACGGTTCAGAAGACAAGACTGGGACATTATGCTGTTACCAGATGAGTCCAGGTTTCATCTTGACAGATCTGATGATTTAACAAGTGTCTACTTGCGTCCATAAGAATGTTTTAGCGACGCTTGCGTGACTTAACGTCTGTGTAGGGATGGAAGTGTAATGGTATTGGGTGGCATCACAACACATGGAGGAAACACACCTCATTGTTAGTGACAGTTTGAATGGCGTACGGTAACGGGACGACATCGTTCTAGATCATGTTCTACCTCTCTGTAGGAATGAATGTCACGTTGCAGCAGGATAATCCCACCCACACGTTGCACGTGGTGTAACCGACGTTTTGCGACAGCATAATAATGCTGTACTGCCATGGCCGGCAGGTTCTCCAGACCTCTCCTCCACAGAACATGTCTGGGATCAGATAGAAGGATGCATACGACAGGACCAGAATCAACCATTCTTGACATTTGGAACAACATCCCCCAGGCTGTCTTCAATGAGCAGATGTCTTCACAACGCCACCGCTACCCCGCCTCTTTCAACGCAAATGGTGGTCATTGTTGTCGCTCTGTCTCCAGTATGTGTTGTAATGCATCACTGATCAGGCAAATGACTAAATAGTCTGTTGTTATTTTTAATAACACAACATTTACGCAACTTTATATGAGGCACAGTTTTTTTCCCGTTAGTATATATGGAATAATGGGTGATTGTATTTGTTACACAACTGTGACACATTGTCGATTTCCTGCTTGAGCAGACTAAGCGAATTATGCAAATATGCAATGATGCGTGATGAACCGACCATGCATTGGCACCATGACCTGCTTTAGTTGTAGGTCCAGACGAGATGTCCTCACCAAAGGTAGCCATCTTCTATAACAACGCAGAAATAGTAGACGTCATTAAACAACAACTGCCTGATGCTGATATTCAGATTTTCGCAAGTAAGAAATATTCAATGCTCTTTTAAAAGTTTTAAGAGAAGTCTTCTATTTAAAAGCCTCAATATTTAATCTTATTTGGACTAATTCACTCATACTGTCAAAATGAGCTAATTTGGGGAGGAGCCATGTGATACGAGTGTATATGCCAAGTGTATCTCCGTTTAGTATGTTTCGTAGGTATGTTTCACCCAGGAATATAATCAGAACGAATATGATATTCAGGCTAACGACTATATGGCCCTCGCATAACTATTGAAATACTATAAGTTGCAGCAGCATCACGAGAGATATATTTGGTTTTATGCGTCCCGCGTTTGGCTTTATACATCGAGGCGGTCGTGATACTGTCCCAACTTGTAGTAACCTCCGGCTCTTGATATTAAACCTAACGCGGGGCGCATAAAACCACATTTACCCATCATTAAACTGATGTAACGAATGTATCTTGCCGACATGTTTCTGTCTGTCATTGTAAAAGAAGTATAACAAATTAAAGATTGGAAGAAAACAGCTGTTTAATGAGCTGATGTTCACTTGTACTTTGTCAATTTCATTCACTCGTAAAGAAAACAACGTACGACTTTCAGCTTTGTAACGGAGTTTAAAGGATTTATTTAAGAAATATATTTCCCTCCCAAGCGGGATACATTGACAATTGTGTCCAAGAAGCAGCTTTAATATTATCTTTTTTAAAAGTATATTATTATCGTAATATTCTCAATACAATTTGCACTATGCATGTTAAAACCCGCTGGGAAATAGAATATTTTAAATGACACCCGTTTAATTTCGTTATATGAACGATGATAATGCTGTGTCTCTGCAATAATGTAACATGGATGGTTTGTTGTGGTTGTAGATCCTCCAACAGAAGAACAGGTGGAGTCTTTGTCTCAGGTCCAGATCATTTTTGGGTCCCCTCGAAACCTGCCGGAAGTCATTCCAAGATGCACCAACCTCAAGTGGATCCAGTCTGGAGCAGCAGGTATTCGTTATCATGCCACGTACATAACAGCAACACGACAGCGCCGTTAGGACAATATCTGCAATACATCCAACAGATCTCCAGACAAGGTCGTACATTATCCTACATATAAAAGCTACCGTGTCGCTAAGTCGTTGAAGTTGCTACAACGACATATGCACAATGGTGTTCTGTTCACCTCGCTGCATCGCCAACATATATGATGCCCATTCTTAATGATATTGCTGCAACAATGATCTTTAACCGCATCCCCCCCCCCCCCCCTCCTTGCACTCTCTCTCTCTCACTCGCTCACACTCTCACTCTCTCTCTTTCTCTGTCACACTCTCTCTCTCCGTGTATCTCTGTATCTCTGTCTGTTTCTCTGTGTCTCTCTCAATTTCTCTCTGGGTCTCTCTCTCACTCTCTCTTTGTCACACTCTCTCGCTGTATCTCTCAGTCTCTCTGTGTGTCTCTCAGTGTCACTCTCTCTCACTTTCTCTCTATGACTGTCTGTGTCACGCTCACTCTCTCTCTCTCAATTTGTCTCTGTCTCTCTGTGTGACTCTATGAGTCTCTCTGTTTCTCACCCTCTGTCCCTGTCTCTCTCCTTCTGTCTCTGACTCTCTCTCTCTCTCTCTCTCTCTCTCTCTCTCTCTCTCTCTGATTATCTGAGTATAATCATGCGCTTGTAATCTAGTAATTATAAGTCGATGGTTGTGGACTATGCAGTAACTACAGGCTCTGTGGTAAGAATCTGATATGCGAGGTGTTCCTTTCACAGGTGTGGACAAAATAATGAAGAGTGTAACAGACGATAAGGTAAACGCTTAATGCTCATGTTCGTCCCAGATAGACCTGGCCTACTTCCTCCCATATGTTAAGTTCATTCAACCATTTCATTATGACATCTTGACACTTGATTTAACTTTGACATATATATTTTCACAAACAGTATGAAAATGCATTGCAAACAAACGAATTGCTATTTTAATATCGCTCCATGACACATAATGCTTGATACAATATACATCAGTGAAGGTCGAATGCAAAAAATGAATCCCATTGCCCAGCTAGATGTGTGCATAAAATATTATTATGTTCGCAGTTTATATTAATCAATTCATTTACTTAATTAGAGATCGGCCAGATTTTTATAAAACGTTTTGAATAGAATATGCTATTTTGCTTGGTTTCCCTTACTCAAATATGAATTAATATAGCACATTTTGTAAAGAGTAACCATGTTGGTACGTAAACATTTCATTTTGATCCTCGAAGTTTCCATGATTAAAATCCCAGTGTGTCCTTCATCTCCGCACCCTGTAGCAAGTTCTTAAATGCTGTAACTGCCTCTGTTCCCGTCAGGTTTACTGGTACCCTGTGCCAAAGTTGTGTTGTATCTCGTATAGATGATGTTTATTCTGCACATGCTTTTGTTTCACACTTTACTGTTTGAAGATAGGCTTTATCCCGTATGCTTTAATCTGTCCTTTTTTTAAAATGTGTGTTAAGTATAAGCCCACAAATAAATTCGCGTGCCAGATGATTATTTATTTTGTAAAACGTTACTTATTTTGAAATATGTCTCCTGTCTTATAATGACTTCCAATTAGTTTCATTGTATTTTTTATGATGAATCGAGACCGCCTCCGTGGTCTTGTGGTATAGCGTCCACTCGGGGAGCGGAAGGTCCGGGGTTCGATCCCCGGCCTCGTCATACCAATAGACGTTAAAGATGGTACTTGTTGTTACCCTGTCTGGCGTTCGGCATTAAGGGGATGAAAGGCTCGGAGTCGGTATACTGTGTCTGAGTGGGGTAGTCCTGTTAAACTGCGGCATGGTATCTGATTGAGCTAACACTATACATAGGCATCGTACAAGCAGCCACATAAACATCCGCACGGTTCTCAGAGCATCTAAATTTACTTTCTCTAATGCAGTAGCTTGTTCAGTTGTACCGTTATCCCAAATATGACAACAATAATCCAATGGGTAAAATAAAAGAGTTGTACATAGTTTCGAAGGTACCTAGACGATATTCATGATAATGTCTTAAACAATTTTATCTGATTCTCTCTCTCTCTGCCTCTTATATATAGGCCAACAAAAACATCATTGTCACACGCAACGGAGAGACCTTCGCCAAGCCACTGTCCGAGCACATCATGAGCCAAATACTGACCACAAACAAAGGTCACTACAAGTGGTATGACCAACAGAAGGCGGCGGTGTACGAGAGGTATGTCCATAGATAACATCAAACGACATCAGAATCATGGCACAATCACATCTTTCTCTTGCTATCCAGAATATTATCTTGTTTTATAAGTAAGGGAAATATTTTTTTAATTCAATATAATCTAGATTAAAAACGCAAATGTATGGCAATGAAGCATTTATTCCGTTGTTTTTTATCTTGCTCTTATAATAAACTGGATCATATACGTGGTCAACGAGTGATAATCATCAATGCAATCAGAGAGCCAGTGAGTTATAATCCTCTATGTAACGGAAAGGAAAATTCAAATTGAGATATTTTTACCATGTGTCTAATCACTATTTCGTCTTTTGCCCCTAATGGAATCTGTTTTGGCAGATAATAGAGGCGACTTTGACATATTATATACGGAGGACAGTTATCAAAGTCGTATGCATCAAATGCCGAAATACATATGCCAACAATACATACAACTTATGGCAGTTTCACTTGTCCATTTCAGAGGCAGTCTTAACTCCAAACCCCTATCACTGTCATCAGTTGGGATATTAGGCCTGGGCTGCATTGGACGTGAAAGTTAGTATTTCTTATTGATATTGTTCCTAGACTATTTTACACAATGACCCATTCGGGAGGACATACGGATCTCAATTAACTATTTTCAGCTGCCAGAACGTGCAAGTTCTTTGGGATGAAGGTGTGGGGTATGACACGAACTGAAGTCCCAGAAGATAAGAAGTCCCCGTATGTTGACGAATACAGGTATGTTACCAACATGCGCCATGTGTAAGACAATCTAGGTGTCACTGTTGTTATTTTCTGTCGTTTATTGTTTTTATGTTCCGCATACCACATGCGCTGTAAAAAAATCAAATATGTCGATATTATCCACATACTGCTGCCACATATATATATATTTCATAGGACTATATATCATTCCACAGGACACTGAATTCTTTGCATGAAATCCTATCTGAATGTGACTATGTCGTCAACATACTACCGTCAACTGAACAGACTCGTGGCTTGCTGTCGGGAGATACATTCTCTTACTGCAAAGATAAGGTACACGTACAAAATGTATAGCATCCTAAAACAGTTGTTGCACGTATACATTTCAACTGGAGTTTGTTTGGGGCTGTACAATTAGGATGGTTGTCATGTAGTGAATTCTTTGACGTAAGTTTTTGTAAGTTACAAATATAACATGTAACTAATCCCATGTGACACGTGTCACTAATGATGGCAGTCACAGGTAGGAAGTATATGTAATGGACAGTACTCCTTGTGCTGCCAGTAGGTGGGATCATGTACCAATGGTACTATGACAGACTGTTGCTAGAGACTTTACCCTTGCAGAAGACTACCTTCATCAATGTTGGACGAGGAGATGTGACAGATGAAGGAAGCATTCTGACAGCTCTCAGGTGAGAAGCCTGCTCATAGGTATGCCTATAGCTCCATCTTCCCGAGGCAAGGGAGTTAACTGACTATAAAAGTCCGGTTTCCACCCTTGCCGAACTAGTCTGGAGTCCCGGAGTTTTGGCTGGACGAGAATATGCATAATCCAATCAAAATAAAAAAAACTACACATCCGGTTCGGAAACAACATGGATTTCAACGTGCAGATTTCAGTCGACTGCAGGATTTGCAAAGCATGTGTACCGGCACAGCTGGGCGTCGACAGTTATTTTGCAAATCTTTTCATGGTTTTTTTTATCAATATGTGATTCGCGAGGTAAGACACATTTTATTACAAAAATGATCTTGATTATCGATCAGATCGTCTTCATTTGATTTTGGAAGCAGTTGAAAGCAAGTAATATGAAAGGTGAAAACTTATTGGTCACTCGGAGAGACATAGAAGGGATATAAATCGTAATAGCCACTGGTGGCGGTACGATCGAGGGACGAAATTCCAGCCTAGTGCGGCAAAGATGGACACTCGACTTTCATAGTCAGTTAATGTTCTTGCCTCGTGAAGACGCCCCATTATGTTTGATTCAGTCCAAGAGGTCTCACCACAAAAATGAAACCTTGACACATTAACCTAATTATATTTGACCTCGAACTCTCTATATATAGGCAGATTGAATTCCATATGTTGCGAGAACAGGAACATCGAATATTTACTCCATCCAGCAACTAGAAACATGGAATTCAGACAAACAGCAAGTACACTTTAGTTCGACGCAATGATTGACCCATATTACAAGTAAGCAGTATTAAGAGCGGGTAGAGAGTCATATAGAGTCAGATATGATATATAAGGGTCAGCCAATGGCCTTCCATTTGTCTATATTTCAAGAGTTTTCATTCGATATTTGTATCTGTACCAATTTGTAGGAACAAGTGGTTACAGTATGCTGCACTGGACGTCCACAACCCCGAGCCGCTGCCTGAAAGTAGCCCCCTGTGGAACGAGCCGGGGGTCATCATAACGCCCCATATCTCCGGGGGTCTTATACTGTATCCGGGATACCTTCGTGACGTAAGATGACATCTGTATTACAATGTATCAGTGTATTTAAACACGCTTGACGCAGTAGACGTCTGTGATTTAAATGCATGTGCTAATAACTAGACATGGGTCCTGAAATGTTAAAAGTAATAATGTTTACATGAAAATTATAAGGGTAACGCTATTTTTCAGGGCATTATCATTTGCAGAAGCACGAAGTCTTCCATTTCTGCAAATGATAATACTCTGAAAAACAGCGTTACCGTTATTATAGCTACAATGGATAGAATTTGTTATCAAATAAAAATAAAGAATATAGGTTTTGAAACATTTACTACAATCAACACACAACAAATGTCACTGACACACTTTTAAAAATATGGACGTCATAGAACAAATGATGTCACTATTGAACGTCTTATGACGTCATGTAACAATGGGCGTTATGACGGTCAAGTAATATGAGGGCATTATCAAGTTACAGTGGCCCGTTCATTTCTGATAACACGCGGGCGGTTTAATGATAATTCTATCCACTTTAGCTATAATATAAGGATAACGCTATTTTTCAGGGCATTATCATTTGCAGAAGTCTGAGGTCTTTCATTAACTGTCCGACGAAGGAGGGATTCTGCAAATGATAATCCCCTGAAAAATATGGTATTTAGGTATATATGATATGTATGGTATTTTAACTGTTGTTTTGTGTAAAGGACACTTAACATCCTAAAAATACACATTTCATTTGCGAATGCAAATGGGAGTCCATGAGGTTCAATACAAGGAAATATGAATTTATCGGATCTAGTTTCCTCGTATCGGACCGGCCGATGAATCTAAAGATCAATGTAAGCCTTCATTCACCTTCACTTGTATTGCATATTGGATAATAATCACAGCGCGAGACACACGGCAGCTGTTACGAACTAGCCTGATACGGATGTTCGTCTTAACGAAAGCATGCATGGCCCAGGCCGGTAAAAGCCCTCTTAACGATAGCACCTGTGACACCCTGTCGAGCTGAATCTGCGTTGATATAATTATATTCAGAGCATGAAATAAATAATGAAAAAATGACATTCCGCGATAACGATTTGTTAAAATGAAAACAACCTTGCAAGATTCTGAAATGAAATATCCTCTTCCCGGAGATGGAGTGGCACCGGTACCCGCATGGAATCTCCCTTCTTACACACCTTACTCATGGATATTTTTAGGCATATGCTAATGTTTTCGTCGGAACAATATGCACGAGATAGTCATGCATCCACCCGTTGCACGCGGACATCATAGGACTGAAATTTAAGCAAATGTACAATTTTAGGTGACATATGTAATGTGCGAGGTTCAATATTGGACATACACTATGTACATTTAGTATCAGCATTACACAGGCTCTACCGGGATGTCAAAGAAAAAACGTCATTAAACAAAAAAACAGTACTCTTCTATTGAGTAATAGCTTGGGGCAATAGCATCTCGGAATTAAATTGAGTCAGTGAGTTGGATTTAAAGCCGCTTTCAACAGTTTTCCAACTATATTACGGCGTATCAGCCTTATGTTGGACGAAAGCCAAAAGTGATGCTTTTTACATTTACATTTACCACTTCGGTGAAACCCAGGAGCACGGGAATGGTGCGCACAAACCGACAAACATAATCGGGGCGAACCGGGATTCAAACCCACAATCATAGGTATCTTGCTTGCCCCTGTAAAGCAACTCTGCACAGCGAATTGCGGCGCCTTAGACGCCTGGGCCTCCCTAGACTAACATTTAGTCTCTGAAATCTTATATTTCACAATATCCTTCTTGACTCCCTATGCTGATTTGTGGAACAGAGCTTGCTTGAGCTGGCTAGACTTGCTTTTGTATGCATTTCTAGATTATTTTCTTTTCATAAAATAAATATATTCCACGGTCAAGATGAAGGACTAGGGCTACCCGCGCCCCCGGAGATAAACGGAGGCGATACGAACAAATCAATACAAGTACGATCCCAACTATCGGAGAGTCGTTTGCAGTCGCTTTTGCTGTTCGTCAAAATATAAGTCGCCCATGATGGTTACGAGAATAAATTAACCTCGAAATCCCATAGATGTAACCACCGCTTCCCATGTGGTGTATAGGTACACATATAGTTATATTAATAATATGCTTCACGGTTTGTCAATGCCCGTTGGTTCTGCCAAAGGTGAGAGTGAGTGAGTGAGTTTGCTTTTACGCCGCTTTTAGCAATATTCCAGCAATATCACGGCGGGGGACACCAGAAATGGGCTTCACACATTGTACCCATGTCGGGATTCGAACCCGGGTCTTCGGCGTGACGAGCGAACGCTTTAACCACTAGGCTACCCGACCGACCGCCAAAGGTGAGAAAGTGTAACAGCTGTATCTTGTCGGGCTTATCTCCCACATTGAACTGACCACCCGAGATACAGCTGAATGCTATTCAAAGCGATGTTTAACTAAACTCACTCAGTATTAAGAGTATTCATATTGTATGGACATGATCTAGAATATGTAGGAAAGTATTGAAATGACTTCAGTCTGTGTTCTCTGAGATATATTTATTCTTCATTGTTTTTGTTTTATGTGTCTTGCAGAGAGCCGAGATGTTTGTGAAACAATATCGCCGTTATATTAACAACGAACCCTTGGAATACGTAGTTGATTTTGAAAGAGGTTATTGACATGGCAGACGCTTAGATGGCACAAGAAACAGAGGACACACGTCATCGTCCAGTGACGTCATGTACACTAACTACACGAGAACACGGGACACCTGCAGCATGCGTCCACATACAATATAGAAGATCATACGATACATCAACTGTGCTTTGTTTGTTGTGAAATACGGAGTACTTGAAGACATACACATGAAAGGTGTCCTGGACTGCCACACGTCTAATGAATACCTCCAAACCACGCCTATTCAGTACCCACCATGGCAGATCGACTTTCACAAGAATCTAACTGTGATTGCCTGTATTGTAACTCTAAACGCATAGCCAGTACCCACCGTAACATTAATATCAATGTAATCGTGTAAGAAATAAGTATTGGTCATCAGTATTGTATTCAGTTTCATTTAGTGATGGAATGTGACAACTATACTTGATATAGAGAATCTCACCCGCGTGTCTTTTGATATCAAATATATCAACACGAGTTGATAAAAGTGGAAAAATTCCGAGGCTTGCTGAGGATATTTGCCACTTTTATCAACGAGTGTTGATATATTTGATATCAAGAGACACGAGGGTGAGATTTTATTTATCATCCAACATCATTCTTCCAACTTTTTCAATTTGTAGACAGTAATTAGCAGTGTTTTCAGTGTAAAACGTACTGCTAACAGCTTCAGGAGCAGAGCCATTAGTTATGTCATTTGATTGTGACGTCATGGTAACCGGTGACGTCATAATGGTCTGCAAAGCATTGTGATGTAATTTCACTGCAGCGATATCTACAGTGTAGATATCGCTTGATCTAATCCAAGCGATATCTCCTGTGGAAGCCAGTTTTGGATGATAAATATCGTTTGATAGGCATTGCTTGGAAGTTGACGGATGACAAATTAGACACAATTTATGGATAACAACTTCTTTAATACTGTAAAGGCAGACACGTTGTTATACTTGTGGATTACATACACACTCAGAAATGTAAATCAACACTGATTACACTATAACGCTGTTTATCTATATAAATAAAAAAAAGTATTACTGATATTCTTCTTTCAAATGAAACTTATAATTGCTTCACTGTTATATTTTCATTTGAATATAAAGGTGAGGTGAGGTGAATATAACGACGTGCATGCACGTGTATGTGTGTGTGGCTGCTTGTACTAGTCCGGACTGATGCCGATTTATAGTGCTAGCTCACTGAGATACCATGCCGCAGTTTAACATGAATACCCCACTCAGACACAGTATACTGACTCCGAGCCGACCAGTCCTTATTTTAGCCGCTTAATGCCGAGCGTCAGACAAGGTAACAACAAGTACAATCTTTTAACGTCTTTTTGTATGACGCGGCCCTGTACCTGTTTCGTATCACTGAACCACCCGGGCCTTGCTGTTGAAGACCTGTCAGTCCTTTTGAAGGTATACACTGACATCACTGTGCTATTGTGCATGTCACTTATATGTAAGTTTAATATTCATGCGTTGAAGGTGCAACGGCTTAATAAACACACAGGTGAAGTTTACATTGGGTAAGATCAGGTGATGACGGGACTATATGTGATCATCTGGTTGTCACTGGAATGGGGGCGGTGGAAGTACTGTGCTGTTCACATCTTCGAATGTTGCCAGGTGGACTTAAGTACAGTCATGATCACGTGTGTATTGTAGTAAAGCGAGCGTCGTGGCATGATAGGGCATCTGATTCACAAATATACAAAACATTATAATGCATCGTCACAACATTCACTGACGACATCTGATTAGGACGTTGAACTTCGTCTTGAACTCTGAGAGTAGCGCCCTCTTCGACCACGTGGATAGTCGTAAGTCTTTGTAAATATGAGCGTTAATTCCCGTTGAATTTGGAAATGGGTTTGTCGGTTGTATTATTTAGATCGTCGTCGCGCTACGAACGCTTTCTGGAGCGTGTACCTTCTATTTAATTAACATGCTGGGATTTCGTCCGGTTCAGTTATATATACCCTCGGCGTTTGCAGTGTCGCTCACAGTGGGATGAAAAAGTGATATAACAACAGTGGGATGAAATAGTGATAGAACAACAGTGGGATGAAATAGTGATAGAACAACAGTGGGATGAAATAGTGATAGAACAACAGTGGGATGAAATAGTGATATAACAACAGTGGGATGAAATAGTGATGTAACCACAGTGGGATGAAATAGTGATATAACAACAGTGGGATGAAATAGTGATATAACAACAGTGGGATGAAATAGTGATGTAACAACAGTGGGATGAAATAGTGATATAACAACAGTGGGATGAAATAGTGATAGAACAACAGTGGGATGAAATAGTGATATAACAACAGTGGGATGAAATAGTGATATAACAACAGTGGGATGAAATAGTGATATAACAACAGTGGGATGAAATAGTGATAGAACAACAGTGGGATGAAATAGTGATAGAACAACAGTGGGATGAAATAGTGATAGAACAACAGTGGGATGAAATAGTGATAGAACAACAGTGGGATGAAATAGTGATATAACAACAGTGGGATGAAATAGTGATAGAACAACAGTGGGATGAAATAGTGATAGAACAACAGTGGGATGAAATAGTGATAGAACAACAGTGGGATGAAATAGTGATAGAACAACAGTGGGATGAAATAGTGATAGAACAACAGTGGGATGAAATAGTGATAGAACAACAGTAACATGAAAAGATCGGCATGGGGAGCATACATCTCACCAGTAAATGTCAGATCATGATCCTAAGGAAATATTTCAGCAACTTGACAGTTCGGATCAAAATGACTATTAAAAAGCAAATAAGGGTAAGTCAGTTTGTGTTCGTTTCTCTATTCTATGGCAACGACTGGAGGTACCCCACCACCATGTGTCGCCTTCAACATGTGGGGGCTTGTCATGCTCTCACACACATCCCCCTGAAACGTATAATCTATGATAACAATGTGTACTCTCCGCCACGTATTCACTGCAAATTTTGAATTATGCTTATTGTCATGCTACAGTGAAATGGGTGAAATTACGACACATCAAATGATTTGACACAGCTGAACGTGGTTCAGCAAAGATTCCTTGTGATTGTGGATTTTTTCTAGGTTTGAAAAGGTTTTGTTGCTTATATTTTACGCATGGAGACTTGGTTGATGAAAGAAACAGGCGACGCTCACAGCACGTGCACAGGAAAAAAGGCTTGTGAATAATGAATGTTCTACGTCTGCGTTATAATCCTGTATCTAGTCAGTGAGTTATAATCCTGTATGTAGTCAGTGAGTTAGAACCCTGTATGTAGTCAGTGAGTTATAATCCTGTATGTAGTCAGTGAGTTAGAACCCTGTATGTAGTCAGTGAGTTATTATTATGTATGTAGTCAGTGAGTTATAATCATGTATGTAGTCAGTGAGTTATTATCCTGTATGTAGTCAGTGAGTTATAATAATCCTGTATCTAGTCAGCGAGTTATAATCCTGTATGTTGTCAGTGAGTTATAACCCTGCATGTGGTCAGTGAGCTATAATCCTGTGTGTAGTCAGTGACTTAATAATATATAAAATAATATATAATAATATAATAATATATATATATAATATATATTATTTAATTAGATTATAACTCACTGACTACACACAGGATTATAGCTCACTATATATATAATATATAATACTGTATCTTCCAATGTCACTTGCAGGGCACAAGGAAACATCATGTCAACGTGTCCATTGTACAAACTAACAGATCATACGATATATGAACTTTGCTGTACATGTTGTGAAATACATACATACAACTTGAAAACATACACGATGCTTTTCGTTCGTTAAATATCGCTCCCCTGAATGTATATGTTTGTTGTGTACATCCACACCACATCTATTTGTAACAATACAGTACGCACCACGGCAGATGGACTTTCAATATAACCTACATATATTTATCTGTTGTGTAGTGTCTGTAGTGTACCTCCAAACGACACCCAACCAGTAGGCACTTTCACGATAATCTAACTGTTTATGTAAATACATATACCTGTTGTGTGCCTCCAAACCACACCCAACCAGTAGGTACTTTCACAATAATCAAACTATTTATGTTAAAACATATATCTGTAGTATACCTCCAAACCACACCCAACCAGTAGGCACTTTCACGATAATCTAACTGTTTATGTAAATACATATATCTGTAGTGTGCCTCCAAACCACACCCAACCAGTAGGTACTTTCACAATAATCAAACTGTTTATGTAAATACATATATCTGTAGTGTACCTCCACATATAATTATAACTAGTACGCACGACGGCAGATGAACTTTCACTATAATTTAAATGTGTCTCCGCAATATATAAATGTGAAATAGGTATTGCCCATTGGTATCGTATTTGACATATTGTGGAGGAATGTGACAGCAACCATACTTCATACAGTACACGCTCGGAGATGTATTATCAACTATGATTACACATAACACCGTGTTTCTATATAAACAGAAATACAAGTGGCATTTCATTTCTAAATAACAATCATACACATATAGTTGCTCCACCATTTTATTTTTTATTTTAATATATTAGTTACAACAAGCAGGTTTTGCTGTTCAGGGTCCATCAATTCCATGAAGGGACAGAACGGTATCACTGTGTTATCGTGCATGCCAAGACAATCTACAATTGTTACTCCTCCATTGAGGATAGCACTGTTTGATACACATGCAGATGAAGTACACATTGTTTAGACCATCACGTACGGACAGGACAATATTTGAATGGGGGCACTGTGCCACTGCACACAGTGATAATCTACTCCCAAAAGACCCTTCACGAAACACACTTTGTCAAGTTCGTGAATTGTTGCAGTAGACTCGACCGCCTCCGTCCTACTATGCCTCGTAATACCAAAAGACGTTAAACGATGGTGTTTGTTCGGTACCATGCCTGGCTCTCGACATTAAGGGGCTGAAAAAGGACTGGACGGCGCGGAGTCAGTATACTGTGTCTGGGTGGGGTTTTCATGTTAAACTGCGGCATGGTATCTCAGTGGGTTAGCACTATAAATCGGCATCATTCCGGACTAGTACAAGCAGCTACACACATACACACACTCGCAATATATGTGCAATAATCTTGGACGCGACGTTAAACCACATTTCACCTACCCTCACTTCAGTTGACTCCAGAACAAGAAGGACTTTTGTATTGTAATAATACAAGAATCATGGCATTGTTGACTGTAGCCCTGTTATTTAAATAAAAGGGAAAAAAAAACTAATAATCATAAACCATCTCTGTAATTCCGATTGTTTTACATTTAATGTCTCAGTAAAGTTTTAGAAAGTTTTGTGAAGGACATACGGAGGACCTTTGTAGATTTCATCATCAGTGACAAAATTGAGTCCGATGCATTTCTTTATTTTGACTTGTACCATACGTTCCCGAGTTTTGTTCAGGTGAACAATTCACTTGCATGCGTTTGTGACGGGTGTCACCGGTGGTGCAGGATATGCTCACATTTTCGCGAGCACCTGGTATCATGACTATGTGATAGTGATTCATAAACATATGCTCATGATATAGTAGGAATCGTACAACCGACTCTGACTTTGGCAGAGATGTCTTATGAATATGGAAAGGGTTTTGCTGCCTTTATTTACATTTTACATTTGTAACTTACAAGAACCTAGGCCAAATCAAAATATTTTATACATGTACATCAATCAGAAATTTAACAGCCTTCAAACCTCCAGCCTTCCAGGTGAATGCGTATATGCGTACATACCAAAGTGCTAAACGCCTGAGACCTGCATCACTTCAGGCTTTCCTCCCACATCAAGCTAACATCCCGTGATATAAAAGGAAAACTGTTCAAAGCGGAGTATTAAACCCAACACACTCACTTACTCATTCACTCACACGTGATCTGATAACACAAAAACTCTAAACTAAATTTTGGGTGAAATTCACCTATGGGAATTTCCCTAGTGTCTGCACCAGCGAGATCCTCACCATCCGACATATCCCTCGTGTATGTGACAAGGTTACTTCTATGTAAATAGTAATTATACAATATACAACAAATATAAAACAAACAACAAAGTACAACAAACACTATCTAGTTCGCTCTTTATACATGCAGAACTAACACACGATGTGTGCAGTATGAAGGACGCGGCCCTTTCTGCAGGGAGTATGTCAACGCCGAGGGAACACCAGTCAAAGGTCGGTGATCACGTATTTTTACTGATATCCACGTACATGTCATGTGAAGCTAGCAGTTTATATTTTACGATCATGAGAAGTCGATGAAGGTAAAAGCTCGTATATTACAGGCGTAGGCAGGTAGTTTGTGTCACGATGACTCAAACGTATTGATTCATTTGGCTAAGCGACCTCGGAAGTCCGTCATTTCCAGTCCCTCATGCTCAGACTATGTGTCAGCTACAACGGGGATTACATGGTTCCCTCCGTGAGCGTGTATTAACTAATAATGGCCCTCCTATCACATGATCGAGTCCCGATGTCATTTTGCAGGTAGCCGCGTTGTGATAGAATGCTAATGTGATGACCTCAATCTGAGTAGTCTCGTAACGTCGGTCGCGGGGAGCAGTTGAATAGGTGACTGTCAGCTTGACTCCTCGGTGTATTTCGGCCTCGTTCCTTCCCCACATTGAATCGCATGTACTTGTGTGGTGTCTCCTTGGGAACGAGACCTTGTACTTCCCAGGAAGCTTATCATGAAAATTGTGTGCACACTGATCTATTGGCCGGGGTTATAATGTTAGCCATCTGAACATGCACTTTGTGAATTGAGTCTAGCGCAGTATAATGGAGTCTGAATGATACTCTGTCCCCTAACCGTTGTACTGCCGGACACATACTGCCTTGAAGGAACACATATGCTTGTAATGCAACAGTGACAATGCATGGACATAGCGATTGTAAAATTGTCAGCTGGAATGTAAAATAAGTCCCATATAATATTACAATCACGTAATACAAAGTTTAACAATTAATCACCAGTTACGTGTGCTAGCGAATTGTGTTGTTGCATGGAATGTTGCAGATATTTCAACATTACCTGAAACGATGTCATCCCCAAAAGTCGCCATCTGCTACCCCACCACCGACTTGCTGGATGTGATTAGGAAGGACCTGTCTGATGTGGACATCCAGCTGTTCACAAAGCCGTTGTCAGGTACGACTCAAGCTGCATACGATAATCCCATGGCATCAAAATATATTTCCTTCACGTTGATTCTACATACACTGGACAAAATATCATCCATTCCAAAAAATCCAAAACTTGGAAATACCACCATTCCAATTGGAAATATGACCATTCCAATATTTGGAAAGGTCATATTTCAAAGCTTGGATTTGTTTGGATTTGTTTGAAAATGTTTGGAAATGTTTGGATACAACATGTCATAATCATATCTGTTAAAAGTTGTACAACTTTTGACCTTATTTGAGATTAGTAATGACATGAAAGTAAATAATTAAGAGTATTTTGGCACTATGTATCACGAAAAGACCAAATGATGAGCAAATTTAACTAAAAAGAAATTCTGTCATTTAAAGTGGCTACTCTTTATATTTGATTTCTTATCTTTCTTGTCTATAATCATATGACACTGACTTTGAACTTTGAACAATTAAACAAATATTTCGTTTTCCCATACCGACATACGGTTGTCGTAGAACAAAGACCGTTTCGAGAATATAGAGGAATATATGTACATAATAGTACTAGGTATAAATGAATTTTGATAAGTGTTCGTACAAGAATATGAACTTCGAATTATCTCGGAATTATGCGCAACACATAGGCCTGAAAATATTATAATTGTTCTGGAACTATCTGACGGTAATTCAAAACAGGGAACAAGATTTCGTGAAATGAATCATTGAGCCAGGAATGCAACGATTTAAATGCATACAAAATGAATAAATATATCTGGAACAGAGTAGACTGTTCATGTGGACAATTATATGCTACGTCTATTGCCAATGAAGTTTATCACCCCACGTTATAGCATTTGTTTCATATAAAAGATAGAAACCAAATAAATGGGACAATTAGTTGTTATGAGTTAGCTTTACCTCTGTGACATATCACACAACTAAATGTGAATATGTTTATCAAATAATCAATTACAGTAATTAACCTAGTGTCCTTATTCATACACAATTTAATTACGTATTGGGGTACAATATATAATAAACATATACACGGAATGATTTCTTATTTTGTCAATTTAATCATAACCCAAATCATACAAATCAAAGTGTGAAAGTAGTGACTAACTTTATGATCAAGGGTATAAATACTCAATTGTATCTATTAATCCTAATAGTATAACAATAAACCCTGTGTATATACTGAGCATATTTAGATACATCCGGATCTACGACCGCAGCCATATAATCAATCAAGGAAAGTATATTAGATTGAATTACAAATGTGCTATCACTTAAACAAAATTTTCCGTTATCCACGTAAGCCTAAACCTGGGAGAAATAAAGTTCTGTTCTGAAGACGCCGTCATGATTAGTTGGCGCCAGTCTAGACTGTCCAATCAACGTGAATATACAAACCGTGATGTTACTTGACCAGTTGATGACACCTGTCAAACTCAAAGTGCCCCTGGTCCTCGACCCACCATGTGTAATACTTTAGCGTACTTGATTCTTTAATTTGCAGTTATATCACTGTTAGGCTGAGTGATGAGAGAATACATTTTGTTGTTTTTGTTAACGATCGTTTCCATTTTCAACGTGGTAACCTTATAAGTGACTAACTTTTTTATCATGATGAAATGAAACAAATTAAAATAATCAGAGGGACTGACGATCGCATTTTCCGCATAAATGTCATGCTCGCATTAATTTCATGATTTAATGAAGATAGATTTGAACATTTCTGAGCAACGATCATGTTTGGATAAGGGAAGTAATCTTGTCTCCGCTTGCAATTGGATTCAGTTCCGAGATCGCAGCTTGACTGTTCGGTACGGCCGAAAGGCGGCATCCATGTTGTTCACGCTCCGCTGATCACGGGGCGTCATTTGTCTGTATTCTGCTTATGCGCATGAAACACGGGTGTCAAAACGAATATATTTACCAATTATACGTACGGTCAATTAGCCAGTCCAAGAGACAATACCCTGGTTCTACCACCTTTAGAACGTCGCATGCCCCTGGTTCACGGTTCGTCAGATCTCCCGTCATAAAACCACGATGTTTATTTACCTGGAGCCCCCGACAGCGCCGACTTCCTGTGTACATGTACGTACATGGCAATAAATGGTTTGACAGTTGTTTGACGGAATCAATCAATAATTATTGACACGGTGATGTAATTAATTTGTCACTATTCACAACTCCTATTTTTATTTTTCTATTGATCAGCTGTATTTTCGACCAGTTTTATATGTATAAAAAATCTTCTCTTGTATTTATAAACCAAACCTTAAAACATTATATAAGAACAATTGTGTTTTTAAACCGTAAGTTTTCTATTAAAACAACCATGCAAGTAAGATTTCAGCCGTAATATTACTTTAGTCACTCCACAGATTACACATCTTATATGCTGCAAACGCAACGAATCTAATGCTACTACGTCACAGCTGCCTCGGTAATTAAGGGCTGGAATGTTTTTGTGAAGGCAGTTAGAGCAGACGAATTTTCCCCCTCGCTGTATAATGACGGTCGCTAACCATATATGTGTATATTTACTGTTTTTGGCTTGATTTGATTGTCCTTTGGTGAAAACAAATGTTCAATTGTGAAAGCAAACCCTTTTCCCCTGAACGTTAAAAGACAGCTGACTTTGTTTTTGTCTGAAATATCAACGTTTCAAGTCGTTTATATATTCGGAAATCCATATTATGGTTAATATTTATAAAATAATATGGACAATGGTAAAATCCATTATCACAGTTTAAGTGCTATTCACAAATGTATGTAAATCTACTTCGTGATGAATGAAGCATGGCAATAAATATATGCATCTGATTCTTCATTTGTTCTGTATTCTTTGACGAGAATGAGTTTCGTTTATGATGATCACTCTCACAGATTTTTTGATAAGAGGATAAGACTTTAACTGGAGAATAGTTATGACAAATATATATATAAGTATAGGCGGTCTGTGCACATGTGGTGAAACTGATACCTCATTTGATTTGCTAATCGGGACTTGGAAATCATAGTCTGTCATTAAATTGATTTTAAAATATATGGTTTTGACTGTAGTACGTCCTGACATCATAATATTATGTTGTAAACAACTTATCTTATCTTATGTTAAGTAAAACAATTATTGATAACTTCCTGAATTCCAATTGTTCAATGAACAGAATTATTCACAGCTCTGGCGTGTGACAACAATAAATTAGATGTTACCAAAGATTGTCCATTTTATGATCTTAGGCACATGTCGGCGCACTTACATGTGAGCCGTCTAGACGACTGTCTGTTTTGTAATTAAATGGCAGCTGCCATCCAAACGAATACTTAATCTTGAGACCTATTAGTTGTCTCATAATTAATCAAAATATTAGCCCAAGAAACCAAACTCTAGCTCGCAAACACCCCTTACTCACCCCAATATCCCAAAGAATAACTAACTACCTCAATGAACACCAAACTCTAAATCTTAAACAAAACTGCAAAAAATCAAATATCTTCACCCCTAAACTCAAAATACTCAAAATAGACACAACGCTAGCTAACCAAATAAATAAACAAACCGACCCAAACATAGCTAAAACAACCACACTTGCATACATACACGAAAATTGGCCAAATGGGTGTCACATATACACTGACGGATCTTCAGACCCGATCTCCAACCACACAGGCTTCGGAGTCCATACCACACAACCAGTTATTTCCACACAATCTTACCGACTCCCTAACAACCAATCTATATTCACGGCCGAACTCATGGGCATGGCCTCAGCCCTGCATAACCAACAATCTAAAAACAACAATCAAATCCTAATTCTCACCGACTCCCTTAGTGGACTACAAGCCCTCCAAAACAAAAATACCCCAAAACGACCTAAATTAATAAACCAAATACTTAAAAGCTCCAACGACATAACAAAAGCAGGCAAACAAATAACCTTCTTGTGGATCCCCGCCCGCGTAGGAATTTAAGGCAACGAAAGCGCCGATAAAGCAGCTAAATTATCTCTTAAAATACCAGAAATAAGCTTAAACCTTACCATCTCAAAATCAGAAATTAAAAGTGTAAACAAACAAAAAATAACAAAAAAATGGCATAATCAATATCAAAACTCAAATAGCCAAATCAAAAAAGTGCTCAGAAAACCACTAGCCAAACCTAAAATCCTACACCCCTCTAAAAATATTGACGGATTAATTACAAAACTCCAAACAGGACACACGAACCTAAATAACCACCTAAAAAAACTTAAAGGACACACCACAGGCAACTGCCCCCACTGCAAACAACCCGAAACCACAGAACACGTACTCATCCATTGCACCCACTACCAAACACACAGAACCACACTACAAACCACCCTCAATCAAAAGAGTTCCTACACTAGATGAAATACTAAACCCTCAAAATAAACTAGAAAACTTCAAGGCCCTAGGCGTATTCCTAATCAAAACAGACCTAATTAAGCGCATCTAAAAACTAATTAATCTACCCATCCAAAATCCAATAAACATACAAACACCCACCTCACCCGGCTCCCTTAGTTCCCTCCTCCACCCACCTCGGCATTTATTCCAAATTTAAAAATCTCAAAAATACAATATAAGCAACCCTTAAAAGCCCCCTCTTGGGTTGCACACACCACTTTCACCCTTTTCGGAATACACTAAATGGTCCGGCCAGGCCCGTGTGCGAAATACGCTGCAGTCGGAAAGCGCACGTTAAATCTTCTATATCAGTCAGTAGTTGTCTCAGCACTACACAATCAGCAATCTAAAAAAACAACAAAAAATCCTCATCCTAACCGACTCCCTCGGTGGACTACAAGCCCTCAAAAATAAAAACACTAAAAACCATCCCAAACTAATAAATCAAATACTCAATAGCTCAAACAACGTAACTAGGGCAGGTAAACAAATAGAGTTCATTTGGACCCTCGCCCACGTAGGAATATTTGGAAATGAAAAGGCAGATAAAGCAGCAAAATTATCCCTTTAACTCCCAGAAATAAGCTTAAACTTACCCAGCTCAAAATCAGAAATCAAAAGTCTCACTAAACAAAAAATCAACAAAAAATGGCAAAATATATACCAAAACTTAAATAGCCAAATCAGGAAAGTACTAAAAAAAAACCTAAATAAACCAAAAATACTACACCCATCCAAAAAAATCGACAGAATAATTACTAAACTACAAACAGGCCACACCAAACTAAATAATCACCGTAAAATAGCTAATCTACACACAACAGGAAACTGCCCACATTGCAAACAACAAGAAACACCAGAACACGTACTCATTCACTGCACACACTACCAAACACACCGAACAACACTACAGACCACCCTAAATCTTAAAACCGGACTTACACTAGAATCAATCCTAAATCCACAAAATAAATTAGAAAAATTCAAAGCCTTAGGTTTATACCTAATTAAAACAGGACTAATTAGTCGCATTTAAGCCCCAAATAAAATAAGAAAACCAAAACTACCTTATCTAACAACCACCCAACACACACAGGTCCCTTAGTTCGTCCCCCACCCACTCTTGGCATTCTTTCCAAATCTCAATATTTCAAAATTACTATATAAGCAACCCCTAAAGCCCCTAATTCATAGTCTTTTTATTGTTCAAATTACTGATAAAACATATTTTAACTTGTTCCTTCTAACCATATTTCCAAACAATTCCAAACCATTCCAAACCATTCCAAGTCATTCCAAACATTTCCAGTGTTGGAAATATGTTTGGAAATGTTGCCATTCCAATTTTTGATTTTCTGGAAAGATCGATCTTTCCAAGCTTTGGAAAGTTTGGAATGAGCGATCTTTCCAAAGCATTCCATCGTTCATTCCAAATTGGAATGGACGCTATTTGGTCTTGTGATAGGTATACCGAAATTCAGTTTTTGGAAGAAGTTTGAACATTTGAATCGTAAAGATCATCGTGTAATCAATGACAAGAATTCATTACGACCTTCTAACATAAAGAATAACTCATGTCTATTCAGGCGTGCTGGCACTAGTGCAGATTACGTTTAGCCACCAGCGACTCATGCTTACTGATGGTTCAATGCCAAACATCAGTTATCTTTCTACACATACGGTGAAACCCATTTTACAAAAATATAGCCAATCTTACTTATCAACAATCAATACCAGCAAACACCTTATTCATGTTCATATGAAAATATTTCTGTAGCGTTCACGAATACAATAGCGGAAAGTAATTCCCGTCCAAAACAAGAAATCACACTAATAATTGCTAGGGACTCATCAGTCATGTATCTCCATCTTGTCGTGATGTAGAGTAAGTCAAATGACATCTCGACATTAATTTTGTCGTCTCGGCTCGGACACGATGTTTTATGCCCCAAATATATTTTTCACAGGTCGTAACCTAGCACGATATGTTCACGAAGAACAATGAACATGGGTCGCAATTATCTGCTTAAAAATCCCATTTGGATTTGACTAATAATGATGACGGTCCTTATACTAGATTACGACAACAAAGCGTCACGAGAAACCAGTTTCTATCTAATAACATCGCACATTACAAGGATTAGAACCCTTCTGCCTAGGTAACTGTACTATTATTGATGTTCTGCGCTTTCCAACGATGCCAAACATCGAACGAATGTTATAACACATCGAACGTGTTATTCATATAACGCTTCGAAAACGGAGGTTCTTCACTGTGTTTTCTCATGTTATCATTATTCGATTATTTAAACAATGACAATAAAACAGAAATAGGTAATTGAATATTATGGAATCTTACAATTACCGAATATCGCCAGAACTTTCGCTTCTTTGGTGGTTGATCTGGACGATATAAATGAGTTTATTGTAACAAAAAAAGTTTTTAACGAACTTTGACTTTGAAGTCAAATATTGTGGGAACAAGGAATGTTTTCGCGTCTAATTTGACAATTTTTCTCTGGTCGTGAGTCCGTGTCCATAACAGCGCAACTTGCATTCCTACTCAGGGACGGGTCCATATTTTGAGCCATATTTTCTGCGAAATATGAAGGGAAACAGGAGCGAATACGAGAGTATGTCGGGAAAGTAAATTTCTTAAAAAATAGCCCATGGCTTGTGAACTTTGAGACTGGCAAGTAACTTTATAGCCTAGGTAGCCCGACTGACCAGCAGTATTTGGAAACTATTTCATACACTGCCATACTTTCGAATCGTTTTCTTCAACACGCCGCCTTTTGGCCGTCGTAAGCTCCGTAAGGGTCTGACCCTGTCTTTTTTTGTCGCTAGCTTGGAACTGTGTTTCGCAACATATCAATATGACACCTTTACGCCAATCGTAGCTCTGAAGACACCGCCTTGTCTGGAACATATTGTTCTGTTGTAAAATCGTTCTTTGTTCGCGTTTATTTATCACATTCTATTATAGTCAGCGATGCACAGAGCATTTTTTCCGCTTGTATATTTAACCGTCGACTATATATATTATTATATAGATCCTCCCACAGACGAGGAAGTGGCGTTTCTGTCTCAGGTGGAGATCCTGTTTGGATCGCCTCGGATGATGGTTGATTTCATCCCACAATGCACCAGCCTCAGGTGGATCCAGCTGCCGCAAGCAGGTATGACAAGTGTAGGTCTTAATTTGCTAAAATCCCATAAGAGTTTATGATACCCGTGGTAATTTACTATGTGGCCGAAAACTATCATCAACATAATATATATATATATACGTCATATAGTAATAAATTTTTACGTGATAAAATAATTTATACTGACAGACACGAATAAGGGAACAATGAGATATATAGGGACATCAGCTTTACTGTCAGTAAATTGAAATCGCGGCATATACATTCAACACATGTCAGAATCCAATGTTGAGATCCGTTTGTGTGCATTGTTTCCAAAGCGTATTTGACAGACAATAAAACTAAAACTGTTCCCTTATTTATTTCTATCAGTATATTCATAATGATACGGATTTGTGATGTGACTGAGTATCTGTCTGTGAAACTGGCTGCGCGTATCAGTTGTCGAACCCATGGAATCGTAGGGCATAATCTGCATACGGACGTTGCATGGAATTTCAATGACGTCAGTGTTCCTTCTGTTGCAGGTGTGGATGAAATACTGAAGCTTGTAAAAGACAATAAGGTAACGCTTTGTGAAGAATGATCAAGTCGAGACTAAATCATACATTTCACCCAAGCATTGACACACAGCGACTTGAACATCCAAATTTACAATAAAACCTCGTGACAGTTCGTCCGGACGCTCCCTACTCTGATGGATTATGGTCGTTATGAACAGAACAACCAAATATACAGTTAAAGGGACATAACTCACAGCCTATTATACGAGACTTCACTGTACGCGAGATGATATAAATGAAATTTCAGTAATAATATTCAGTAATAATTAGATGAAACTGTCTGTCTGTCATGTAGGTGAACCAAAAAATCATTGTCACCCGCAACGGAGAGTCCTTCGCCAAGCCAGTGTCCGAGCACATAATGTGCCAAATACTGACCACAAACAAAGGTCACTACAAGTGGTATGACCAGCAGAGGACAGCGGCGTACGAGAGGTATGTCCAAAGCCCTCAGACTGTTTTCAGAGGGACTCGGTGCAGCTAAATATGCAAGAGACGCTATTTTGTTTCTTCTTACCTCGGTGAAAAAAGTATCAAAATCAATGAGAACGTTTTGGTAATTATTGAACAACCCACTTTCGTGTAATGGTTTCATGCGCCACTGTAATCATGAGAATAGACACACAATGCTATTGGATGCTAGCTTGGTGCGAGTTTAGGGTGTGTAAGTAACGGATCACTGCGTAAAGAAGCACAAGGAATGACTCTCAAATCACTATTAGTCACGGATAAGTTATAAAACATGTTATATGATAAGATGTACTTCCACATTTCTATTCTCTTTGTAAACACATAAAAGAAAAGAGGACAGATTTCAGTATGTGAATCTGAACCGACATTGACAGTGGCATGATTTCACTTCAGAGGCAGACTTCATTCCAAACCCCTGTCACTGTCAACAGTTGGTATATTAGGCCTGGGCTGCATTGGACGTGAAAGTAAGTATACTATATCTATATACACATATTCTTCATCAACTTTATTACCAATGTGAAGACCCGTGAAGATACGGGGTAGAATAGGTCTTCAGCAACCCACGCGTGCCGTAAAAGGCGGCTTGTCACAAGAGGCGACTAACGGGATCGGCTGGTCAGGCTCGCTGACTTGGTTCATGCATGTCATCGATGCCAATTGCGTGGATCGATGGTCATCATGTCAATCACTGGATTGTATGGTCCAGACTCGATTATTTACAGACCGCCGTCATATAGCTGGGATATTGCTGAGTGCGGCGTTAAACAACTAACAAAAAAAAACAAAAAAAACAATGTGAAACATTGTTCCATTCCGACTGTTTTGTGTCAGCTGCCAGAACGTGCAAGTTCTTTGGGATGAAGGTGTGGGGCATGACACGAACTGAAGTCCCAGAAGATAAGAAGTCCCCGTATGTTGACGAATACAGGTATGTTACCAACATGTGCCATGTGTAAGACGATCTAATTGTCACTGTGATATCTTGTGTCGTTAGTTGTTTTTATCTTTCGCAAAATACAGGCAATATAAAACAAAATATTATTCAGACTTGATCCACATTTTGCTGGCATATATTAACTTCATAGAGATGTATATCCATCCACAGAACAATGAGTCATTTGCATGAAATCCTATCTGAATGTGACTATATCGTCAACATACTACCGTCAACTGAACAGACACGGGGCTTGTTGGGAGGAGATGTGTTCTCACACTGCAAAAATAAGGTACACATTCTGTTTTGTCTCCACGTGGATATGGTTGTGATAGTGTGGACATATGGTATGCAGATGAGAGTGTATGCTGTTTGTAGACAGATGGAACAATGTGAGGATTTCTGCTGTTACGGGGGCGTGACTTAGCTTAAAGCTGATAAAGTTAACTTGGTGCTAATTTCTTTTCTGCATTGGTTTTTCAGCATGAACAGTAGTTCGTTCGTGTCATTCTGTTGACAGAAGCTGTACATTTGACTTGCGATCTATATGTATGGTGCTTCCAGAGAAACTGATGTTTACAACGCAACTTCCCTTTACAGAAGACTACATTCATCAACGTGGGACGGGCAGATGTGACGGATGAAGAAACCATTCTTAAAGCTCTTAGGTTTGTTTGTTGTTTAACGCTGCACTGCACATACGCGGTATGTTAATAAGTCAGGACAGCCCCGTGATTGGCATCGTGTGCACTGACACACGAATTCGGATAGGATGACTTAAAACCAACTAAATTACAGAGTTTGACCACCTGGTCCTCTTACATACCTCATACGACACACATAGGTTGCTAGGGAACTATATTCTTACCAGGACTCACTACGGGATACTTAGGTTTGTAACTGATGGATACATTTAAGGGTATACCAAACCAATCATGAATCTTGAATGTATGTATATTGCTGAATGAACCCGCTCATCGCAAGACACAACACAAAAATAGGCATTATACAGATAAATCAACTGGATCATGTGTTCATTCGTAGGAACAAGTGGTTACAGTATGCTGCACTGGACGTCCACAACCCCGAGCCGCTGCCTGAAAGTAGCCCCCTGTGGAGCGAGCCAGGGGTCATCATAACGCCCCACATCGCTGGTGGCCTGATACTGTATCCTGGGTACCAGCGAGACGTAAGTTTGTTTGTTTGTTTGTCTGCAAGCATGCATTACTGAAGACCGGATCTTCTCGGGTCAGCAAGACGTAAGATGACATCTGTTCTGCGCACCACTTACTCGATGATCTATAACGAATATTACCTAAATAACATGTCGCTACATTCAGAGAAATGTTAATGTGATGTTGTGGATAGTTTGGGATAGCAGTCCTTGGATATTGGTGTCAGCCCTTGGCTATTGGCGTCAGCCCTTGGCTATTGATGTCAATCCTTGGCTATTTGTGTCATCCCTTGGCTAGTGGCGTCAGTCCTTGGCTATTGGTGTCAGTCCTTGGCTATTGGCGTCAGTCCTTGGCTATTGGCGTCAGTCCTTGACTTTTGGTGTCAGTCCTTGGCTATTTGTGTCATCCCTTGGCTATTGGCGTCAGTCCTTGGATATTGGTGTCAGTCCTTGGCTATTGGCGTCAGACGCTGGCTATTGGCGTCAGTCCTTGGCTATTGGTGTCAGTCCTTGGCTATTGGTGTCAGCCCTTGGCTATTGGCGTCAGCCCTTGGATATTGGCGTCAGTCCTTGGCTATTGGTGTCAGTCCTTGGCTATTGGCGTCAGTCCTTGGCTATTGGCGTCAGTCCTTGGCTATTGGTGTCAGTCCTTGGCTATTGGTGTCAGCCCTTGCATATTGGCGTCAGTCCTTGGCTATTGGCGTCAGCCCTTGACTTTTGGTGTCAGCCCTTGGTTGGTGTTCTTAGGCGCCACAAAGTGTTATGTCTGGGCGTATTTATGCAGGATCTGAGTAATACTTGGTAATATCATCCCTGCTTCAGACCAGAATGATCCCAAACATGAACCCAAATCAGATATAACCATTACAATTGCTTACAATACTGCATCCAGAGAATGTGCTGGTTGAAGGGGGAAGGGGTAAGCTTATGAACTGTCTGCGAAAGAAATTGGATTTGACCAATACCATAGGCGTCTACAACATACGCCACTCTCACTAAGTTGACACGAGGTGATATAAGGTACAGCTCACAATAGCTCAGTCATTCGCTCATTTAGAATTTTGAAATGACATCTCTTCACACATACTCAATGATTATTACCCATGGCTGCTGAGGTGTTATTCTGTTGCAGAGGGCCGAGTTATTCGTGAAACAGTATCGCCGCTATGTTAACAACGAACCCTTGGAGTACGTAGTTGATGTGGATAAAGGTTACTGATGGCGTCGCATTCTACGTTCACATCCACTTCGCACAACGGTCCAGGAGAAACCAAATGCATTTTCAGTTGTTTCAGTTGAACTTCTGATTTTACAAAATTACATTCCCCTTACATCTCAACTCGTCAGAATAATGCACATGCCTGCAGGTGTTCTTTGTGTCGCGTCTTGACCTCCAGCTGCCAGAGAGTGAACACACCACCTCAGATTTTGATTCACCAAAATTAACAATTGGCAATTTAGATTATGTTAGACCCGGGAAGATCCGGGGTAGAATAGGTCTTCAGCAACCTTGCCGTAAAAGGCGACTATGCCTGTTGTAAGAGGCGACTAAAAGGGTCGGATGGTCTAGCTCGCTGACTTGGTTCATGCATGTCATCGTATACCAATTGCGTTGATCGATGTTCATGATGTCAATCACTGGATTGTCGAATTCAGACTCGATTATTAACACACCGCCGTCATATAGCTGGCATATTGCTGAGGCGTTAAACCCAACTCACTCACTCACTACAGTACTTAGGGGGGGGGGGGGGGGGGGGGTCTGAAAGGTCCTGAGCCTAACTATGGTGAAATACATTCATGGAGTTGGTTGCTGTTTATTGCTGTTTATTGTGCAACATGATCCCCTCCGAGGTACACAAACCCCGCCAACAATCCTGGAGTGCCTGTATCCCACTAATGTCGTAAAGCTTCTGGTATTGTAGAACGTCCTACTCAGAAGAAATGACGTCATCACCATTTGCATAATGTTTCACAGAAAGGTCTTCCTTCAGCTTTGTGAAGAGGTGGAAATCTAACGGTACCAAATCTGGTAAAGATGAAAAATATCCAATAAATTCAAAGCCGCAGTCATGGCGACACTAGACTTGTTCAGGCTCCTCTTGTACTCCGTAGTAGTTGCGGAAAGAGCACCATCTCCTAAAGTTGACACCACGTCCGCATCACTACAGGAGTCAGCCCTTTCATTTGGAAGATGCTTGATGACATTGCTGTAGCCAATGGTGTTCATTTTCATCACCAGTGAATACCTAGTCACTCCGATGCCAGCAGGAATATGCTGCCTTGTTGTATATTTGGGGAAAGCGAAGCCTGTAAGCAGGGAAAGTATGCCTGGTCCGGCTCAGAACTATGCAAGCACCATGTCCGGTTGACACTAGCAGCTCAACTATATCCTCTAAGTGAAACCAATTTCGTTTCTGGGTACTAATTATTTTTTAAAAACATAGAGAAGTGAACACACGTCGCCACTTTGTCCCAGCTGCCTTCTTTCTTCATTCAGAACACACCAGTTATCAGTGAGCCTTTCTATGCTTCTGTAATGGCACCACTCATTCTTAAACGTATCTTTGTGAACTGAGGAAACGGTGACTGTGTTATTGTAACGAAACTGACGTAATTGATTATTGACATAATTGTAGCTTGAATCAGCTGAATCGGCTGCAATGTGGCAGCAATATAGAAAAGTATGAAAACATATTCACTTACCCGGACAATACACTTCCGCTGGTGATAATCCTTTGATTCTTCAGAAGTCAATTAACCAAGTAACACTGAGTTACGTTTGAGACGAGCTTGTTTATTGTACATGTAATCCCCTTCGATAAATATGGCGTCTGTGGGGGTCAGAGGTCAAAGTTGTGACTTCAAACTGTGAGTATGGCCTGTCAACCAGCGAAACGTAAGCGACACGCAGTTACAGCACGCGAAAAAAGGGAAATTTGTCTGTTTAAGGAAAAACACCCGTCAGCAAGTTTGGAAACCATCCGTAGGTATTATGGCACTGAATTATTGTTTACAATTCAAACCTCAAAATGGGGTAAAGTTCAAACTTCCATGACAGATTTTTTGAAACGTGTATGTCTTGAATAAAGATTGAGTGGATGTATCTGTTTGCTCTGTTATCTGTCATGAGATGCATAATTGAAGGGAAGTAACTCTTCCAGTAAGAAGCTGGTTTCAGTTATACGGAAATTCGTTCATACGGACGAATTGTGAAATGACGCAAGTGTCCGTATAAACGAGGCACGACTGTAGTCAGTCTTATTCAGTATTCTAATGCCTGTCACAGATCTGTCTGTCAGCTCGGTGATCTTTTTCCAAAGCCTTTTATTTATCGCAGGACTAGGACTCAAGTAAGTAAACAAGCTCTAACGTTTGTATTGTATTAATGCAAAAAAACGGTTCAGAGCATCACTAAACAACAAAACATTATGTCGAAGCATCATCACGACGTTCTTCGCCGCGTCTACTAACGACCTTGAACTTTATTTTTTGGCAAATGGGACCTGTCGTTAAAATGTCGTCCTTTTTATCAACCGATGAAATCCCGTGTTATGAACATTAGTTCCTGGGCTGTGCCGCACTCGGGTCGAGGAGGTGAAATGTGGTTTAACGTCGATTCAACATTATTGCACTTATATAGCGATGTACATCTACGTGTATCGCTGTACTACCCCGTAGTGTAGCCCTAGCTCACTGAGATACCAGATGAGTCCTTTTATATCCCCGTAATGCCGAGCGTCAGGCAGGGTAACAACAAGTACCATCTATTAACGTATTTTGATATGACGCAGCCAGGGGATCGAACCACCGAGTTTTGCGCTCTCGGGGCGGGTAGTATGGTGTTTAACTGTTGAAAAGATACTCTTGCCAACTCCAGTGTACTCCATCTCTATTCAATGAAATATTTGTTATGGAGATATGGTGAATCATTTCATAGTATTTCGTATTCAATATAAGATATAGCTACGCGTTGAATCGCAAAGAACAATGAATAACGAACCGTGGTTTATTTCACGACAAAGCATTGTTCTATCGTGACGTTATTTCTGGAGACTCGAATATGCGATCGCAACTTGATGACGTCATATATTGGACGACGTTATTTTTTAGAGGGAAGTGTCTTGTAACTTGTTCCCTATAGATGAAGCTGGGCGACGCAGATAAACGCATTGGTCAAAGGATCGCATCCAAATTTGGAAAAAATGTGACAATCAAAGTTAGGAGAAAAGGTACAGATAGTAGACATGAGGATTGTGAGAATATGCGGGAAATGCCAAACTTACCCATCTGTTCGTAAAATGGACTTGTCCGACATTGCCAAGGTCGGATTCTATTGAGGGAGTCAGTATTTTTAAAATTTTGGTAAATAGTTTTAAAGGTTGTGAATTTTATCAACATCCTTAAAGAGGTTGTATACAATGTTGATATCTCATATAAGAAACAAACGACGAGTGGGAGTTGTTTATCGTAGAATAAAACACTGCAGGGAGAGTAAACCATGAGGTTAAATCACAGATACGACATTTCATATCGGTTACCATCGTTATACTCTTCGCAAAATGTAGGGGGATCATGGAATACAAATGTTAATACCAAATGTTGACGACAAACATCCTGTGCAAGAACGTTCAAACTGTACAACTAAACACCAAAACACATCCTACAGTTTGCACGTTTTGTACGGAGTAGCGCCACACGCGTGCGTAGCGTGTCATTCCTGATTTCGGCACTTTCAAGGAAGGTCGATTAATCTCTGTGGACCATTATTTCTGTCAATCTTATTGACTGCTTTATTTGTTTTTGGTTTCAGAAGGTTACACCGGGATAAGAAATAGTTTAAAAGATATGTACAAACCTTTTAAAGAACTTTGTCTCACATGTATAATGATATGCGTACATACGAAATACATGAATATTTATTAAAATATTTTTATAACATTCCAAACTGTAAATTATTAGGTTAAATATGTTTGTGTTACTCGGCACAAACATAAGAGGGAGACACGCTGTGTCCAAAAGAGCTTGCACTCCTCCCCTGCAGCCGCTAGGAGGCGAAGGGCAATATACCAGAGCAGCTCTATCCGACAGACCTATGTCCCCATACAGCATTTCGCTGTTGACCATTTCCGTGTAGCGGGTCTGTCTGTCGAGAGGGACGGGGACAGGCCAGTGTCCGTGTAGCAATGTAATTATATCCCTGTTGGACAGTGTGAATAATTGACGCGTCAGGCTACAGGAGTATTCATAAAAGTTAGGGTGGTAACGGTCATGGAGATCTGAAGTATGGTTCATGGTTTATAAACCCGCACTCACAACGTTGTGGGTTTCAGTTTGAACAACATCTACATTTCTCCAATCATCTACTTTATGATGAAATAATATGACAACAACGTAGCTATTACTTTGAAAAGATTATTTATGAAAATGTATTAATAACTTTACCACCGTAGATATAGCAATGTCAAAAGTATCATGTATACCACTATGATTGTGTCAACATAATACTCCTTGTATGTTTCAGGGAGTTATTGTGTGAAAACAAATTACCAGTTTTGCTTTCATAATACGGTACTGTACGCACTACTGTTCCCAAAACGTCACTTTACGCCCATCCTCCTTCAAAATTGTTGACGGTCACGACATCAACTGTCATACTCCACTACTGGTTGTAATGTGTACCCAATTCGTTCATTATTATCCTTCAGCAGGTATCATACCACACCATTGCGATACCACGATAATATAGAGTTGCCTCTCCCGCGCCCCCATACCCCCCCCCCCCCCAACCCCACACACCCCCACACACACACCACGCCCTCATACACACACACACACCCCTTGAGATACTTTGTTCACCGGTAACACTAAAGTAATCAGTGTAGATCAATTCCAATTGACGTGTCATAACAGTTGAACAAACAGCAAGAAACAATCGGCGTATAACATTATTGAATAGTTTAGTAAGCGTACTCCATCAATTAGGTTAAATTGATTGCCTCTACAATATAGCATTCCATGGTGGAGACAACTATTACTTTTTAATATTGGAAATTTTAAGTTATATCCTAGCATCCCCTCCTTTTTAAGAGCATAGTTGGGATATTGCAGTGGACGGCTGAGACACAAACAACCGGATACGGAAGACGGAAGATTTGTCCAAATATGGCCACATGTCCATGTAGTAAACTTAGTCACGGAACACGATACGACTTGTAGCAGTCACATATCGGTAAGTCAACAAACTGCACTAGTCTTGTGTGATTAATTCGTTTAAATTATTATGTCTATGATTATATTTGGGATATGAGCTGACAGAAATTTGATAAAACTAAACGATTCTCCAAAAAGTCCTAACCCTTGTGCGACATAACATTAAACTGATAATGCCAATGAAACAGCCGAGACCATCGCAGTCCTAATTACGCTTTTAAATTTTAACAATGGTTTTGCAGGAGTTTGCGGAAACGCTTTCTTGTCATTACGTTTGTTTAGTATTTCGGGTTGACAATACGGCCTCTTTAATGACATGAAACTAATTTATTCTGATCCTCTACAGGGCGGAAATATTACGTGGGAAAGGCGCTCAGTGCCTACTAGTTTATGCACGAAAGACATCTCGGAATAGTCATTCGTTTCGGATATTTCATTGTTACATCTCAGTGTATCCTTCTGCCACTGACCTTCCGTCGTTGACTGTCCATCACTGCTGTTGCCTATATCCAGTAGCCGTTGCAGAGAGCTGATACAGTGGACATGCAATGAGTAAGTACAATGGCACCGACAGAAAGGGTCGTGCATGTTGTGAAATATAAAGCGTAAGCTCTGCATACCAATTACCCGGGTTTGTTTACCCACATACGTGATGTCCGCCCTCGGTTCCTCCTGCCGTGCAACTTGTGGCTATGGAAAGGGCTTTGTCCCTTTATTTGCGTGGTTGATGAAACGGACGAAGAACGTTACTCACTAATCACAGTATTACTTATACTGACATTCTGAATAAGGCGTATAGCATGCGTAAATCACTTTACATTGTTCACTGCTTTTTAATTCTAGATTTGGGGGCACGGGTGGCCCAGACGTCTAAGGCGACGTGCAGAGCTGCGTCCCTTGGGCACGCCAGAAACCAATGATTGTGGGTTCGAATCCCGGTTCGCCCCGATTATGTTTCTAGGTTTGTCACCACCATACCCGTGTTCGTGGTTTTCACCGAAGTGGTAAACGTCGGAGACCTGCATTACTTCGGGCTTTCCTCCCAAATTAAGCTGACACGCCGTGATATGACTGGAATACTGTTAAAAGCGGCGTTAAACCAAACTCATGCACTCACTCACTAGATTTACCTCGTGCCTGAATACCTTGACTAGTTAAGAGATGACCAACTGTGTTTACAGTGTAGAATTCCGAACGAAGATTTGATACCTTTAAATTTCATTTGAAACCGAACGTGATGGGGTTCGAATTTGAAAAAAGGTACAGGTATGGAGTCAAAGATTGAAACGTCTATCATGAAAACACACTTGGTTTATTTTCATTGTACCATGAAACGATGACAAAACAAACGCGAACTCTTTGTTTATAGTGGAAATGATTAGTGGTGGGACATCGGGTGAGCCTAACATTTTCAGATGGTTGAAAGTGCGAATTCAGGGATCAGTGGACATCGCCTTGAATCTTCATAATATATTTATTTTATGGATTCCTAAAATATCATGGTAGACTATGCATTAGATATCACAGTAGATGAAGTAAGTTAATGTTGTTTGTCGCCGTAGCTATCCGAGCTATATCACCGCGGCATGTACATCACCAACTCGGGCCTAAACCTGCCAGTACAACCATGGGGGACGAGCAGGGGCGATGTCACGCTGTCACGATGTCAAGCTGTCGCCAAGGTCACACAACGTGACCGGCCAGGTCTCATGTAGTCGACTCCCGAAACAATTGGATTCTGGAAACGTATGCTTACTCGCGTGTAAATGGATGTCACATGAATGTTTTTCAGGTGAACAAGTGACTTGCCTTTGCATGTGTTTGCGACGGATCCAAAACTCCAAGAAAGCGACCCATCATGTGTATGTCTCTAGATTCCAGTGAAATCGTGCTTGTGGTGTGCGTTGTCGTTGCATTCGTTGTTGACGTCATCCTCCTTGGGTACTACATCATCAACCGGTAAGACATGGATTATTGTGATGACGTAAGCTTGTTTCCTGCAATATGGAGAATTGTAGATGTGTCTGGCCTCATATAGCAGGTATAAAAATAAAGCTTGGCAATCCCGATATTCATGTTATAATCCGTGTGCTGTATGACGCGAATTTGCTTGATGACATCAGTAGTCGTATGCCGTCTCCGTTTATGTTTTTGACTGATGCAAAACAAAAGTCAAAACCAAATATTAGGCTGTTATTTTCAATAACATAACATTTACACTACTGTACAGGAAGCACAGCTACGCTAAGCTCCTCCTTCACTCGTGAATACATAGAGCCCATATTGGAATCACTAGTGACGTGTGTTTGATTTAGTCAGGCAATGCTTTGTTTGTTTGTTCTTTAACGCCGCACTCAGTAATAATCCAGCTATGTGACGGCGGTCTGTAAATAATCAAGTCTGGACCAGACAATGCAGTGATTGACATCATGAGCATCGATCCACGCAATTGGGATACGATGACATGCATCAACCAAGTCAGCGAGCCTGACCAACCGACCCCGTTAGTCGCCTCTTGCGACAAGCATAGTCGCCTTTTACGACACGCATGCGTTGCTGAAGACCTATTCTACCCGGATCTTCACGGGTCTTCACATTCATAATACCGTACCTAACTCACGGATTCAATTGAGCCCAACTCCGTGCATGAATCTTGTACGAACTTTACCGTCTCCTGACAAAGAGGCACTGTGTTGAGTAGATGACCGCAAGGCTATACGTATGGAAACAGCATTGTTATATGTTTATGGATAGATAGATTCCATTCATGTAGCCGCCAATTGCTATATCTGACTTCATTATACCCATCGTCATCTATGTTTCTTTTCTTCAGGAACAGGAAGCCAGCAACATGTGCAGCTATTGTGGAGTATGCCAGTCATCAACCACACTGGTCAGATCGTGACGACACTTCAGAACAGAATGAAGAAGTGAAAGTCGTTATCGTTGACAATAGGCCGGAAGGGAAACCTTATCAAGACACTCGAGAATGTGGTGAGGACTATGACACGTTGTGGAGTGTTAACAGAAACAGATTACAGTTTGACAACAGGACGGACACGACAAGTGTTTACAGTCACATGATCCGGCGTGACAATGCATGTGTTTGGTCTGACGAAAACAATTACGATAGGGCTGTATTGTCTACTTGTGACAGGAGAACGATCAGTGCCTTATACGAAAGGGTGCATATGTCAGGGGAATAGTTGTTGAGAAGTGTCAGGAGGAACTACTTGCCTGCTATCCCGTGGTTGGTAACATTTCCGTTGGGATAGGTGAAATGTATTCCTTTCTGCCTGACTTAAGACAGTGATCTGTGACTCACTGGCCTCAACAGGAGCCACCTTTGTGACTTAAAAGCTGTGGTGAGGTGAGGTGAGGTTAAATTGGGTTTAACGTCGCGTCCAAGATTATTGCACTTATATAGCGACGTGCATGCACGTGTGTGTGTGTGTGTGGCTGCTTGTACTAGTCCGGACTGATACCGATTTATAGTGCTAGCTCACTGAGATACCATGCCGCAGTTTAACATGAATACCCCACTCAGACACAGTATACTGACTCCGAGCCGACCAGTCCTTGTTTTAGCCCCTTAATGCCGAGCGCCAGACAGGGTAACAACAAGTACAATCTTTTAACGTCTTTTTGTATGACGCGGCCCGGGATCGAACCCTGGACCTTCCGCTCTCCGGGCGGACGCTCTACCACAAGACCACGGAGGCGGTTTAAAAGCTGTGAACAAGGACACTGATTATCTATTCTAGAATGAAGCTACTTATGGGGCCCTGCAACTTTCAAGGATCGGCTTTGATTCACAACATGTGCAAATTGTGTGGTGTGGTGTCCCCACGCCGTCATATCGCTACATCATTGCTTAGAGCGGCGTAATACAGACTCACTGATAGTTATATATGACACTGTAATTTGTGAATCTAAGGGACATTGTCGCGTTTTCGCCCTTTCAAAAACAAGCAAAACGAGTCAAAATCAACCACAAAAATGCAACAATGCGCCATGTCGGATTGTCGCGCTTTCGATAATATTTTTGACTTTAACAAAAGGGCAACAAAGCGACAAGAACTTCTACTTTTCAATGTCTCAAACTAGTTTTAAAATAAACTTTTGATATATTGCAAGTTGTTTGTACACATTTTAATACACCATTTGTAACGCACAACTGTTTCTAGTGACGATATGGCTGATATTCTGCAGATGTGAATTTAAATGTAAACTCATTCACTCTAATGGGGAAGCGCATACTGATAATGCAAACAGGATGTATGAAAATAAACTAGAAGAGTGTCTGCTTTGTGGCAAATGAACCCCTACAATATTATCTGGTGGCAATGGGGTTTACTGACACTGTGTTAATTTCTGCCTTGACGACCGAAACACATATTTTCTTCCCATGATCATATACCGGAAATGTTTCTTGAAATTTAACCCTACATTTGTAAATATTTTGCATTATCAATAACTGATGGCGGCTCAACCCAACGGCTGCATGACCTGCATCTACCAGAGTGCACGCTAACACTCACCGTGTCATGTTGTATTCGATCTCTGGTTTGACCTGTTTCATATTATTTACAAATATGATAATATACACGAACTATTACATGAGATATGTTAAATTCATAAAGAAAAGTTTCGGTTTCGAATTGTTGACTGCATTACATGATATGAACATGCTCTCGCTTTGCGCTTGTTGTTTCCGGAAACTCGTATCTGCCATGATAAAATATATGATTATAGCGTTCCCTCGCTATCTATCGTACTCCCTCGCAGTGAACGCCAAAAGGTATTGGGGTCACAGTGCAACTGCGAGGGAACGAAAATAATCTTACGAGGGAACGCGACAGGATAGCGATGGAACGCTTTAAATATATATTTGGCCATGGCAGATTGGAGCTTCCTTAGTTGTGGTATCTACATCTAGGATCTCATTTGTATCTTATATATTTATTCAGGGCGATGCTCTCAGCTAGGTTTTCTTTTAAATAGTTTACAGAATTATGGAGACACAGCTGTGTCGAGTGGTGTTCGTAAGGTCGAGTTGTTGGTTGGAGTGGTACTCATGAGGTGCTGGTGTCAGCCCGCTGAATAGAATGGTACCCATTAGTTCGAGTTGGTGGCTCACTGTGTCGAGTGGTACCCATTAGTTTGACTTGCTGGCTCACCGTGTCGAGTGGTACCCATTAGTTCGAGTTGCTGACTCACTGTGTCGAGTAGTACCCATTAGGTCGAGCTGCTGACTCACCGTGTCGAGTGGTACCCATTAGTTCGAGTTGCTGGCTCACCGTGTCGAGTGTTACCCATTAGTTCGAGTTGCTGACTCACCGTGTCGAGTGGTACCCATTAGTTCGAGTTGCTGGCTCACCGTGTCGAGTGTTACCCATTAGTTCGAGTTGCTGACTCACCGTGTCGAGTGGTACCCATTAGGTCGAGTTGCTGGCTCACTGTGTCGAGTGGTACCCATTAGTTCGAGTTGCTGGCTCACCGTGTCGAGTGGTACCCATTAGTTCGAGTTGCTGGCTCACCGTGTCGAGAGGTACCCGTTAGTTCGAGTTGCTGGCTCACCGTGTCGAGTGGTACCCATTAGTTCGAGTTGCTGGCTCATTGTGTCGAGTAGTACCCATTAGTTCGAGTTGGTGGCTCATCGTGTCGAGTGGTACCCATTAGTTCGAGTTGCTGGCTCATTGTGTCGAGTAGTACCCATTAGTTCGAGTTGCTGGCTCACCGTGTCGAGTAGTACCCATTAGTTCGAGTTGCTGGCTCATCGTGTCGAGTAGTACCCATTAGTTCGAGTTGCTGGCTCACCGTGTCGAGTGGTACCCATTAGTTCGAGTTGCTGGCTCACCGTGTCGAGTGGTACCCATTAGTTTGACTTGCTGGCTCAACGTGTCGAGTGGTACTCATTAGTTCGAGTTGCTGGCTCACCGTGTCGAGTGGTACCCATTAGTTCGAGTTGCTGGCTCAACATGTCGAGTGGTACCTATTAGTTCGAGTTGGTGGCTCACCGTGTCGAGTGGTACCCATTAGTTTGAGTTGCTGGCTCAACGTGTCGAGTGGTACTCATTAGTTCGAGTTGCTGGCTCACCGTGTCGAGTGGTACCCATTAGTTCGAGTTGCTGGCTCAACGTGTCGAGTGGTACCTATTAGTTCGAGTTGGTGGCTCACTGTGTCGAGTGGTACCCATTAGTTCGAGTTGCTGGCTCAACGTGTCGAGTGGTACTCATTAGTTCGAGTTGCTGGCTCAACGTGTCGAGTGGTACTCATTAGTTCGAGTTGCTGGCTCATTGTGTCGAGTGGTACCCATTAGTTCGAGTTGGTGGCTCATTGTGTCGAGTGGTACCCATTAATTCAAGTTGCTGGCTCACCGTGTCGAGTGGTACCCATTAGTTCGAGTTGCTGGCTCAACGTGTCGAGTGGTACTCATTAGTTCGAGTTGCTGGCTCAACGTGTCGAGTGGTACCTATTAGTTCGAGTTGGTGGCTCACTGTGTCGAGTGGTACCCATTAGTTCGAGTTGCTGGCTCATTGTGTCTAGTAGTACCCATTAATTCAAGTTGCTGGCTCACCGTGTCGAGTGGTACCCATTAGTTCGAGTTGGTGGCTCATTGTGTCGAGTGGTACCCATTAGTTCGAGTTGGTGGCTCATTGTGTCGAGTGGTACCCATTAATTCAAGTTGCTGGCTCACCGTGTCGAGTTGTACCCATTAGTTCGAGTTGCTGGCTCACCGTGTCGAGTGGTACCCATTAGTTCGAGTTGCTGGCTCATTGTGTCGAGTGGTACCCATTAGTTCGAGTTGGTGGCTCATTGTGTCGAGTGGTACCCATTAATTCAAGTTGCTGGCTCACCGTGTCGAGTGGTACCCATTAGTTCGAGTTGCTGGCTCAACGTGTCGAGTTGTACTCATTAGTTCGAGTTGCTGGCTCAACGTGTCGAGAGGTACCCATTAGTTCGAGTTGCTGACTCTACGTGTCGAGAGGTACCCGTTAGTTCGAGTTGCTGACTCAATGTGTCGAGTGGTACCCATTAGTTCGAGTTGCTGACTCACTGTCTCGAGTGGTACCCATTAGTTCGAGTTGCTGACTCACTGTGTCGAGTTGTACCCATTAGTTCGAGTTGCTGGCCAACAGTGTCGAGTGGTACCAATTAGTTCGAGTTGGTGGCTCACTGTGTCGAGTGGTACCCATTAGTTCGAGTTGCTGGCTCATTGTTTCGAGTGGTACCCATTAGTTCGAGTTGGTGGCTCATTGTGTCAAGTGGTACCCATTAATTCAAGTTGCTGGCTCACCGTGTCGAGTAGTACCCATTAGTTCGAGTTGCTGGCCAACGTGTCGAGTGGTACCCATTAGTTCGAGTTGCTGGCTCACCGTGTCGAGTTGTACCCATTAGTTCGAGTTGCTGGCCCACAGTGTCGAGTGGTACCCATTTGTTCGAGTTGCTGGCTCATCGTGTCGAGTGGTACCCATTAGTTCGAGTTGCTGACGCAACGTGTCTAGTGGTACCCATTAGTTCGAGTTGCTGGCTCACCGTGTCGAGTGGTACCCATTAGTTCGAGTTGGTGGCTCATTGTGTCGTGTGGTACCCATTAGTTCGAGTTGCCTGCTCACTGTGTCGAGTGGTACCCATTAATTCGAGTTGCTGGCCAACAGTGTCGTGTGGAACCCATTAGTTCGAGTTGCTGGCTCACTGTGTCGAGTGGTACCCATTAGGTCGACTTGCTGGCTCACTGTGTCGAGTGGTACCCATTAGTTCGAGTTGCTGGCCCACTGTGTCGAGTGGTACCCATTAGGTCGAGGTATAGGCTAGCCGTGTCGAGTGGTACCTATTCAGTCGACTTGTAGGCTCGCTGTGGAGCACACTTTAATGTTTCAGAATACCTCCAGCACTCGTGTGTTATCATTCAATAAAATGAAATGCGGGTTTAGGCAGTTACACGTACGGAAAGTAGACACACGGCACATCAGCTACATTCCTGATTGACTTACAAACAGCGTCCTTATATCTGTGTGCCAGTTTCAAATACCACACTGATTACCGACTCGATCCGGAAACTTAATAATTGCTATCTTACAACAACTGTCGCTGTCAACACGTACATAGAAATACGCTGTGCATTTACCATGGATACAAATCAGTGTGCTTCGATATTGATTGAGAAATAGAGTACTGCTTACTCGACAATGGTAGAAACTAAACTGGCGGTAAGTCTTAGTGGTCATATAGAATACACTTGTTTTATTTTTTTATTTTCATAATATCTTCCTTACACACTTAACAAAATAAACCACTCAAGAAATCAACTTTACAAAACGTGAAAATTTAAATGTATAAATAAGCGTCTAGGTTTCGTGAAGGTATTGGGGTGGGTTGGGTTGGGGTTGGGGTGGGTTGGGGATGAAGGGTGGGTGGTGGTGGAGTGGGAATGAGGGGTGGTAGGGTGGGTCAAGCGGGTAATTTGCTTGACATTGTGATTTAAATTGGTAGGGTTACGATGTAACAACGTAACAACAGAAAACGTCCCATCTTGGGAGTGTTGCTGATACACATTCGGCTCAATGACACATCCACGAGTCCATCCAAGGCTCAGAAACTGTGCACAGTTGCGTCCCTTTGGCGTACACGGATCCTCCATTTCGCCCATTTAGCGATTCCTATTATTGTTTATCGTGGGTTTTGCGCGCTAAAGTTATATGGCCTACTACCATTTGGTTTTCTGATTATTCAGCTGCCACGTCGTTATACATTTGAAATACTAATGAAGGCGGCGGGCAGAACGCACTCATTCAGAAAGTGAAACTGACGCCTTGTCCTTAGTGTTGGTTGAGGGCTTGCTGTTTCTGTAATAACTTCACCAGGCTGCCACATGAGCTGTGTATTGGCACCGCGACGTTCTTTTCTAAAACCGATATTTATGACACACAGAGGAGGAATACAAAGAATTATGATAGCCGCTCAAATATATTTGCTTTCAAATAAGTACAGACCCTAAACGATCCCAACGGTGCCACACACAATCACCTAGTGTCCTACAGGGTGTTATACAAGGTGTTCCTCGATGTCCTACAGGATGTTATACAAGGTGTTACACATGGTGTCACACAGGGTGTCCTACATAGTATTACAGCGGATGTCTTTCATGGTACTACATAGGGTGTTCTACGTGGTGTCACACAGGGTGTCATTCATGGTGTCACACAGGGTGTCCTTCATGGTATTACTAAGGGTGTTCTACGTGGTGCCACATAGGATGTCCTACACGGTGTAACACAGGGTGTCTTCATGGTATTACATAGGGTGTTCTACATAGTGTCACACAGGGTGTTCTTCGTGGTACTACATAGGGTGTTCTATATAGTGTCACACGGGGTGTCCTTCATGGTATTACATAGGGTGTTCTGCATAGTGTCACACAGGGTGTCCTTCATGGTATAACATAGGGTTGTCTACATAGTGTCAAACAGGTTGTTCTTCATGGTGTCACACAGGGTGTCGTACATGGTGTCACACAGGGTGTCCTTCATGGTACTACAAAGGTTGTTCTACATAGTATCACACAGGGTGTTTTCATGATATTACAAAGGGTGTTCTACATAGCGTCACACAGGGTGTCCTTCATGGTATAACATAGGGTGATCTACATAGCGTCACAAAGGGTGTCCTTCATGGTATCACATAGGGTGTTCTACATATCGTCACACAGGGTGTCCTACATGGTATTACATAGGGTGTTCTACATTGTGTCACACAGGGTGGCCTTCATTGTATTTCTTAGGGTGTTCTACATAGTGTCACACAGGGTGTCCTTCGTGGTATTAAATAGGGTGTTCTACATAGCGTCACACAGGGTGTCCTTCATGGTATTACATAGGGTGATCTACATAGCGTCACACAGGGTGTCCTTCATGGTATTACATAGGGTGTTCTACATAGTGTCACACAGGGTGTCCTTCATTGTATTAGATAGGGTGTTCTACATAGTGTCACACAGGGTGTCCTTCATGGTATAACATAGGGTGTTCTGCATAGTGTCACACAGGATGTCCTTCGTGGTATTAAATAGGGTGTTCTACATATCGTCACACAGGGTGTCCTTCATGGTATTACATAGGGTGTTCTACATATCGTCACACAGGGTACCCTTCATTGTATCACATGTGGTGTTCTACATGGTGTCACACAGGGTGTCCTTCATTGTACTACATAGGGTGTTCTACATAGTGTGACACAGGGTGTCCTTCATTGTATTACATAGGGTGTTCTACAAAGTGTCACACAGGGTGTCCTTCATGGTACTACATAGGGTGTTCTACATATCGTCACACAGTATATCCTTCATGGTACTACATAGGGTGTTCTACATATTGTCACACAGGGTGTCCTTCGTGGTATCGTATAGGGTGTTCTACATTGCGTCCCACAGGGTGTCCTTCATTGTACTACATAGGGTGTTCTACATAGTGTCACACAGGCTGTCCTTCATGGTACTACATAGGGTGTTCTACAAAGTGTCACATAGGGTGTTCTTCATAGTATCACATAGGGTGTTCTACATAGTGTCACACAGGCTGTCCTTCATGGTACTACATAGGGTGTTCTACAAAGTGTCACATAGGGTGTTCTTCATAGTATCACAAAGGGTGTTCTACATAGCGTCACACAGGGTGGCCTTTATGGTATTACATAGGGTGGTCTACATAGTGTCACACAGGGTTTCCTTCATGGTATTACATAGGGTGTTCTATATAGTGTCACACAGGGTGTCTTCATGGTACTACAAAGGGTGTTCTACATAGTGTCACACATGGTGCCCTTTATGGTATCGTATAGGGTGTTCTACATAGTGTCACACAGGGTTTCCTTCATGGTATTACATAGGGTGTTCTATATAGTGTCACACAGGGTGACCTTTATGGTATTACATAGGGTGGTCTACATAGTGTCACACAGGGTTTCCTTCATGGTATTACATATGGTGGTCTACACAGCGTCACACAGGGTGTCCTTCATGCTACTACATAGGGTGTTATACGTGGTGTTACATAGGGTGTTCTTCATGGTATTACACAAGTTGTCCTACACGGTGTCACACAGGGCGTCCTACATAGTTTTACATAGGATGTCATTCATGGTATAACATAGGGTGTCCTTCATGGTATCACATAGGATGCCATTCATGGTGTCACATAGGGTGTTCTACACGGTGTCACACAGGGCGTCCTACATAGTATTACATAGGATGTCATTCATGGTATTACGTAGGGTATCCTACATGGTATTACACAAGTTGTCCTACACGGTGTCACACAGTATGTCCTACATGGTGTCACACAGGGCGTCCTACACGGTGTCACACAGGGTGTCCCACATAGTATTACATAGGATGTCATTCATTGTGTTACATAGGGTGTCGTGCACGGTGACACACAGGGTGTCCTACTCGGTGTCAAACAGGGCGTCCTACATAGTATTACATAGGATGTCATTCATGGTGTCACATAAGGTGTCCTACATGGTGTCACACAGGGTGTCCTACTCGGTGTCAAACAGGGCGTCCTACATAGTATTACATAGGATGTCATTCATGGTGTCACACAGGGTGTCCTACACGGTGTAACACAGGGTGTCTACTCGGTGTCACAAAGGGCGTCCTACATAGTATTATATAGGATGCCATTTAAGGTATTATTTAGGATGTCCTACATGGTGTCACACAGGGCGTCCTACACGGTGTCACACAGGGCGTCCCACATAGTATTACATAGGATGTCCTACATGATTTTACATAGGGTGTCGTACACGGTGCCATTCAGGGTGTTATACAAGGTGTTCTACTGTGTCCTACAGGGTGTTATACAAGGTATGACATAGGATGCTGTACACCGTGTCACACAGGGTGTCCTACACGGTGTCACACAGGGTGTTATAAAAGGTGTCCCACGCTGTCCTACAGGATGTCCTACATGGTATTACATAGGATGTCCTATACGACGTCACACAGGTTGTCGTAAACGGTGTCTCACAGGGTGTCGTACACGGTGTCCTTCAGCGTGTCCTACACAGTGTCACACAGTATGTCCTACACGGTGTCACACAGTATGTCCTACACGGTGTCACATAGGACGTCCTACATAGTATTACATAGGATATCATTCATGGTGTTACATAGGATGTCGTACACGGTGACACACAGGGTGTCCTACATGGTATTACTTAGGGTGTCCTGCACGTTATCATATAGGGTGTTATACAAGGTGTTCCACGGTGTCCTGCAGGGTATTATACAAGGTATGTAATAGGATGTCCTATACGACGTCACACAGGTTGTCGTAAACGGTGTCTCACAGGGTGTCGTACACGGTGTCAAACAGCGTGTCCTACACAGTGTCACACAGTATGTCCTACAAGGTGTCACATAGGACGTCCTACATAGTATAACATAGGATGTCATTCATGGTGTTACATAGGGTGTCGTACACGGTGACACACAGGGTGTCCTACACGGTGTCACACGGGGCGTCCTACATAATATTACATAGGATGTCATTCATGGTACTATTTAGGATGTCATTCATGATGACACACAGGGTGTCCTACATGGTATAACACTGAGTGTCCTACACGGTGTCACACGTGGCGTCCTACATAGTATTATATAGGATGTCATTCATGGTATTATTTAGGATGCCCTACACGGTGACACACAGGGTATCCTACACGGTGTCACACAGGATGTCTTACATAGTATTACATGGAATGACATTCATGGTACTATTTAGGATGTCATTCATGATGACACACAGGGTGTCCTACATGGTATAACATTGAGTGTCCTACACGGTGTCACACGTGGCGTCCTACATAGTATTACTTGGAATGTCATTCATGGTATTACATAGGGTGTCCTACACGGTGTCACACAGGGTGTCATACAAGGTATTGCATAGGGTGTCCTACACGGTGCCATTCAGGGTGTTATACAAGGTGTTCTACTGTGTCCTTCAGGGTGTTATACAAGGTGTTCTACTGTGTCCTACAGGGTGTTATACAAGGTATGTCACAGGGTGTCCTAAACGCCGTCACACAGGATGTCCTACATGGTTTTACATAGGGTGTCCTACACGGTGCCATTCGGGGTGTTACACAAGGTGTTCTACGATGTCCTACGGAGTGTTATACAAGGTATGACATAGGATGGTGTACACCGTGTCATACAGGGTGTCCTAGACGGTGTCACACAGGGTGTTATAAAACTTGTCCCACACTGTACTACAGGATGTCCTACATGGTATTACATAGGATGTCCTGCACGGTGTCATATAGGGTGTTTTACAAGGTGCTCCACGGTGTCATGCAGGGTATTATACAAGGTATGTCATAAGATGTCCTGTACGATGTCACACAGGTTGTCGTACACGGTGTCTCACAGGGTGTCGTACACGGTGTCCTACAGCGTGTCCTACACGAGTTCCTACTGGGTGTTATACAAGGCACGACGCAGGGTGTCACACATAGTATTACATAGGATGCCCTATGTGGTATTCCATGGGATGTCCTTCCGGTTGTTTTGCGCGGATTTTCACAGGCTGCGCATCGTGACTTATGGGTTATTTCCGCCTCAAAGCCGACGTCAGAGCTATAAATAGGTACAAGGAACATGTTGTGGGATAATAAGGGCATATCATAGCGTTACGTGTATTCAATGTACTGTTTCGTTTTCCTTGACCACATTCGGAGGTTTAACAGCAATGATCACGGGGTGATATTCATGTATGGATGTAAGGAAGTTATTCTGTTTATTGGCAAGAGAAAAGACTAATGACTAACGCGGTACCCGTGAAGATCCGGGATAGTATAAGTCTTCAGCAACCGCTTCTTGCCGTAAAGAGCGACTATGCTTGCCGTTAGAGGCGACTAACGGGATCGGGTGATGAGTCTCGCTGACTTTGTTGATGTATGTCATCGTATCCCACTTGCATAGATCGATACTCATGATGTCAGTCACTGGATTGCCTGGCCCAGACTCGATTCTTTATAGACCGCCGTCTTATAACTGGAATATTGCTGAGTGCGGCGTTAAACAATAAACAAACAAAACAAACCCAAACAACGCGGAACATTTATTACACATGCGCATGCATTAGTCACATCAGTCTTCCTTGCTGTGTCACATGAAGAAGTGGACTTATATTGCTATGTTCTGATTATCACAAGCACAATTATCTCTTTGCCTAGGTTCACGACTAACATACATGAATGACCCTTAAGGAACGCAGAAACAAGATTTTACACATTACAGCCAACAAGAACAACGCTGGGTAATGGTATGTAACGATGTCGTTTACTTCATATAATTATGCTGTCATTAAGGGCGCAACGATACATGGGCCTCACCACATGGGTGACTAGCTGTAATGTCAAAGGAAACATCATATCGATGCCTACTACGTTCACTATCGACAGGACCGCCTCCGTGGTCTAGTGGTAGAGCTTCCGCCCGGAGAGCGGAAGGTTCGGGGTTTGATCCCCGGTCGCGTCATACCAAAAGACGTTAAAAGATGGTACTTGTTGTTACCCTGTCTGGCGCTCGGCATTAAAGGGCTAAAACAAGGACTGGTCGGCTCGGAGTAAGTATACTGTGTCTGAGTGGGATATTCATGTTAAACTTCGGCATGATATCTCAGTAAGCTAGCACTATAAATCGGCATCAGTCCGGACTAGTACAAGCAGCCACACAAACACACACACGTACATGCACGTCGCTATATAAGTGCAATAATCTTGGACGCGACGTTAAACCCCATTTCACCTCACCTCACCACTATCGACAGAATAGAACGGACGTTATGAAATGAAAGTAAAATGCTGATGAAGTTTCTATTCATCTTAATTGAAAATACACCTTCTTTCAACAAACAAGCGAGTATTTATTCAAAACATTTATATTTGTTATTCTATATCAGATAAGAATTCAGACGTACATTCGCAAGCAACTTCTTCTGAGCCGAGGACCAGACCGGCGCTTTGGGCTTTGTCATCATGTCAAATATTACAGGGACGGCTTCAGAAAACTCAGACGAAGGTACTCACATCACTATACCACTGCAATAGTTTGAACCATACTTGCACAAATATTGCAGTGGTGCTTTTACAAGTTACAATGCCCCAAACAGACGCAACCAGTCACGTACCATGCTGCCTCTTGGATTCCCAATGACCGCCTCCGTGGTCTAGTGGCAGAGCGTCCGCCCGGTGAGCGGAAGGTCCGGGGTTCGATCCCCGGCCGCGTCATACCAAAAGACGATGGTACTTGTTGTTACCCTGCCTGGCGCGAAAACACAGACTGGTCAACTCGGAGTCAGTATACTGTATCTGAGATGGGTATTCGTGTTAAACTGCGGCATGGTATCTCAGTGGGCTAGCACTATAAATCGGCATCAGTCTGGACTAGTACAAGCAGCCACACACGTAGCATGCACGTCGCAATATAAGTGCAATTATCTTGGGCGCAACGTTAAACCCCATTTCACCCCACCTCACCTTAGATCCACAGAGGCGGTGGGTAGCTTCGTGGACAATTTCAGTTGCTGTCCACCGCTGTGACAGTGTCCGAATAGTGCTCAGTGAGGAGTAACATCATAGCTACTTGTTCACTCACTCCCAGAATCAGTTTTCTTTGTGGGATGGGGTTCTTTCCTACCACTGTTATTTATATACGAGGGTTGGTTGAGCATGACCTCGATACATTACAAAGATTTAGTCTTCAGCATAATCTCCATCCTCATTGCTACACCTTGACCAACGATGTTGGAGTGGTTTTACTCAAGTTTGGTAGAAGTCCTCTAGTCAGTCCAAAATGTTCTCCACAGCTGCTAGTGCAGTGTCATATGCTTCGTTTATTGTCTGGCCCTTGTGATCTTCACAGGTCTGTACACCAATGAACTAACAAAGTGAAAGTCAATTCATTTGAACATTGCAATGGCCTGAACATGCATGAGTATGCTTTGTGACCGCTGTGATGTCATCGGTTACCATGACATCACAATCAAATCATCACCCTAATGCCTCTGTCACTGAAGCTGGTTGGCTGAACATTTTGGAAACGCAAGAGATTGGTCATTTTTACTGTTTACAAACATAAAAAGGTTTCTCGGTGATAAATAGAATCGCGTCCGCATGCCTCGGAGTGCTTAACTGTTATAAACTCGGGTTGATATAATTTATATGAAAAGACACGAGGATGAGATTTTTCTATGTATCCCCACTGCAATCGCATTTACTGAATTTCAGGTGGTATCCCGGTCGTTGGCATAGTGTTTATCGCTGTAGCTGCTGTTACTGCCAGCGCTGTCATTTGTGCTGTCATCATTAAGCGGTGAGGAGGGTTGTTATGTCATACATTTTCTCCAGCTGTAAACATCCTGATGCCTTGTACTTCGTAACAAAGCTTTGTGTATGCAGTACTATTTCTGTTACCAAATGAGTCGCATTCATTACCTTTCATTTAATCCAATTATCAGAAAGAATACTGCACCAATACACATTCAACTTTATTATCTTTCATCGATCTATATTTTTCAGACGCAGAAGTACATCTACCCATGCACGTGAAACCGGAGCGTCTTCTGCGTCACATACCGAATCTGATCTGCAACCTGAAATACCGTTATATATCGGGCCACCCATACCACAGGATGTGCATACCGCATCAGCTGAACTCACACACGCCGACAACAACACAAAGATGGAGGGTTTGGACTCGGATTTTGTACAGTCACATTCGTCATCTGGCGCCACTTCAAGCCTCCCTAACACTGCAAGGATGCACGTGCCAATTATACACCCAGCTGACCGCTACATATTTAGAGAATCATGCAATGTGGTTTCCTCGATGGCGGATGACCCGTATTTTTCATTCAACTCCGCTATCTGCATCGCTTCTTGTTGGGATGGTAGAGGAGGGCGTCAGTCAGATCATGTATTGCGTCAATCGGGTTTATACGCTCAGATGCTGGATGGTGGTATAGCGCCAGATATGTACTCACCTTACGATGGCCTGGTTCTCCGAGCAAGCCTCACTCAGTCAGATCACTACACCTACTTACATGCATTGTATCGTGTCTCGGAAGCACTGTCTATAGTTCAGAGAGAAAGTGTCATCTATGACATCCCCAACGTTCCTGGGCGGGCGTTTGATGCAGCTGCGTCTGAACCAGACCACTACACTTACTTAGAGACATTGTATTGTCCATTGACAGCACGATCTTCAGTTCAGTCCGAAGGTGTCATATATGATATTATCAGCGATCTGGGAGGTAACACCGGTAGAACATCAGGCCAGTACACGCGCATATTCAACATGCGCCGTTCTTCGGAACGTCATACAAGACCTCTGTTTCCCAGTGGTGAGTACGCTATTCCATACCCGTCCTCAGGGATAAGATTTTCATTCGAGATTGACCACTTCAACACGCCTGGTTACATGGATCCTGTGACCATGTCTTCATTGACAAGCTATTCGACCGAGGCTGACCACTACGACACGCCTAGCCAAATAGATCCTGTGAATAATTCTTCATTGGCGAGTTATTCATCCGAAGCTGACCACTACGACACTCCGCGCAGAAGCAAACCACGGAGCTCATGTCGAGCCACATATGGAAGCGAGTGAGGCATGAAACTGACAGCCAGTTTATTCCACTGCAATTGTTTCACTGTGAGGTAACTGGGATTATATCGGACCAGCTGCCAAACCGTCTCCAGTTTCTTGACAAACGTGATACAAGCGCACAATGTGATATCTTTGTGGAGTGCAAGCGTATCCAGTGGTTAACGTGTCCGCTCTTCACCCAGAACGTCCGGGGTTCGATTCCGTGTATCCGGGTTCATTGTGTGAATCCTATTTCTAGTGTCACCCGCCAGGGGATTGTTTGAGGGGGGGAATATTCACCCACTCGTATACTGTTATAGTTAACAAAAGGTCGTTCTGACGTGACCTGTCATTGGATGTCTTCAGCGGTAGCGAGAACTTGTATCTGATTTTAATGAGCATGTGGTAATCGAAACATGTGATTAATCATGTTTTGTTTATTTAAAGCATTAATTGTTGATTGTTAGCAAGGTTATCTCTGCAACGGTTGTAATATGCGGCTACCAGCCGACCCGTCTCGCATCAAAACACGGAATATGTACTCGCGGACAGATGACTGATTAACGAGACTGATTAATGAGTGATTTCGGTAATTCCTTCCAAATTAGGTGTGTCGGAGCGCGAGACTGTCGGATTAACGGGTCTAAATAGCACTGATTTAATCGGTTCTCATCATCAGTATTGGATAAAGCCGATTGTCGGATTAACGAGTGCCGGATTAACGAGACTTGACTATGTATGTACATCATGAATAAAAGTGTTGTAAGTTGTAATGTTCTTAACGTCTATCGTAATAACTTACGATGTGTATCGAAATGAGTTTGTGTCACAGTTCACGTTGACGTGCCACAAGCACAGTACACGATTAATTCGATGTTTCGATTGGGCACCTTATGACATGTCCAAACAAGTCCATCAACAATGCACACACCTTAAGTGGAACACATAGATATCGGTGTGGGAACGGTGTGCGTAACGTCCGTGTACTGCCTGTCTACTCTTTTTACATGATCATGGGGGCAGTCGGGTAGCCTAGTGGTTAAAGCGTTCGCTCATCACGCCGAAGACCCGGGTTCGATTCCCGACATGGGTACAATGTGTGAAGCCCATTTCTGGTGTCCCCCGCGTGATATCGCTGGAATATTGCTAAAAGCGGCGTAAAACATACTCACTCACTTACATGATCATGACACCAAAATGTCCAGCTGGTTTTGTCAAAATATAAATAAACAGCTCATTGATAACCTCATTCAGTCAGCTAACAACGTACCCGTGAAGATCCGGGGTAGCATAGGTCTTCAGCAACCCATGCTTGCCATAAAGGCGACTGCTTGTCGTAAGAGGCGACTAACGGGATCGGGTTGTCAGGCTCGCTGATTTGGTTGATGCATTTCATCGTATCCCAATTGCGTGGATCGATGCTCATGACATCAATCATTAGATTGTCTGGTCGACACTCGATTCTTTACAGACCGTCGTCATATAGCTGGAATATTGCTGAGTAAACAGTCAGCTCAAAGTCAAAACACCCGATCCCGTTAGTCGCCACTTACGGCAAGAATCGGTTTTGAAGACCTATTCTAGCCCGGATCTTCACAGGTCTCATATACAACTGACGAAGCAATCAGCGCGTACGCAGGTGACTGAACAATCAGCTCGTGATCAGCTGACAGTTTAGACTGATGGTATTCAGCCTGGTCATGTATTGTGAGCATACTTGGTTCGACAAATCAAAGCTGTTTGCTGTGCTACTTATATCAAATCAAAACCTAAATATTGTTGTTGATTTTACTTATAGTAATATCACATAATGGAATGTGATGCTGTTTCCGACAGGTGCCATGACCTAGATGGGATATGTCGTCCAGGTGCCATGACCTAGATGGAATATGTCGTCCAGGTGCCATGACCTAGATGGAATATGTCGTCCAGGTGCCAGTATGCCCGTTGAAACTGGCCGCACTACAATAAGTATTCAGTGCGGGGTAAATCACTAGAAAGGAAGGGCAGTGCTTTGCTTAATATGTTACCACTAACTTGATAAAGGCCCCAGCATATGTGCATTAAGGCGATGACATTCATAAGTCAAACCTGCCTTTATTAATTCTACAGCTTGTTTAATGTCGACGAGAACTCAGCGTCCAGTAAAATTGTACATATGCTAAGAATCTCTAATCTGGCGTTACACTGACAAGATTTTTGAAACGCCCAAGACCAACTGCTACATATGAACAACATCAAAACACAAAATTCTTGTTATTTAATAAAATTTGTTTGAGAAAAATATTCATTCAGCATTTGTTTCCCTATTTCTACAACCTGTCGCCCATACAATGGGAGATATCATGTTGAGTTCCAAGAATCTCTTTGTTTTTTTATTATTATTATTTCATTTCTTTTTGGAGTACACAAACAATAAGGTTACAGAATATAGTTTACATATAATCTTAACTACATACAAGCAACAACGTATTTCTATGGATAATAACAAACAAATCTATTCCAGGAAATGACTTGGTTGAGTCCAATAAGTTGCCGAGAAATTAATTATTATAATTTATGTATTTCTATGGAGGGTTATTGCATCAATTCGTTTTGAATAAATATGTTTATTGTTACCATTATTGAATAAAGAATAAAAGTAAATAACCTTGAACTTGAGCAATATTTGTAACATTTATCACTACCTATGACCCCTGTTCGGAACGTTCTAAGATCGCTGACCTATGTACCCACGTGTAATTATGCGTTCCATGAGACTTCCGTTTTGAAGCCGTTTTGTCGTCATGGTAGAATGCGACTGTGTTCGGAAGCAACTATATACATATATCAATGAATTGGTTTCAACTATAGACATAGAATATACACATCCTCTTTAATATATCCTCTTTACATACATACATATATATATATATATATATATATATATATATATATATATATATATGTATGTATGTATGTATGTATGTATGTATGTATGTATGTATGTCAAATGACACAGGTACACCTGTTGAAATCTTAGCTGTGGGAAATCGAACACGGGTTTTCGGCTTGACAAACGGACACTTTAACCACAAGGCTACCCTAAATCTAATTCATTCACAAGATCTCGACTATGCCACTCCCTGTATATATTTTTTTCAAATTTGACGTTTACAAATTTGACGTTCGTAGGTTTTTCACGAGACCGTGTTCTTGCAATGACGTAAACACTGACGGACTACTTCCACATTCCTTGGGAAATACATACAGAAGCGTTCTTTCTGATCCTTTAGATCCTTTAATCTTGAACTCGGCGTTTCACGACTATCCTCGCTACGACCCATCCCTGTGAACAAAACGAAGACATGCACACCCAAACTATCGTAGTATCGACTCGACTCGATCCGTGTCTTGGCTCACAGAGACAGTCTACAGCAATCTATGAATTTACCTTAGTGTCTATTTGACACTTTTTTATCAACTTTCAACGATCGGCCAATTGATCAATGATGACTAAAACATGTAACCGCAACAGGTTCATTAACAACTTCCGAAATCTCTCCCTTCCCATTTATCGTGTCGGCCATTTTGACGTCTTTACTTGATACACATGCATTAAAACTGACTTACTGAGGTAGTTTTTAACAGACTTTTTTTCATCTAATGGGGATATTATTTGACGTATCTCTTAAGAGCAAGTTGTGCATGTCACCTCTCTTTTTGATGAACTATTTTATTCCGCGATATACCTGGTTGTTGTCAGTGAAAACATGACGTCACACGTGAGTTGTGTATAGGTCAAGGCGTATATCCTCTGAGGTAAAAAATTGTGATAAAAAAATTGAACCTTCATACACCAATGGACTCACAAAAGGTGAGAGTCAATTGTTGATATTTTGTAATATATACATATATACACATACAACCCGACAAAGTAACTGTATCAATATGCTTCATACCAGCGTAATTCGAAACCCAATACTTTGCCACATAATGACAAGATCAAGACACTGCTCGAAACATACAAACTCATGTATTTTGTGTTACTCATCACAAGTTCACGTGGTAATTCGACTTGACTATAAAATAAGAAGATAAGACTTTATTATGCCAAGGGAAATTCATATTGCACAGTTAATTTGCTCTAAAATATGAAAAAAGAACATATATGATATCAAAATATGAAACTAAGACACTAATGTAACCACATACAGAAAGTTGAACGCTAGAAAATGTATTCAGATTTATATGGGAGAGTCACAAACCTTAATACCTGTATGTCTACCCGGACCGACGACCGACCTTGAAGTAGTTGTCAGTGCTGAAAATCTTCCTTCAGCCATTGTCATATGCAAACACAGGCGGTGTTACGACAGTTTTATGATCTGCACTTTAATACCAGCTCTGTGTTTACAACTGATTTTGCAGGTAGAGCTTCAGAGCAAGCTGCGTCTCATCGTCCCTCAAAAGGCCGACAGTATCTCCGTGGGTGTCCCTGTGACAGACGCCAGGCTGCTAGAAATATTACTTCATTCTATCTGCGTACGACAGAGGTGCGTCATTGGCTGGACTGCACCCTACAATACTAGTGCTCGGCATCGCGTCATTCATTCCGAAGGGACCCACCTGGAACACATATGTGACTTAAACTCGCGTATCTACATATCGCCATGGGCAACTCAGGATCCAAGCGAGGAAAAGGGAATATGGCCTCGAATGAAAGTAGGTATCGTATTGGATATTTTACTTGCCATTCGTCAAACCTTCGAGTCAGGAATGCACTTTTGTAAGTCCTTTAATACGACACATGAACTAACAATGGAACAACTCGTTGAGCAGTATAGTTATTGTAGACATGAGTAGGCACAGCTAATACTATATGTATGATACTGGTATTAATACAACCAATAAAATGATCAACATATTCTTATCGTGCTACATACTGGTGATATATTGCGTGCAGACTGTAGTGTCCGTCTGTAGTCAGGGCGACATATTAGTCCATGACCCAGACTGCAATATTCTCTTATCGTTAACGTATGTCGAGCGTGGGTTTGATAGCCTGCAGGTATATACATTCATACCGAGTCAGTAGCAAACAGTCGAAAACTTGCACTTCCGCCATCTTGAACAGTGATCGAACACGCGTCGTGTCAATTTCAAGTACAGCGCGTGGTTGGATCTTTCACGTACATCTGCCATGGCTATCACTATTGAAGGAGAGGATTAATTGTCGGAATTGTCACTGATAATCATAATAGTATAGATGCACTGGTAGGTTATCTCAACCCCATTGAATTGATGAACAGCTTGTTATCAGTACTGTTGCTGACAACGAACGTATTCCCAGTTTAAGCAAAATTAATGAATGAACTCAAGACTGGCTAATTCTATATAATCGAGGCAAAACCAAATCAATTTTTGTTTCCACAAAAGAGCCGCATAGAACTCTGAAATTATGTTTGTATAATAAAAACATTGAAAATGATACAGCACACACACACACCTGGGTGTTATATTGTCGTCATCGGGCAAGTGGTCATGTCATATTGATTCAATTATTAAAACTACATCAAAGATGATTCCTTCAATGAAGAAGTTTATGCTCAGTCGTAGTGTGTAGAACAATATTTTTGTAATGTTTGTCAGGCCACATTTTAAATATGCACTGGAAGTTGTACCAAAGAGAAGTGACAGAGTAGACAAACTCCAACTAGAAGCAGCAAGAATTGTAACTGGTTTACCAAGCTTTACTTCTGTCAAAAATGTATATTTCGAAACTAACTTTCTTCGAGCCCTTATCCGAGCGTAGGCGAAAACGTAAATTGTGTATATTTTATACAATATATAACAATATGACAAAGTCATGCCATAAAGATCTAGTACACTACTCTGTCGGGACAAACGTAACATACAAGCTTAGAACTGCTCATAATATAACTTTGCCTTTATTACGTACAAAGTTATCTTAATCCTAGTTTATACCATCCTCTATAAATTGTGGAATACATTAACCTTTCAGGAAAGGATCATTGCAACCTTCTCTCGATTTAAATCCAATTTTAGTAAAGATAAATCTACAGTTCCATATTTCCAATATGGTCAATTATATGGACAATTAACATAATACATACAATTAAACAAATGAAAATGACTTATTTAGAAAAGGTTCAAACGAGGAATCCAAAATGCCGATGTGGCAGCCAATGTGAAAATTCGTATATTTTCTTCATTGAATGTTCATATTTAATCAGCTGGAAACGAATTGATCCACTCACTATTGTTAATTGTGAAACATACTTGTGATGTAGATATTGACCTGAGGCGGGTTGGCAATGCAGTTTTAATGTACATACGTTACTCTATTTCTTTTCTTTAGTTGTCATATAATTTATTAATTGTAAATGAGCATACATGTAAATATATGGGAGAGGGCTTTCTAAGTTGGGATAACTTGTGCCTAATCCTTTTCCTGAGATTAAGATATGCTTAAACTAAAATCGTACTTGTCACTATAATGGCAACTCTGATTTCATGTTGTGGTAAACAAGTTGAACCATCACAGCAAGATCGTACATGAATTGGTTCACTGAAAAAAACGTCGTGCATAATCAAACGTACAACTTTATGGATAACAACTTCTGGGTTATTGCATATAGCGACGTTTCCATGGAGATACTTATTCCGTTATCGCTATATGCAATAAAGATTGTTATCCATAAAGTTGTACGTTTCTTACTTACGTATACTCACCAACTTCTTGAATGTCAATCAAACAGTTAATGTTGTACTTGTCATAGTTTCCTGAACCAATACAAACCATTATTGTTCCAATACATGCCCCCTGTGTCTGTTTTATTCCAAAAAGGTCGAGATGAGAATCATATCATCTGTTCACACGCATTATTAATGCATTTTGTCTCTACTTTAATAGTTCAGTTTAAAATTCGATTTTTTCATTACACTTCCGAACAAATGCGATTTAACTCCAAAAGGTATATGTAGGATGACAACAGTTAAGTACGATAACAATCTTAGCTGTGGGAAATCGAACACGGGTTTTCGGCTTGACAAACGGACACTTTAACCACAAGGCTACCCTAAATCTAATTCATTCACAAGATCTCGACTATGCCACTCCCTGTATATATTTTTTTCAAATTTGACGTTTACAAATTTGACGTTCGTAGGTTTTTCACGAGACCGTGTTCTTGCAATGACGTAAACACTGACGGACTACTTCCACATTCCTTGGGAAATACATACAGAAGCGTTCTTTCTGATCCTTTAGATCCTTTAATCTTGAACTCGGCGTTTCACGACTATCCTCGCTACGACCCATCCCTGTGAACAAAACGAAGACATGCACACCCAAACTATCGTAGTATCGACTCGACTCGATCCGTGTCTTGGCTCACAGAGACAGTCTACAGCAATCTATGAATTTACCTTAGTGTCTATTTGACACTTTTTTATCAACTTTCAACGATCGGCCAATTGATCAATGATGACTAAAACATGTAACCGCAACAGGTTCATTAACAACTTCCGAAATCTCTCCCTTCCCATTTATCGTGTCGGCCATTTTGACGTCTTTACTTGATACACATGCATTAAAACTGACTTACTGAGGTAGTTTTTAACAGACTTTTTTTCATCTAATGGGGATATTATTTGACGTATCTCTTAAGAGCAAGTTGTGCATGTCACCTCTCTTTTTGATGAACTATTTTATTCCGCGATATACCTGGTTGTTGTCAGTGAAAACATGACGTCACACGTGAGTTGTGTATAGGTCAAGGCGTATATCCTCTGAGGTAAAAAATTGTGATAAAAAAATTGAACCTTCATACACCAATGGACTCACAAAAGGTGAGAGTCAATTGTTGATATTTTGTAATATATACATATATACACATACAACCCGACAAAGTAACTGTATCAATATGCTTCATACCAGCGTAATTCGAAACCCAATACTTTGCCACATAATGACAAGATCAAGACACTGCTCGAAACATACAAACTCATGTATTTTGTGTTACTCATCACAAGTTCACGTGGTAATTCGACTTGACTATAAAATAAGAAGATAAGACTTTATTATGCCAAGGGAAATTCATATTGCACAGTTAATTTGCTCTAAAATATGAAAAAAGAACATATATGATATCAAAATATGAAACTAAGACACTAATGTAACCACATACAGAAAGTTGAACGCTAGAAAATGTATTCAGATTTATATGGGAGAGTCACAAACCTTAATACCTGTATGTCTACCCGGACCGACGACCGACCTTGAAGTAGTTGTCAGTGCTGAAAATCTTCCTTCAGCCATTGTCATATGCAAACACAGGCGGTGTTACGACAGTTTTATGATCTGCACTTTAATACCAGCTCTGTGTTTACAACTGATTTTGCAGGTAGAGCTTCAGAGCAAGCTGCGTCTCATCGTCCCTCAAAAGGCCGACAGTATCTCCGTGGGTGTCCCTGTGACAGACGCCAGGCTGCTAGAAATATTACTTCATTCTATCTGCGTACGACAGAGGTGCGTCATTGGCTGGACTGCACCCTACAATACTAGTGCTCGGCATCGCGTCATTCATTCCGAAGGGACCCACCTGGAACACATATGTGACTTAAACTCGCGTATCTACATATCGCCATGGGCAACTCAGGATCCAAGCGAGGAAAAGGGAATATGGCCTCGAATGAAAGTAGGTATCGTATTGGATATTTTACTTGCCATTCGTCAAACCTTCGAGTCAGGAATGCACTTTTGTAAGTCCTTTAATACGACACATGAACTAACAATGGAACAACTCGTTGAGCAGTATAGTTATTGTAGACATGAGTAGGCACAGCTAATACTATATGTATGATACTGGTATTAATACAACCAATAAAATGATCAACATATTCTTATCGTGCTACATACTGGTGATATATTGCGTGCAGACTGTAGTGTCCGTCTGTAGTCAGGGCGACATATTAGTCCATGACCCAGACTGCAATATTCTCTTATCGTTAACGTATGTCGAGCGTGGGTTTGATAGCCTGCAGGTATATACATTCATACCGAGTCAGTAGCAAACAGTCGAAAACTTGCACTTCCGCCATCTTGAACAGTGATCGAACACGCGTCGTGTCAATTTCAAGTACAGCGCGTGGTTGGATCTTTCACGTACATCTGCCATGGCTATCACTATTGAAGGAGAGGATTAATTGTCGGAATTGTCACTGATAATCATAATAGTATAGATGCACTGGTAGGTTATCTCAACCCCATTGAATTGATGAACAGCTTGTTATCAGTACTGTTGCTGACAACGAACGTATTCCCAGTTTAAGCAAAATTAATGAATGAACTCAAGACTGGCTAATTCTATATAATCGAGGCAAAACCAAATCAATTTTTGTTTCCACAAAAGAGCCGCATAGAACTCTGAAATTATGTTTGTATAATAAAAACATTGAAAATGATACAGCACACACACACACCTGGGTGTTATATTGTCGTCATCGGGCAAGTGGTCATGTCATATTGATTCAATTATTAAAACTACATCAAAGATGATTCCTTCAATGAAGAAGTTTATGCTCAGTCGTAGTGTGTAGAACAATATTTTTGTAATGTTTGTCAGGCCACATTTTAAATATGCACTGGAAGTTGTACCAAAGAGAAGTGACAGAGTAGACAAACTCCAACTAGAAGCAGCAAGAATTGTAACTGGTTTACCAAGCTTTACTTCTGTCAAAAATGTATATTTCGAAACTAACTTTCTTCGAGCCCTTATCCGAGCGTAGGCGAAAACGTAAATTGTGTATATTTTATACAATATATAACAATATGACAAAGTCATGCCATAAAGATCTAGTACACTACTCTGTCGGGACAAACGTAACATACAAGCTTAGAACTGCTCATAATATAACTTTGCCTTTATTACGTACAAAGTTATCTTAATCCTAGTTTATACCATCCTCTATAAATTGTGGAATACATTAACCTTTCAGGAAAGGATCATTGCAACCTTCTCTCGATTTAAATCCAATTTTAGTAAAGATAAATCTACAGTTCCATATTTCCAATATGGTCAATTATATGGACAATTAACATAATACATACAATTAAACAAATGAAAATGACTTATTTAGAAAAGGTTCAAACGAGGAATCCAAAATGCCGATGTGGCAGCCAATGTGAAAATTCGTATATTTTCTTCATTGAATGTTCATATTTAATCAGCTGGAAACGAATTGATCCACTCACTATTGTTAATTGTGAAACATACTTGTGATGTAGATATTGACCTGAGGCGGGTTGGCAATGCAGTTTTAATGTACATACGTTACTCTATTTCTTTTCTTTAGTTGTCATATAATTTATTAATTGTAAATGAGCATACATGTAAATATATGGGAGAGGGCTTTCTAAGTTGGGATAACTTGTGCCTAATCCTTTTCCTGAGATTAAGATATGCTTAAACTAAAATCGTACTTGTCACTATAATGGCAACTCTGATTTCATGTTGTGGTAAACAAGTTGAACCATCACAGCAAGATCGTACATGAATTGGTTCACTGAAAAAAACGTCGTGCATAATCAAACGTACAACTTTATGGATAACAACTTCTTGGTTATTGCATATAGCGACGTTTCCATGGAGATACTTATTCCGTTATCGCTATATGCAATAAAGATTGTTATCCATAAAGTTGTACGTTTCTTACTTACGTATACTCACCAACTTCTTGAATGTCAATCAAACAGTTAATGTTGTACTTGTCATAGTTTCCTGAACCAATACAAACCATTATTGTTCCAATACATGCCCCCTGTGTCTGTTTTATTCCAAAAAGGTCGAGATGAGAATCATATCATCTGTTCACACGCATTATTAATGCATTTTGTCTCTACTTTAATAGTTCAGTTTAAAATTCGATTTTTTCATTACACTTCCGAACAAATGCGATTTAACTCCAAAAGGTATATGTAGGATGACAACAGTTAAGTACGATAACAACGTACATTGTCAGCTGATACAATCATGTTGCATCATGAGATTTACAAAAATCCACATTATCATTTATTTGTTGTCTTTGTGTAGCGCAATCACTTCAATATATACTCCGCGACAAAAGAAACCATACATGTTGGTTAATGCATGAAACAAAACCATAATCAAGAGATATTAGAATGGTTTGATTCACTAACGAACATATTGGTATGTTGTGTGAATGGACGCTCATGAACGCATCACATGTGACGTCACAGTTCCATCACTCGAGATGCACCATTTGTCTTGTGCAGGATTGGCGTGTAAAGTTTAGAAATCACGTGAATAGCACAGAATAAAGACAGTCTGTGGTAACATTTGACTGATTGTTGGTTTTGTCATTAAGTGGTACACATGGAAACATCTCTTCTTGACGTACATACTTCTCTATATGTGTCTATGGTTCGCGTTTCTGTTAGCGGTGAGTATACTCTGTAAGTAGTTTCAATATCTAAATGGGAGCTGATTTCTTTCCATAGTAATATTTTCTATATTGATAAGATTTACAACGGTCATATCAATCTTCTAACTTATAATATATCATCTATTGTCATTCCTCCATGTCAGAATGATGCGATCTGATTGGCCCACGTGATCTTGATAAAATACTGCGTAACCCGCCTTGGAGGGTAATACATTTCGCAGCGGGGGAATAATTCTTTTATACCCCTGCACGAGCACTACGGGCTGCACATGCATTTCTGAGAAACAGAATAAATCCTTTATACCCTGCTTCAAAGCAAAAAGCCGCACGCCTTTTTCCGAGCCAATAAATATCACGTGACATAGCGCAAGCTCAATCGAACAGTCGTTTTCTGTCAATTTGGAATTTATTTGAATTATTTTACAACGTCTTATCAAAACATGTCGGTAAGATAAACTCGTTGTAGCTGGATCACTCAGGGTACATGGGGTTTAATGCGTCCCCATTTAGGATATATTATGAAACCTAACGCGGGATCCATAAAACACCATGTACCCCTCGTGATCCTGCTACAACTTATAATATGGGCTAGGTCTTCTAATGTGGTCAGGCTCGCTGACTTGGATGATGCATGTAATCGATCCCAATTGCGTGGATCGATGCTCATGATATCAATCACTGGATTGTCTTGTGCAGGATCGAAGATTTATAGACCGCCGTCATATACCTGGAATATTGCTGACGGCGGCGTTAAACAAACAAACAAACAAACAAATAATATCATCCATGCATTCTATCTTCCAGACTCCATCCTCCAGTGCGGAGACAGGTTGTGCAGCTTGACGACCATCACTAGACGCTGCTATGACCGCCAGGTAAATGTAGCGCGGAAACTGAAGGAATTAGCAGATGAGCTGGACAAACAACAAGGGGGTATGGACAAAGCTAAGATAGGACTGACGGCGGTGAGCGCAGCTGTAGCAGCTGCCAGCTTCGGGCTCGGCTTCGTCACATTTGGAGCTTCGCTTGTACTGACAATTGTTGGCGCCACAGTATCGGCTGCAAGCGCTGCAGGCGCCATAGCTACGTCCGTGGCAGAGAAGGCCATCAAGAACAAGAAGATGAAGGAGGCCAACGAGGCTATATTGTCGTACACAGAGGCAGTAACCGAATTTGCTCCCGTGTTGGAACACTTTTGTGCTGGTCTGTCCACTGACGAGGAAAGACAGAGAATGCGTGAGGTTCTCACTGATGCAACCATACCATCAGACAGTGTCCGTTTCAGTGGGATAGATAGCGGAAGTGACCTCTGTGAAACATGTGCCAAAGGTCATAAGATTGTGGCAACAGCTCTTCGCGTCCAGGAAGCTCTGCAGTTGAAGGGACCGAACAAGGGGCGAGTGGAATCAGGTGCTGAAGTGGCGCGATGGACACTGGGCATGCTGACAGAAGCGTCATCGTTTGGCGCAGAAGCTTTCAAAACACTGAATTCGGCTGCCAAGGTTATCAAAATTGGCGGTGCAGCCTTAGTTGGCGTTGGTCTGATCATCGATGTAGGATCTATAATATATTACAGCATCAAGGTCCACAACAAACAGCCTTCAGAGGTTGCTCAGCTGTTTCGTATAATGGCTGACGCATTCAAACAATAGGCAGTTTCAGCCTGTTACAATATCTTTGTGTAGATACCAAGGAGGCACATGCCACGTAACCACGACAGCCTGAAACAGAAATTCATGATGCAGACAAAGCCGAACCAACTGACGAAGCTGTCGTATTTTCCTGTACTCCAATCCATGTAAATCACCGTATATGTGCAGTAACTGTGTCAGATTGTTATATCTGAAATTATCAACCGTAACGCATAAATTTAATAACATATGTGGAAACTATTTTGAATAAATGTTAATTAATAAATTGCAAATGACATCATGACATTTTAATGTGCCAATTTGTTTTGCGTTTATGTTTCCATAAACAAAAAAAGCCACGCCCACTAGCAGACTACTGTTTCCTGATTGGCTGACAATAGAGTGGGCGAGGCTTGGGTTGCATTACTGCACTGCCCGTACCGTTGTCTACAGCTTTTGTATGTTACTGATTATAAAAGTATATGAAGTTATAGTTGATTGATTTATTCATTTATAAGAATTGACTTGAATATTGTTTAGCGTTTCTTGAGTGCACACATATACCTGGTATGTCAAAGTTAAGAAGAGTGTAAATATCACCACGACCTTTGTGGAAACTACTGAGTTGAAAGATGAGGCACGATGCATGATGCAAGCTGATGATTATGTTATCATTGCCATATGCCTGTAACAGTTGACATTTCAACAAGCCCATCTCAGCTCGGCGTTCCAGATCATATTTCCTCAAAAAGAGCCAAAACGTACATGTTTGCAAAATGTCACCTGTACTTGTCTTCAGGTGTAAAGATATCTACTGTTGTTGCAAAATTGATTTTTACCCCATACGGCACAGTTATAAAGAACCGTCTGGTTCCATAATTGTTTTAATTGTTGCAGCTTACATTTGGAACCCAAGTCTGACTACCATAGAATTGAAGAACCGAGTGGAAGTTGGAAGTCCCGTTCTGACAATAGACTCTAGACAATGCCTGGACTTTTGAAGGAAGGAAATTCCAGAATAGCTAACACTTTTGTTTCATGTTCTGCTACTGACCTAATCAGTATGCGCACTGACATCCTTTAAGTAAAAATATACAGCATCAGTCTTTTTATTATTGATAGTAGTCAGTGCAATTATTTGAGAGACATTCCTGCCGTTTATCGTGTGAATTAGATCGAAGTACGGGGAAGTTAGCGAAAAGTAGATGACATATATTTTGTGAAAAACGTTGTTTTTTTTAAATGTTTTTTTTTTTCAATTTCTAAATATTTCCAAAAGATGCATTATCAGTGTCAGGTTCAACTGGTCATATACCGGCTTCAAATTACTTCATCACTTTACTATTTCAGCTAATGTTCCTGATGCCGAGCGCCAGACAGGGTAACAACAAGTACCATCTTTTAACGTCTTTTGGTATAAGGCAGCCGGGAATCGAACCTTCCGATCTCCGGTCGGACGCTCTACCACTAGACACAGTGGTTCGAGACGTCATACCGAATACTGGATGACATAATTAATGCTTCTGTGAGATCCTAAAAGTAGGGCACGTGGTGAAGATACAAGTGGTAAGATACTAAATACGTACGTCACACTTGTGTCGTACTTATTTTTTTCGTTTTGAGAGCATAACCGTGACCTCTGTCACTTTTTTCATTCATAAAAAAATCGTGAGACGTCATTTATTTTGCAACTACAAGGCAGGACTGAAGCAATCTCATGAGAGCGAGAGATATTTACAAACCCTTTATTAAACCAAACAAGATAGTCACAGGCATCAAATTCGGTTTCCATTCGATATACGTTGTGCACAGAGCTTCTACTGACATTACCGGTGGGTACCTTTCCCTTCGTTCGAAGCGGTCACTGACATGCCAGCAGACTTGAGTTTGTTGATTTTCACGTCTTCAGTATAGGGTGGTACGATAACGTGAATGTCTTTGGAGAACACTCTGATTTCCTTCTTCCAAAGCGGTACCGACATTATAGAAATTCAGCTGATAGATCAAGGAAACCGAACCAATTTGAACGCACAGACGGGACCCTGGTGACCGACTGTTAGTCCGATATTCAAAGCGCGGCGCGAATGTAACTTTTCAGATTTTCTTAAAGGTGTCCTGCATACTAACAACATGGCGTTTGAATTACCATAAGTTGAAGAAATTCTTCAAAAAGGATCTTGAGCGTCGGTGCTGTTATGTTTGCAAACACAACTGCAGGCGCATGTTGCTAATACGTATGCACAGACATGTCAACAATGCCCATATTTGGTCATATATCAATATTCATGCGCAACCAGATTTTGCAACCGGTTTGAGTTTGGTCTGTCAACGAACGAAAGTTGTTACGTATTTACACTTAAATACATATTTAACGTGGGAAATAAATAAAATACCACACTCATTCGCTCGATCAGATACCATAGAAAGTCCACTTTTTCATAAAAATGGTATGTAACGAGGATGAGTGTAGTATTCTCTATATACACAGTACGGGTTTCACACATTCCATGTATAAGTTGTCACATGACACGTACTTTCCCTGCTGGTGTCGATGCAATAAGACTTGACCTCGTGTGTCGACTTTACAGGTCAAGAACTCAGAAACATGAACGTCTTAGCAAAAGACTAAATGCCAGATAAATCTGAGCAGGGAAATGTGTTAGGTCAATCGATCACGTGCACCTGTCCCTGGAGGCAACATTGCACATTGATCACAGTTTAGCTTGTGGCCACATTCCTGTACCTGGCCTGACACTGAGAGGGGCGGCTTGACAAGGCGAGGTGTGTGGAAGCGTGTGTGTGATCATCGTTGATGATTTTATGCTATAACTTGATTTAATAAACATTTGACATGCTAAAATTGTTTCCGTCCATACGCCAGCTGCACACCAGTCTAGATCTCTACGTCACTTCCGGCAACAACTACAGATATTCTAGTGCACATGTTACATGTCCACACACATTCCAACACATCGCACCTGCTAAGTACAAATACTAAAGGGTGTGCGGTGTGAATGTCGCATCTATATACGTCTTGGGTACAACCAACGCAGGCTTATCGAGTAAAGGCAATTTCCAGTATCAAATTCACGAGAGGATTGGTACAGTTTAATAGCTATGGGTTCGTTCATAGCAATGTGTCAGTACAGTAGTCCAGGTAGCTGAATCCCGTGAAGATCCGGGTCAGAATAGGTCTTCAGCAACCCATGCTTGCCGTAGAGGGCGACTATGCTTGTCATATGAGGCGACTAACGATATCGGGTGGTCAGGCTCGCTGACTTGGTTGATGCATGTCACCGTATCCCAATTTCGTGGATCGATGCGCATGATGTCAATCATTGGCTTACCTGGTCCAGACTCGATTATTACAGACCGCAGTCATATAGCTGGCATATTACTGAGTGCGACGTTAAGCAACAAACAAACAACAAACATGTAGCTGAATGTGGGCGAGTGGTTAGGGAGAGATTACGGTGTAAAATAGGTTATTGCACAGAGAAAACATTTCCTCATATGTAACAGAACGCATACTTTCATGCATGTGTGGGATGTGTAGATCCTGTTTTATGAATTCCGTTTTCAACGTTCAATACCGGAGTCGTGTACCATGTGACATGATACCGCCTCGGGCGTGTTCCTTCTGATCTAACCAAATGTGTGCTGCATACTAATCTGGTGATAGTTACATAAATCGTCAGTGATAAATATGATTCATGCTGTCATAATTTCTAGTTACTTCCGCTTTCACATAGTGATATATTGTATCACTCACGTGATATTCTGCACGAATGCATGTGATATTCTGTCACTGAACACTGGCGATCACTGCTCGAAACCTTTTGAAATGTATAAAGGGACGTAACTCCGTACCCTTGTTGAGTCCGGACGGGGACGTTGTATTCGTACAGCATACCAAATGTCTGCATGTGTGATCCTTGTTACCGTGGCAACTTCCTACATCTGCTTAATAACAGATTAACAAGTTACTGTAAAAAACAAAACAGTTGAGTGAGCGAGTGAGCTGGGTTTAACACCGCTCTTTAACAGTATCCCAGTTTAACCACGGTGTGTCAGCTTAATGTGTTTAATGCCAAGTCGCATAGCATCTTCGCTTTCATTTTTTCAATTACCTTGTTACAAATGCTGACAAGGGAGATTCAAGTAATCGCCATATGTACATTAGTGTAGAAGTTGTAACCAAGGTAGAAACCTATCTTCTTGTCACTCGTGGCCAGTTGGATGAACAACGCGTTGTGCTTTGATAAATATATTTATGAATCTATCGTAAATGCATGTACTATTAAGTGAAAAAACAACATCAAATGTTTATTCGTAACAACGTGGTATGTGTCTAGTAGATAAATCTACCTTAATGTGGTTTAAACATATCTATGCTCCGATAAACCAGGATTAGCAAACAAGCCCATCATACGTGCAGCAATCCCGCCTCAGAACATATATAAAAGATCACAAACTTGGGTACAGAATGCATATTGTGAAGAATAACACATATGTAGAAACGTCTGTTGATAGGTTGTTACGGAGCTGAACGACAAACAACAAACAGATAAAAGTATTTACAATAGTTTGTCAAGATCTTTGTCTCGGAGTGCGAGCTGATTTATACCTACGATATGTGATTGCTGAAGCAGTTCCATGGATGAACATGGATTTGATGACAATAAAGATGACCAATGTCCAGCGTTACTGACCAGTGTTATCAGCCCTTTAGCCAAGTATTATTTAAGTCGATAACGATGTCGTTATATAACACCAGCATGCTGTCGTTCTCTGACTGTCTGACCGCCTCCGTGGTCTAGTGGTAGAGCGTCCGCCCGGAGAGCCAAACGACGTCAAACGATAGTTCTTGTTATTTTCCCTATCTGGCGCTGTCCGGAGTCAGTATCCTCTGTACATATGGGGTACTCATGTTAAACTGCGGATGGCATCTCAGTGAGATAACACTAAAAATCGGCATCAGTCCGGACTAGTACAAGCAGCCACACACACACACACACACACACACACACACACACACACACACACACACACACACACACACACACTCTCTCTCTCTCTCTCTCTCTCTCTCTCTCTCTCTAACACTAACACTAACACACACTAACACTACCACACACACACTAACACACACACACACACTAACACTAACACACACACTAACACTAACACACGCACACACACACACACTAACACACACACACACAGTGACACACACACTAACACACACACACTAACACACGCACACACACACACTAACACACACACTAACACACACACACTAACACTAACACACGCTAACACACACACACGCTAACACACACACACACGCTAACACACACACTAACACACACACACACGCTAACACACACACACACACACACACACACTAACACACACACACAAACACACACTAACATTAACACTAACACACACACACACTAACACTAACACACACACACTAACACTAACACACACGCTAACACACACACACACTAACACACACACACGCACGCACACACGCACACATGCACACACACGCACGCGCACACACACACACGCGCGCGCGCGCACACGCACACGCACACACGCACGCACACACACGTCGCTATATAAGTGCAATAATCTTGGACGCGATTTAAACACAATTTCACCTCACCTCACCTCACCTCACCTCACCTCACCTCACCTCTCTGACTGCCTGCACTCTAGTGACGACTGTGAGCACAGCCTGGGGATCGCTAAAGCTTCTGGGCCAGCGCGTGCTCACATGACCTTGTTTGGTTTTCCGTGGACAATTGTTTACTATGGCAACTTCTTATTCAATACCGTTTGATCTCGGGGCGCAAATATGTGAACTGTCGATAAATAAGAACAGATTCGGAAACAGCTAGCTGCCATAAGTACGTTTCACTCTGTACACACATCAATCCCGATTCCGTTATTTAACATTACCCTATTTTACACAATTCGAGAAATGTAAATGACCAGTTAGTTTTTAATTTACTGTAGTTTAATATGGTACACGTTTGAAATGTCAGGTATGCCACGTTGATATTTTGTTGGACTGCCAGTTGAACCTTATAAGTTTTCGTGAAAGGTTGCAATATTTATTCCAAAGGATTTTATATCATGATAAAATAGGACTTTCAAATCCCGACACTTTATTAGCTATGGCGTAAATTCATAGTTTTTGTTTCTCGGATGCGAAAGGTTACTTTATATGTTGCTGAACGCTAATGTCGTTATTTTAATATCTTTTAGTTTTTATTTATTGAATATTTTAACTGGTTTTTTTTGTATCCTCAGTGCTTTATATTAAAGGATTTCATAAATATATGTTCTGCCAAACTGTTTGTTTGAAACTAGGTCCGCCAACACATCCAAGACTTAAGGTGTTCCACAGTGTGATTAACCCGCACTTAGCATACACAATGTATGGAGGAAAATGCAAAAAAGACAAAAATTCTTGCAACCATATAGCGTTAATTGTAGAATTACGGACACATTTAAGTGATAACATCAATAACATGTGTAAAAAAGGTTACCTTTTTATTTCCATGGCAAACATGGAAGGCAACGCTGTGTCTGATCCGTGCGATTGCCATCCAGCAGTCGGGCAACAACAGAGCACATTATCACCGAAATGTCACATTGTCTTCGCCGATACAGCCCCGGTTAGCCCTCTGTATGCAGGGATCAAACACGACTGTTTACCGGTACAGTGTTTAAATTCCCCTACAATCTGCCAATGAACACCGATTTAGCCCGAGACAGGGACTGAGAAGCAATATGGCGACTTGCGAAAGACTCGCTGCCACAGGATGAAGTCATTGTGATACAACAAAAATATTCACGGAGTTAACGGCATCTGTGAAAATATATATAGCAGAGAGCAACCAACAGAGGCCGATATGGGGAACGGATCGGGCAAATCACATGGAGGTACAGGTAAATTACTTCAATTAAATTCAACTGCGAGTCAACTCGGCAACTAAAAGGCTGCACAGAGTGACCTCAGTCTGTCACTATGCATTCGCCCAACGTCAGTACCCAACTGTCTTGGCGGACTACTATAATTCTATGTGTGTATACTTACTGAATATTTTTACTTATATTTTAAATATATATCCTTCGTGTACATGTGACTTAACGAGTGCGATCCCTTCCTTATGTCAATAGCAGTAACATCGTCTCTCAATGACGTCCTGACTCACACACGATTTGCCCGTACATCGAGGACCCGTATACAGGCGATCACCTTTACTGGGCGGTTGATGCCTGACGCTTGGACTCAATACATCTTAATATAATGCTCAAATTAATATAAATATTTCCAATTATATTTACTGTATGTTATTAAAATAATTAAAAACAGAGTAATGTAAAACAATAAGGTGTCTCGTATTTGTTTTGTTCTGAAAACTAAAACCAACACAAATAAAATTGAATGGCTTGCTGTATCCATAAATCGAATATTTATCAGTGGAACCATGAGGTTCAGATGCATTTATTGTGCGTGCGTGCGTGCGTGCGTGCGTGTTTGTGGCTGCTTGCACTAGTCCGAACTAAAGCCGATTTTATAGTGGCAGCCCACTGAGATACGTATACCATGCCGCAGTTTAACTTCAATTCCCCACTCAGACACAGTATACTGACTACGAGCCGACCAGTCCTTGTTTAGTCCCTTAATGCCGAACGCCAGGCAGGGTAAGAACAAGTACGATTTTTTAACGTCTTTTGATGTGACGCGGTCAGGGATCGAACTCCCGAACTTCCACTCTCCGGGCAGACGCTCTACCACTAGAAAGGGGTCGATATTTATAAGATTTAACGTTTACACCTTTCGTGTCATGGAGAGACCGGCCTTTTGATATTTTGGGGCGTGGGCTGGGTTTTGTCTGTGAGACAGGGTATCCGTTCAGTCAGCACATAAACACCTTCATGTTTGTAACACTATGAACACACTATCAGAGCACCCAGAATGCCCAGGGAACTATTTTTGGGGGATAAAACCGGAGTTAAATTTTTTTTGTCAAATATTGGGAACGGATTATACATTACAGAACGCAACCAACACCACACCACAACACAACACAGCACAACACAGCACAACACAACACCGCACAACACAACACAACACAACACACACCAAACATCACCACAGCACCCACCACATCGTTAACACGACCTCTGATCAAAGCGAAACTGATGAAAAATGTGGCATCGGTACTTCATACACTCAGTCGGTTGAATGGCTGGAATCAGGCGCTAACGACGATCGGTGTTGATCAGAAAATTTATATTCTTCAACCGTTTTTGTCAAGTTACCCAGGAACTGACCGCGGGTTTTGATATATATTCACTCATCGCTTTAAGACATACAGGGGCGGTGGGATAGCCCAGTGGTTAAAGCGTTCGCTCGTCACGTCGAAGACCCGGGTTCGATTCCCCACATGGGAACCATGTATGAGGCCTCCGTCGTGATATTGCAGAAATATTGCTAAAAGCGACGTAAACCTATACTCACTCGCGTAAGACACAAGTTTCGGCAAATGATTATTATTATTTTATTTTTTTAAACTCTCCCATCTACCACAAAGAATACCAACGGTCTGTCCCTTCAAATTGAGACAACGTCATTATTTAAATGTCCCACAGAGCTAAAATGAAATAGCCCTTGCAACCTATAGTTCTGCAACACAAATCAATACCATGACGTCAAAACATTCCACAGACAGGCGTTTCAAGCGTTAGACGTGATGTCACACTCCATGTTAGATTACTGCCGAATGTCAAGCTCTGTTGAGACAAATGATACTATATTCTCTCAATCGTTGCTCGTAGAGTTGTCTGTCTACACTACTTGCTTTATAATGGCTCGCAACACAATATTTAGCAAATTTATTAAGTGAAAAAAAAGTATGTTATATTGCCTCCCGATCGTGTTGAAAAGGAAATCCTGTAACATTTGATTTGTTTTGAATAATGACCTAGCGTAGATTCCGTTCTGACTTTAATTGGTCAGTCCAAGTTTTCAAAGGAAACAACATTTGTTCAGAGGTCATTCCAGAGGTTTCAAAGGTGACAAGCTCTAATTGAGAAAAACGGACAGGCGCGGACGCAAGTATTTATAGGAAAGTACACATTACTTAACAATGGGTGTTGTGAGAAGGTAGTGGACAGAGGATTAGAACACAGCTTTGCACGTTCGGTTCACTTACTTCAGTCGAGTCGACCTTATGGCAGCTATGTGTTTTTGGTGTAGAGATATGTAACATTTAACATTTCAAAATTTACGCTTCGTTTTCGATTTAAACTGGGGCAGTCAAATCTACAAGCAATATAGTTCTAGAGATGGGGGGGGGGGGGGGGGGGGCAGGATTCTGACCAGGGAGGGGGGAAGAACTGACCTACGATATTCCTAACCTTCCAAGGAGAAACACAGGCCAAGAGAAGGTTTATGCTGATGCCCGGGGTCCCCGCGATTCACAAACAAGCTATGAAATACACAACGGATTGAGACACAGCTTCTTGATGAAATATAGAGTGAACTAATATCCTCGACGTTTTGCACACAAACACATTTACACGTCATTTAATACTATGTTAATCTGATATGTCAACACGATTATATATCGCAAGTCTAAAAGTTCCACGCAGAGCGTGTGATGTTCCTTCTCGGACGGATGGGGTAATGACTGACTACAGTTGGCGTCAGGAGTTTGTTAACGATTTTGCAATAGTGTTGAACGAGTTGCTTCCCTTGACAAGTTACAGAGTTTATCTGGGACGTTTTACCGACGATTTGTACCGTTGCTCAAGCATGAGATAGTGACTATCACAGGTCCTTCCGATAGCTGTGTGATATTAAAAACACCATAAACAGATTAAACAACAAATATATTTAGTAAGTGACCATAAATCGAAAGGACCCTTACACATTATATATTCTTGTTGAGGTGGAATAGGGTTTAAGTCTTTTCACTTATATAGCGACATGCATGCACGCCTGTGTGTGCTTTTACTTGTTAGGGCTTATGCCATTTTTTTAATGTTAGCCCTGAGATACCATTACACAGGTTCAGATGGGTACACCACTCAGGCGTGGTATTCTGTCTCCTAGCCGACCAGTCTTTGTTGATGACCAGTGATTCATTCATATAATCTTCACCGCCTGTTTGCCTTATAAGCACAATGGAATCTGCTTCGTCAGATAACCAAGAATGGTTATTCTCTGGCGTTGACGTGTTATACTTTGTCTCCTTATGTGGAGGGTAATGCAGACTAAGAGAACATACTGATTATTGATATCCAAACATACCACAGTCACTTCATGAAGAGCCATGATGTATGCTTTTCACCGCTGTTGGTTGCAGTCTGTTACCACTGGTACATTGTATTCACTTTAACATTGCATTATAGATCGTGTCCTTAAATAAATGATCATGTTAGCTTGCAAATATCAAAATAATGAACCATGACCAGTATTCCAGTTACATCACGACGTGTCAGCTTAATTCTGGAGGAGTGAGTGAGTGAGTTGGGTTAACGCCCGTATTCCAGTTGCTCGTTCTGTCATGACTTTGAAGAATACTGGATTCTGATTTGTTAAAATGAGGTACATAATAGAAGTGAGAAGAAATATTCATGACAATATATTGTTAACAAAGTAACCTTGGTGTGACACCATCTCCGACAACCACAGGGGGCACGGGTGGCCCAGTCGTCTAAGGCGCCACGATTCGCTGTGCAAAGTTGCGTCCTTTGGGCACGCCAGAAACCTATGATTGTGGGTTCGAATCCCGGTTCGCCCCGATTATGTTTCTAGGTTTTTAGCACCATACCCGTGCCTTAAGCCAAACACCCACTCACTCTTGCCGTCGTGATAGAGTGGAATCAAACCTACCGCGTTTTGGTATTTGAGGTCGCCTTACTGTGATTCGATACCTGAACTTTTAAAGTAGGTTCATCCTAACTTTACCAGCCATTGTAAGATTAGTAAGGTAACATCCTCTCGTGCACTGTGTTAGGTACCATATGAACTGTGAGCTGTATAGACATTTACATGTATTTCCATGCTGGTGAACACTACAGCATAACCCTACACAACAGCTTTGATGGGAGATATCAAATGCTGGTAATGACCTCAGATAATAATAATAATACGTATTGACCATCTCGTGGAAGGTCAGGCCTATACGTACTTAAGGATGCAGATTAGGGACAAACTCCAAAATGCCCATATCACGGAAAAACGTCGGGCAGAGTACAAAGAGAAAATCTGGAGTTCAGAGCTGTGCTCTTGCAATAAAGTTAAAGCCTCAAATACTTATACCGTACACGTCCTTTTATATTATTTTGGGGTTGTTGAAACAATAAATTCAGGGTATTGGCACCCTCACACGAAGAATCAGATAATAGATCCCACCACCCTCGCTCGTCTCTCAATCGCATATATGTACCAACCATTATGGGAGGACGTGGTTTAATTAACGTGGAGGCTCTTCATGATAGAACTGTTTTATGCACTTTCCCACACATTTATTTGTCTGATGATCCTCTTGTGAAGCATGTCAAGACTCATGATGAAAACAAGGCATTCCACAGTTTTCTTAAACGAGCCAAGGATGTGGGATATAATCTCATTGTTAGTGTTAATTTTGTTAATGGTTCTGACTGCTGGACGGTACAGAAATGAGTGTCAAACAAGTGAAGTGCCATATCAAATCGGCCCAGAGAGAGGCTATCTTAACGACCACTGCATCGAGTTTATGTGCAGTATGTTGAGAAGATCAGCAATCCCGCAGATTCCTCCGCTTGGATGAAGTCGTCTGGCCTGAAATGTGAAGCAGAAGGCTTTCTGTTTCCTGATCAGGACCAGTCGCTTCCCACTTGAAACCGTCAATGTGTGATTTTGCATCAAAATGTAAATATGAAATGTAGATTATGTAATGAATTTAATGAGACTGTCCAACATATTGTGAGTGGATGCCCAGCTTTGGCACACACACAGTATCTTAAGCGACATGATGGAGTGGCTCGATCATTTTATTACCGTCTTCGCCATGCTTGTGGTTTTGACACAGAGGTCCACCCATGGTACGAACCAGAATATGTAGAGGGCCTCATGGAAACTGATAAATACAAAAGTCTTTGGAATATGCCCGTATACAGCCTCAGACGTATCCAGGCCAACAAACCTGATCCTGTCCTTTTTGAAAAATCCAATAAACTCATTTATATCATAGAATTCTCTGTCCCTTTTGACACTAATGTGATTGACAAGATTGAGTAAAAATATGGCAAATATGCGGTCCCTACTTTCAAAATGTCACACTTGCATCCCAAGTACCAAGTTGAGTGCATTTATAATTTATAGTCCATTCACCAAGTGGATGCTCAGTGAGCACTCGATTTTTATTCTCGGTTCTGCCTCTGAAGCGCTAGATCTATTCACCTCTTGCTGTAGTATCCTTCTGTTCGTACAGATATGTTTCCCGGTTTGTCATTGTGCAGATAACATGTCAGCCATCGGGATGACTGTAGTTGATGCTTTAATTTACCTATAATTAGTTTCGAGTAAATATGCCACAGTTTGTGTTGCTGTTGTAGGGCTACCATGCGACCGCCGTCTGTGCAAGCTCAACGCAACTGCAGACGAAGTTATGGCAAGGCAACGGATCTTAGCCAGGAAGCTTGTTGAGCTTGCTGATGACCTTGACAAGCAGCAGAGGAAACTCCGAAAGGCGAAGGTTGGTCTCTCTGCCTCCAGTGCCGTGGGAGCAGCATTGGCCGCAACAGGATTTGGGTTGTCATTTGTCACATTTGGGGCTTCGCTTGTCCTGACGTCCATCGGGACAGGCATCTCTCTGGCAAGTACCGTTGGAACCGCGGCTACCAAAATCGCGGACAAGATCATCAAGCGGAAAAAGGTCGAGGAAACGAACGCATGCGTAAAGGCCTACACACAAGCTGTGCAACAGTTCGCTCCAGTTCTCGAGTTCTTCTGTGAAGGTCTCTCTTCTCGTGATGACAAAGCAAGGTTGAGACAGATCCTCACAGACTCTAGAGTGACGTCAAGCAATATCGGAATCATCGACGTAAAGTCTCCAGACAAGCTATGTGCTGCGTGTGCCAAAGGGCACCAGATCATGGCTACCACGTTACGTGTCCAGGAGCTGATGGCGGAGATCGAGGAAGATGCCAGTCTGGAGACACCAGGATTGAACGTCGCCAGCTGGACTGCAGGGGTTGTGTCCGACAAGTCGACGTTCGGGAAGGGGGCGTACAAGACGTTCAATGCTGGTGCCAAAGCTATCCATATCGGCGATGTGGCGCTGACAGGGGTTGGCATTATTCTTGACATCGGATCCATTATCTACAACAGTATCAAACTTCACAACAAGGAACCGTCCGAGGTAGCTCTGCTTATACGGGATTTGGCACTGGCTTTAGATTCGAACCTGGGGTAAACGGCTTTGTAAATGAAAATACCCACAATGTTAAATTTGCCCGGTGAAATTGTGGTTACAGGGGACAATGCGCGGGATACTAAGCCCTCCTGGCGAGATTGATATAATTATTTGAACCCCACTTGTCTGCTTATTCCATTACACACATCGATCTAGCAATTAATGGTCACCCCTATTACGCAGTGTCAAAGTTTAACAAAGGACACGAACTCAAACGGATTAACATGGACACCAGACCAGATATTATGTTTGTCGTTTAACAATGCTTTTTATGCGATGTTTGTATTATAGGATATCATTAAATGTAGAGCTGTTCATATTGGTTGAGTTATATGTTATAGTTTATTATTTATTATAAATTATTTATTTATTTTCTTCAACACACCCCTTTACTTTTTTAAGCATGCCTTATTCATGTTACAGTGAACAATTCAGTCGGGTCATCAGTTTTCATCACGTTTGCATTTAGGTTATCGCTTCCTTGGTTTTATTGATTGGAAAGTTGATCTTACAAAGAGAATTTGCTTCAGCCTTACTCGGGAAAGGTAGCTTGCTAACAACCAGGAAACGCCCATGTCATGTGTTACCGGGGTGGACAGCAACAAACATATTGATAACAGGCAGGGTGTTGGCTGGGAACACAGCGATTTATCTCGTAAGTAGTCATTTTGAAATAGTTTGTGCACACTTTTTACACTTAAGTTTGCAATGAATGTATTCCCAAACATACATACATTACATACTGCCATTTGAATTATACACATTCTGGTTTGATTACATAGCTTCCATGCAAGTGAACATTCTGAGACACACCAACCTGAAGACACCCCTGCTTAAATCACATGTTTGCACCACATTTAGTCTGAAGTGTCTTATACTGTATCAAATAGGACATGAAAAACACGAGTCCTGTGTTATTTACTGTTTGGAAATGTTGGTTGAAAGCGTGTGTTGGGTAATGTAGAGTTGGGAACGCTAGTTTGGTATGCTTCTGTTGGGTATGCTTGTGCTGGGGATATAGGTTGAAATATTTCACAAAGAGAGGTAAACGTGTGTAAGAATATATGGGGAAATGACATGAACACAGTGTGGCCCTGACTCGAGTTTCTCGGGGCCTTGTGTGGAACACGTTCACCATACATGGCTTGTCCAGGCCACGCGTCGTGTTTGTTTACTTTAGGGCGTAATGTCAGCCCATACTTGAAACCCTTCCTCGGTGTCACAAGCTATATAAACACACACGGGGAAGTTAGTTTGAAGCTACAACCCAGGACCATACTCCTTATATTAACTAGATGTGTTCATAGAATTGAAATAACACTATAAGGAAAGATATTTGAACAAATACACAGTCTTCACTTACTTTACTTCAGTGGATCTTTTTAAAATTTGCAAATTAAAACATACTACCAGTTAGTATGAAAACATTAAACAGATAAATACTTGTGCATACACGTGTTCTGAGTTTGTACTGTATGGGCTTACGCCGCTTTTAGCAATATTCCAGCAATATCACGGCGGGGACACCATAAATGGGCTTCACACATTGTACCCATGTCGGGAATCGAATCCGGTTGTCGGCGTGACGAGCAAACGCTTTAACCACTAGGCTACCCGACGCCCCCGTACATGTAGTATTCTTGGAAATACGCTTACATTACATGAATATATTAAGAAGCCGACTGACAAAGACGTGTGTAATTTCGTTGTCAGGCACAATGGCAAGCAAGCATGAGAAGTTGCAGAGGTTGTCAGATGCGTCTGATAACTGTTTGGAGAAGCTGGACGTAGTCGTGGGGAAGCTGTATGCCCTGGCGGACGAACTGGATGTACAGCAGAAGAAGATGGACATCGCAAAGATTAGCTTCGCAAGCTCTGGATTAGTTGGAGGGGGTCTCGCCATTGCAGGTTTCGGTCTATCCTTTGTCACATTTGGAGCGTCTCTGATCCTAACGGCTGTGGGAACAGGCATCGCTGTGGCTAGCGGTGCTGGGGGAATCGCTACAACAATTGCTGAGAAAATCGTTAAAAGTAACAGAGTCAAAGAAGCTAAGGAAGCGGTGCGAGAGTATTCCTCTGCCCTAGCAGACTTTGTGCTCGTTCTGGAAGTATTCAGTGACGCCTTGACACACGAAGAACAGACCCGGATGCTTGATATCCTGCAGTCATCCTCTATTGATGGAGCTTCATCTGAGGATCTATTCAGTGACGTGCAGGATAATTCCATGGCCATTGGTGCCTATATGAAAGCTCACAAAATTCTCAAAGCGGCCAAAATTGTTGATGCCACAGTTGGTGCTATAGAGATTGGGGCTAAAACAGGCCTCCACGCCAGTGCCAAGGCTGGCCAGGCGGCTGCTGATATCGGCGGAGAGGTGTTCACAGCTGGAAAGGAGGCATTCCGAGCTCTGGGCACTGCCGCGAAAGTCATCAAGGTGGGAGGGGTAGTCTTGTCAGGAGTTGGTGTCATCGTTGACGTCGGTGCTATTATATACTACGGCATCAAAATACGTAAACGTAAGCCATCCGAGATTGCACAAATGATTCGCAAAGTTGCCAGATCCTTGGAAGACAAGGATGAAGCACTGGAGCAAGAGGTCGCGTTTGAGAAAGATGAGGAGCGACTGTCCAGGGAGGTGGAGACCAAGATGGGCCTTGAAGGTCATGACGAGGTGAAGGTCGTGGAATAATGTCACTGAGTTGTATATCCCATCCAACGCCTTGTGCTGGTTTTGTGAAAGAACGTTGTGATTATTGTAGATAGTGAACATTAAATATTAAACCGAGTATGATTTGCATCATCTATTGCACAAGTATAATACATTCCTTATTTTTCACAAAGTATGCTGAAACAGGCGCTCTTTGTATTTGCTTCTTGTCTAACACCCACTACCAACTAAAATGCGCGTCAATGATGTAGCGTTGTTGTTCGGTATAAACTCAGTACAAAAGGTCCTTTTCAAAACTAGGTGCATGCTTGAAGTATTTGTAGTAAAATCCTTTAAGGGCTTGTTGCGGCAAGTTTGATCAAATTGATTGTTCATTGTTCTCTCAACAGCTGCCACAATCCAGTCTCTACTAAAATGTCGGGGTGAATGAAATACCACATGAGTTCAATATTTCTTCAACACAGCTAAGCCATTGACAAATCAGCTTTCACAAGATTAAATATAACTTGTGATAGCTTAGGGGGTTTACGTGGGTTATGTAATTTATGCCAAAAGCTGTCTTTTACTAACTTGTATATTGAATGGGACCCGTCCAAGTTCACCATATCTACAAAACTTCGGGGTTGATGTCGTCAGACCAGAAGCAATATTTACAACTTGTAAATGGATTCTGTCAATAGCTTCAGCTTTTTCATATCCCCATACTTGGGATCCATACAGTAGTATGGGAGTCACCATAACGTCGAATGCTTTAAATGGACAGTCAAAGGATAGATTGAGGTTTCTCGTTTTTTTGTGAGTAAACGAAACATTGTGCATTAGTTCCGTTCTGGAACACACTGACAATGAATCTACATAGCTGTTTCATAACGGCTTGCACCAATGTATAAACAGTTTGAGCAAAAAGTACCTTGACAGTTCTTTTGTACAACTTTCATGAAATGTTTTCATTCAATGCTTAATTAATTACACTTAAAAGTAATTTTAACAATATCTATTCGTGCTTCCATAAACACGTCGTAACTATTAGTGCAGTCATTATGCAAAAAGGTCAAGTGTTAAAAAACATTCATGCATTATCAACAAACGTTTAACATTGACTAGTTTTATCAATGTGAATTATGATTTGGGAATTATGATAAACTATGACTGATCTCTTGGAATTCTCTCAACATTGTGATATGTTTACCGCTATTGTATATCAGCGTTATCCATTACTTTTACAATTACCTAAACATAGGGATGATGTATGTCACTCACATCTATGTATCACTTCCTTTTTGCAAAAAGGTTTCCGATTTAATTTTAAAGTAAATCTTTGTATATGTTCCTCTTTGTACTGTCCTTCGACAAACAATGTAGACAATATAGATGTTGATATGTTCAAGTCACAACATGGCTTAACTATTGCCAGCGTCAGTCAGTTAGCCATACACACACACGCACAAACACGCACAGACACAGACACACACACACACACACACACACACACACACACACACACACACACACACACACACACACACACACACACACACACACACACGCACACGCACAGACACACACAGACACACACATACATACATACACACACGCACGCACAGACACACACAGACACACACATACATACACACACATACATACATACATACACACATACACACACACGCACACGCACACACACACGCACAGACACACACAGACACACACATATATACACACGCACACACACACTTCGGAAAAGTTTCATACTCGTCCTTGTGACAGGCATCTAAAACATGAAACGTGTGTTTGTTTTAAGATTGAGATAGATAAACTATTGTGTGACTAGAGGATTAATATGACCACAGTTCACACAGTCCGAAAGAGATTGGTGTGTACGAATTGTTATCCCTGCTATGACAACCGTCGTCACCGAGATATCCTGCGTGTACACACCAGGTGGGAAGACGATCAGACACCGGTGCACTAGCAGGGGGCGGCAGATGATATAGCGAGTTGAGTAGGAAATACGTCGTACTCAGAGGGGATATCTCCACCTTCAGCTGCATACATTCAAACCAAGTATACAACGACAGGTATGTGTACATTAGCTAATTGTCTTATTTCTAACAATACACTTCCGGGCAAAAGAAAGCATTCGCTTGAAAATTCACACTTCACTTTGCTCATAACTATGTACTGTAAATGTGGGACCCATGCTACTTGAGACTTCATGTACACGTCACGTGACGTGAGCTACTCATTGATATCATGCATGTAATATCGCCTAGGATAATATCCGTATGAAATACATCATCAAACAATCATTTCTTGTTTGTTTCATTTTAGCCACCAAACATGGGCTGGGTGTACACCTTCTTTTGCCCGCCATTGTATTTATGTAACTGTTAATAAAAACACATATCTCTATACGTGTCTGCTCTTTAGTTTATATGTATAATTATCATCATTATGATTGTAGTGTGATAGCATTAAGTTAAACTGAACGAAAATATGTATTATTTAATATAAGGCGAGTCGATTCATGTCAAATATTCTCTTGACAAAGGCTTATTGACAGATATCTAGGTATCTTGGCAGTCCAACATTGCTTTCAATACTAACGCGATATGTAATCTGCTGCTGTCCCACATACAGGTTACAGGGAACATGTCGGCCGCAGATAGTAAACTTGAGGAGCTTTCTGGGAAGACTGCCGAGTGCGTCGCCCGTCACGACCACGTGGTAGAGCAGTTGCTGGAACTGGCAGACGAGCTGGACAAGGAGGAACGGGAGGTGGACGTCGCCAAGATTGGCTTTGCCAGCACAGGAGCTGTGGGTGGCGGTCTGGCGTTACTTGGGTTCGGTCTGTCCTTCGTTACCTTTGGGACATCCCTTATCCTGACCGCAGTAGGGGCGGGTATATCCGCCGTCAGCGGAGTTGGGGGACTGGCAACAACTATCACTGAGAAGATCATGAGCAGCAATAAGCTTAAGGAGGCCAAGGCAGCGGTCCAGGCGTATTCAGATTCAATCAAATCGTTTTCACATGTTTTGGAATCGTTCTGTGAAATGCTTCCTGGTGAGGACCAAGACAAGATGTGGAAGTCTTTGAAACAAAACATTGAAATGGAAATGAAGATAAGCAGTGTTATTTCAGACAGTCGCAAACTTGTAGACACCATAGTCAATATCAAGAAGCTGATGACAGCGGCTGACAATGTCAAGGGAGTCGTGGAAGGGATACAAGGGGAGGGAACTGCTGCAGCTAAGGCCATAGGCGTAGGGGGAGATCTGGCTAAAGAAGGCGACGAAGCTTTTAAAGCTTTGAGTACTGGGGCTAAAGCTGTGCAAATAGGGGGCGTGGTCCTTGCGGGGGTAGGCGTGGTCATCGATATCGGTTCTATCATATACTATGGTATCAAAGTTCACAACAGAAAACCCTCCGACGTTGCTGAAGTCATACGAAAACTGGCGAAATCTATGAACTAGCATGTGTTCAATGTTGACTGACAATACCGAGCCATTACCGTAGTTACACCAATATTATACTTGTGTTGAACACGAACGGCTTTGTACATTGCAGTTGTTTAGAATAACATACCTGTAATAAACATGTATTGGAATTCATATTCTGTGTTCGAATTTCGCATCTGATTATCTCAAGAGACTAAGCCATCCCCATCGAATATTGACAAACGAACACAGGCGTCAAACATGTACCATGTCTATAAATACGTGGCATTAACTTCTTGTACGAAGTAATCATATCAGTGGCAAATCGGACATGTTGTTTTCGGCATTTATCACATAAAACACACTTAGTTAAAAGGCTGACTTAAGGACATGTGCGGAATGACGTACAATCAAACAAAAATATTACTTATATTTCAGAGGGATCAAACTTGCAACATTTGTGACCTGATAAATCACAATGCTTTTAAGGCTTTATTTGTCAAGTTGCTAAATATTTCGAAAATATCTTGGAAACAAAAATTTGTCGATAAATGTTTTAGATTTTGCTTTCGGTTGATGAGTTAAATAAAACTCATCGGGTTTGTTTGAGAACACTCCGGGACGGAAAACACCTTCGGGCCTTCGACCCCACGTCGCAACACCCCAAGATACCCCATCCCATATCACTCACTCACCCCCCCCCCCCCCCCCACCCCCCTAACCCCATCCCCACCCCCACCCCCACCCCCACACAAACACCAACACCAACACCCACACCCACACCCACACCAACGCCCAAACACACCTACTCCCAAACACCTCCCCCTACACCTACACCAACACACACACACACACACCAACACCCCCCCCCCCCCCCTACACACAACAATCCACACCAACACCCACACCAACACACCCATATCCACATCCACACCCACACCTACACTCCCCCCCCCCCCCCCGCGGACACCCACCCACCCCACCCCACACCCTCACCCGCACCAACAACCACACCCACACCCACACCCACACCCACACCCACATCCACACCCACACCCACGCCCACACCCACACCATCACTAACGCCAACACACCAACACCCACACCCACACCCACACCTAAAACCACACACCAACACCCAAACACACACCCACCCACACCAACACCTACACCCCCCCACACACCCACACCTACACCCACCCACAACCACACCCACACCCATCCATCCCCACACACCCACCCCCACACACACCAATACCCAAACACACACACACACACACACACACACACACACACTACCACTACTACACCACCACTACCACTACCACTACCATTACCACTACCACTACCACTACCTCTATCACTACCACTACCACTACCACTACCACTATTACTACCACTACCACTACCACTACCACTACTGCGCCATCACTACACATATCGAGTTTTACACGTATCACACACTATTGGTAAATCACAGAGAACAAAAAAGAGCGAAGCGTGGTTTTTTTCACGATAAAACATTGTTCAATCATAACGTCATTTCTGGAGATTCAAACATGCGCTTCCGCAACTTGATGACGTCATAAATTAGACGTTATTTTTAAAATAAAGTGTCTGTCCCCATTGATGTAGCTGGGCAACGCAGATAAACGCAGTGGAGAACGATTGCATCCAGATGTGGGAGAGATATGAAAATGGGTATTGGGAGAAAAGGTACAGATAATCGACCAATCTCATTAAAATCAGATCTTAGTTCTCGCTATCGCTACACAAATCTACACAAAGATCTGAGGACATCCCGTTGAGGGTCACGTCAGAACGACCTTTCATCCAACCAATCAGAGCGTCGCTTGCCAGATCTTGAAAGTGACAGTCGGAATGTGTTTTCTAATCATGCAACCACGAAATATTTAATACGGGGTATTCCGAACGACAGTTACGGGTTTTATGATTATATCCATACAATCTAGGCCATCTATAAGCCATTCCAAAATGTTCCTCTTATCAGTTTCATTTTTTTTAAATCGAGAATACGTCAAAATATGTTTCTTCGCCAGTTTGAAACTAGTGTCGTAAAGCTCGAGAAAGCTGCCTTCTGATTGGCTAATGTCGATTTCTTGTCAGTCATTTCGTTGGTCGGTCAAAATTCGGGAAAGGTCGTTCTGACGTGACCCGTAATGGGATGTCCTCAGATCTTTGTTTAGCGGTAATGAGAACTAAGATCTGATTTTAATGAGATTGGATAATCGACGTGAGGATTGTGAGAATATGCGGGAAATACCAAACTTAAGCCACCTATTCATAAAATGGAATTGTCCAACATTGTAGAGGTCGGATTCTATTCAGGGATTCATTAAACATTAAAATACGGGTAACTATTTTCATAAAGTTTGAACAATTTCTTGACATCCTTAAAGGGGTCGTACATAATGTTGATATAAGATTGATAATGTTGATATCAGATTGATAATGTTGATATAAGATTGATAATGTTGATATATCTCATACAAGAAATGAACATGTGAAGTTTTTTGAGTAAACACAAAGGATTTTAAGTTGCATTGTGCGTTCATCAAAGTTACTACTTGAACTTAAGAAATAAACGAGTGATAGTTACTTGTTATATAAATTCTGCATGGCCCCTCATCGTTTATTCTCCCTACAGTGTTTTATTGTACGATGTACAACATCAACTCGTTTATTTCTTAAATACAAGTAGTAAATTTGACGAATGCACAGAACAACACCAATTACTTAAAATCCTTATTTTTCATTCAATAAACCTCACATGTTTATCAATAATCATTGAATGGTTTAACCAGATGCCTGACTACAAAATATGCTCAAGGTCTAAATACTCTTAGTCTACAGCAGGAGAGTCGACTGTTTAGTAAAGTCAATCCAACAACACAACAGAAGCGTTGAGCCATTCAGGTTCTTCATCTTGCATATCCTAACGGTCAATATCCTCTGTCGATGTCCACAATGTTCTCCAGTGCTTGTCCGGTCACGTAACGATTATAGTTGGCCAAAAACATGGTCGCCAGCTGCACAGAAACGATATAATTAACTTAAAATAGACGATAACCATCTGAATATCTTGTTTAATTTTCCGACTAGTTCAACGACATCATTGCCTTGCGAACACCATTCATATCCTTTTCACCGCTTTTGCGCTTTTACGTCCAATGGAACCTTTTAAGGTGGATAAAAGTTTTACCTTCATAAAACTATTGAACGATTATAGTCATCATAGCAGCATTTCAAACCAGAATATAGAACGAATTACAATTATGAAGTATTTCCATCTGCATTGAATCAATGCAACGATTTACAGTGACACACCGTGCAGTACACCCACTGGAATAGAGAGTATCAATAGGGTTACCTGTTTATACGAGTCCATATTATCACTCTGATTAGAGGCGTGGGGTGTGATGACCACGCCCTCCTCACCCCACAGCGGACTATTCTGGGGCAAGGGCTCCTCAGTGAAGACGTCGAGAACAGCTCCCGACAGCCATCCCTTTCTAAGCACAGAATATGTCTTTATGTTATTATGTCACAAAGGGAAAATATCGACTCTGATAATGAGGTCTATTGTCATCTTTTAACAGCTACGTCGATAACGACAGTGAGTTCGGCTGGGGATCCATTGTTGGGGTCTGGTGTGGTTGCATGGGGTATGCTCCCTAACTTCTAAAACAGCTTTTTTGTTGTTGTTGCATCAACCAAGTCAGCGCGACTGACCACCTGATCCCCTTGGTCGCCTCTTACGCCAAGCAGAGTCGCGTTTTACAGCAAGCATGGGTTGCTGAAGACCTGTTCTGTCCTGGATCTTCACAGGTCTCCAAAAAAGCTTAGCCCCATTGACCAAACACAGACTTTCTCCCTTTCAAAATTCTTGAATCCGCCTCGTGTATACTTCCTCGTTGTGACAAGGATCTAAGCTATATTAGAGCCTGACAATATAACATCTACCTGAGTGCTGCAATCAGACTGTCGTCGTCAATGACGTCGCCGCGCCCAACGTTGATGAATAGAGGCTGTTGAAAACATATGTCTCCACATTAGCTCATAAAATACTTACATCGTCGTGCACTATTTCCCAATACAAGTAATCCTTGTTAAAAAAGATGATTAAAGTACATTAAAGTATTCAAAATCAGTATACAGTACTGCCTTACAGTCATCACAGGGGCGGTAGGGTAGCCTGGTGGTTAAAGCGTTCGCTCGTCACGCCGAAAACCCGGGTTCGATTCCCGACATGGGTACAATGTGGGAAGCCCCCCCCCCCCCCCCCCCCCCGCGATATTGCTGAAATATTTCTTCAAGCGGCGTAAAACCATACTCACTCATTCATTCATCACAAATGGCGTCACTCGCTTGATATTCAGCTTCAATATAGCTCAGAGGGTATGTACATGTAACATATTAAATAGACTATGAAAACTATTGTAATTTATGATTATATGAATTATTCCTGCATACACTGGAATAGAGGAAACCGTTAAAAAATAATAAATTTCCTCAACACGGTAGAGAGTGGTTTGATGAAGAGGGCAGAAGCTGATTGTACTATAACTCCTTTCCTCCCTACCTGCTGGCTACAGTAGGACAGGACGTCTCCATTCAGGAGCCCCTGAGTCTCAGGTGTGGAGGGCAGGATGTTGACCAGGAAATCACAGGAGGACAGGATCTCGGGGAGACCACGTGGTTGTCTGGATATGAAACATGTATATTTGATTCATCCGCTACGCTTTCTGTGGTTCGTAATACTTGAATGAATCGCCATTGTCGATGCAAATATTAGAAAGGTTTGCCGTTTTGTGCGGTTGTGTCCGACATGTCTTGCATGTCATCGTCGAAGCTCAAAGGTGTACCTGCAAGCACTTTAACATAGTTGCATCAGTGCTCTGTTCAATGTGGTACCTGTAAATTGCTTCATTCGACAGCTCCATCATCAGCCTGACAATATATTCTGCTTCGCATATGTCCCTTGGACACTTCCTGTCGAGTCATTCCGAAACGCATGGGATGGAGAGCGATTCCCTGCCTTACACTGAAACCTCAATTAATTAGCATTGAGGACCATTGTGTTTCAGGACAAGCAGAGTTCTTATATTAGGTCATTGTGTCGATATCGATTCAACTGGCACGACCTCCTACCTAATACGTTCAATTGTATTTGTAATGAAGAGACCCATGTGGATATTGTTCCTACAGCTTGACGGGCATAACACAGGGATTGTCCTGATGGTGTGAGCAACTGTTATCAGCATACACAGAGTTCTCAGACGTCAAAGTGTCATTAAAATTACCAAAACATTAGAGCATCAGCATCATTCAACACGTATTACGTCATATCAGTAAGATGAATACACTATTCACATGCCTAGAACACTCAAACGGTACATAGAAATGCACAAGGACGTCTCTTAGACCTGCCTGTACTCATCCACGAATTCGCTCCTCTCTTCCTCCGTGACTTTAGATCGTTTCATTCCCCACACAGTCATATCCCAGTATTTGCATGCACGGGCAACTGAAACACCAGACAATATACATACACACTGCACTTCACTTCAAATAATTATTTTGACTCTTAAGGCTGCATGTGCCATGTCGGCAAGTTCAATGGATGTGATTGATATCTTCCTGATACACAGTGACAATGAACAACATCGCTATACTTACATGTACAAGTGAAGAGAATATAGGTCACAAAACCCTTCCCATAGCCATAAGGAATCTCTCCTTACAGCAGAGTCGATTGTACGATTCCCACGTATCATGAGCATGTGTTTTTCAATCACTATCAAACAGGGACGATACCACGTGTTCGTGTCAAAGCGAGGCTTTAGCTGCATACTGAATTGTCAAGCTTCGGATTTGTTTCAGTTTCAGCAGTCATGAAATATAAAGATGTGAATGAGATCAGTTTGTTCCATGCTCTGAGCTGAGTCTAGTCTACCTTCGCCGCCGATAGCTCCAATCCCCAGTATCCCAACCGAACAGGAGCTGAGGTGTTTCAGTCCAGAGCTAGAGATCACTCTGAAAGGTGTAATAAACAACCTCTGTATGTATGACACACGATAAACATTCACGAATGCTAGTATAATCCAGGGCAAAAAAGTATACACTTGCAAATTGGATTTGACAAAATAATTACAAACGTTATCAAAACGTTACCAGTCTGAACACTGCAAACGTATTTCTAAATCACAACTATGTCACCCGTATCGTATACATCACCATTGTATAACCATTTCTTGTTTGTGTCATCTTTAGTCACCATCAAACATTGGCGTATACTTTCTTTGACCCGGCAGTATAGTTCGTATACCCTTTAAATAAATTCTGCCCTTGTGATTAAATCATGAAAGCTTGTATTCCTGTCAGATATTTGGATCAACATGGGACCAATTCAAATGAAGTCACATGAAGCCGATGGTTAGTGCGTGGCTTTTCGCGTACATGTGGGCCAGATTTAGCACCGGTTAACAACTTTCACTGTGGCCCTTGGAACGTTGTAAGATCAAAACAAAGAAGTGTGTAATAGGGGGATTCGACCTGCAGACAGTCAGGTAGGTAGGTAGGTAGGTACGTCGGTGGGTGTGGTGGTGGGTGGCCCATGTTATAAGCCTCTAACATAAGACACGTATACATGCCTGTCCCATGTGCGTTGGTTTTGCATCCTCTGGAAATGTTGGAAGTTCATGTTGGCAGATATGATTTGACCAATTACATACTGGGAGATGGAACGTTTGAAGGTCACGGCGTTACGGGACACCGTTACGTCAGATGACAGCTAAAACAGGATATGAAGGGTAGAACAGACAAGCGGTCACGGCACCAAACAGTCGACAATAACGACACTTTGTTACAAAGTCCCCCAAAACGGAAAGTTTACTTACATCTCTTTTGATCTTCAACAGTGTATCAACTCCTTGAATGAATTAAAACATGACATCATTCTTTATGTATGTTTACGTGTATATACAAATATGTACTATTTAGTATTATTTAACAACGTTCCCAACTGACGTGCTATATACGAGTACGGTAGGAGAGCATTTCAGTTGGCCACAAAGAACACAAGAGAGTCAGAAATTTTGTTCAAACAAGTTAATTACATCTGTCGACTTCCTCTGAAGTGAGGTGCTAAGTTGCAGATGCTATCAGACAGGATACAGCAAGCAAGCCTAACCTGCCTCCGCCGTTTGAATCCACTTCAGATTGGGTAGCAGGTGAAGGTTTTGAGCCACGAAGCAGATGGGTCCAAAATAAATTTCTACATCCTTCCAGTCGGCTTTGTCAGTGGCTTGGAGATACTCTGAAGACCCTGTCGAATAAACTGTACTCAGTGCTACACTTTTCATACCAGTGGTTCTGTATGACACTGCATACATTGCTACACTTTTCATACCAATGGTTCTGTATGACACTGCATACATTGCTACACTTTTCATACCAGTGGTTCTGTATGACACTGCACACATCTGTCCACTGTTGATATCAGTACTACAATAAGAAAATGTATACCTTATTACACTGTTGATATAAGCCGTGCAGTAAGATTTTGTTTGTTATTTAACGCCGCACTCAGCAATATTCCATCTTTATGACGGCGGTCTGTTAATAATCTAGTCTGGATCAGACAAGCCAGTGACTGACATCATGAGCATCGATCTACTCAATTAGGATACGATGATATGCGTCAACCCAGTCAGAGAGCATGAGCACCCTTTCCCGTTCGTCGCCTCTTATGACAATATAGTCGCCTCTTATGACAAGCATGGGCTGCTGAAGACCGATTCCAACCCGGATCTTCACGGGTAATGTGTAGCAAGATGTTCATACATATAGACGTCTTACCAAGCCATGAAGAACAACAGTTTTAAGATATTCTAGAAATTGAAATATACCTTACGCATTACACACCATATACATAATGTAGTTTATTATTTACATGCCCTTTTCTGTATCTCGGACTAAACTAGAGCCGTTCCTTCAACCACTGAATTAAATGCAACTTGATTCCGAGCTGAGACCAAGCACGACTTGCATCTAATCCATAAACACCTACACCATGCTTTCAGTATAACACGCCGGAAGTCAAGCAGGGGATCCTGGCGTTCTAGGACAGTGTTGACGTGGTCAGTTGGGAACGCGGTAAGTACAACAGGTCTTTTCTGGTTCCTGATCATGGTGCTGAATACCACCGACATATAAGTGCTGGAACACGGGAAATATTTTCTCTACTATGTGCCAGGTTAACATAATCCATCGTCACAACAGTTGAGAAATTTAAGTAACCGGCAGAGAGAGCTTTATTACGAAATACGAAGAAATCTAATGTCAAGAAATACCTGTCTGTAAGATATTTAGACATTTACTGGGTACTGACTGTTACACTGTAATATAGATGTTGTTACTATACACCACTGGGCGAATTTGGAAATGTCATCCATATGTCTACCTTAAAACGAATTGAAAGTTTTACTGAGGCATTGTTGGAATACGGTCCTTTATACAATATACATCCACGTGGGAATCTACAAACAGATACCATGTGGACACGCGTCCATGAATACATTTCTCAATCCTGTGACATGATGGAGCATGATAGAAGCCATGTTAACATTATCGAAATGGTATTATCATACATATCGTGTAACATGATCAAGCATGATAGAAGCCATGTCAACATTATCGAAATGGTATTATCATACATATCGTGTAACATGGTCAAGCATGATAGAAGCCATGTTAACATTATCGAAATGGTATTATCATACATATCGTGTAACATGGTCAAGCCTGACAGAAGCCATGTCAACATTATCGAAATGGTATCATACATATCGTGTAACATGATCAAGCATGATAGAAGCCATGTCAACATTATCGAAATGGTATCATACATATCGTGTAACATGATCAAGCATGATAGAAGCCATGTCAACATTATCGAAATGGTATCATATATATCGTGTGACATGATCAAGCATGATAGAAGCCATGTCAACATTATCGAAATGGTATCATACATATCGTGTGACATGATCAAGCATGATAGAAGCCATGTCAACATTATCGAAATGGTATCATACATATCGTGTGACATGATCAAGCATGATAGAAGCCATGTCAACATTATCGAAATGGTATTATCATACATATCGTGTAACATGATCAAGCATGATAGAAGCCATGTCAACATTATCGAAATGGTATCATATATATCGTGTGACATGATCAAGCATGATAGAAGCCATGTCAACATTATCGAAATGGTATCATACATATCGTGTGACATGATCAATCACACACAATCTTGTCACACGATATGTATGATAATACCATTTCGGTAATGTTGACATGGCTTCTATCATGCTAGATCATGTCACACGATATGTATGATACCATTTCGATAATGGTATTATCATACATATCGTGTGACATGGTCAAGCCTGATAGAAGCCATGTCAACATTACCAAAATGGTATCATACATATCGTGTGACATGATGTGGCATGATAGAAGCCATGTCAACATTACCAAAATGGTATCATACATATCGTGTGACATGATGTGGCATGATAGAAGCCATGTCAACATTATTGAAAAGGTATCATCATACATATCGTGCGAAATGATAACAGTTGACGAATATGTGACAGCCAAACACAAACACACACACCACGGCCTCCAGACATCTCACTGTGACATTGTAAACATCGAAAAACAGATGTCAGAAGTATTACACTTAACAAATTGATATCAATCATACAAGACAAGGACAATGCTATGTACTTACTTTAAGACAGACAATAATCGTTGTAATGTTTCCTGCAATGTTATCGACACGACTTCTTACATGGAAGAAGACAAAACAGGCAATGTGGTATTCTGGTCATGCAGAAAGGTTAGCAGGCCGAGTCCTGATCATAATTTATTCAGCACGATTAGTTGTGCATTGCTATCTGTTATAGTGGCGTATTACATGGACCCGTGAAGATCCGGATTAGACTTGGTCTGCAGCAACCCATGTTTGTCGTCAAAAACGGGATCGGGTGGTCAGGCTCTCTGACTTGGTTGGTGCATGTCATCGGATCCCAATCGCTTGAATCGATGTTCATGTCAATCAGTGGATTGTCTGGTTCGGGCTCGCTTGTTTACAGACCAACGTCATACAGCGGGAACATTGCTGAGTGCGGCGTTGAACAACAAACAAAAAACATATTAAATACACCAGCAGAGATGCATATGTTTGCATGAGGCTGTAGGATCACATTGTGTGGACAAACTGTAGTATTGACGTTTTAACCCGAACCAGTTCCTCGTTCTCAATATGTAGGCTTTTGTAGGCTCGGTGATTATTGGCTGTGCAATAAATTTTCAATACCTCGGATTATCAAATGTATTATAAAGATGTGAATGAGGTCAGTTTATGTCATGTGTCATGTGACACATGTAGATTTTACAGCTGGTATAACTGAGCTTAGAATTCAACCATTTGTGACCTGGGTGCACTGACTACTAAATAGTTTGACACATGTTGTTTCACCTAAGATATAGTTAAAATATTATGAATCATTAGTTCAACCATAAACCTTAGATTATATGGAGGTGATATCTAGGGTTTGTAGAAACTAGAACGTCTGTGTACAATCGAAAATTGGAGCATAATTTTTTTTGATTGAATCAAGTCGAAACTCCTTAAATAAAGCAGCGTAAAATGGTTTATTGTAACTAAAAAACAACTCGAAGTCTTCAGATCCCATTAATGTTATACCAGCTTTATGAAAATAACTGGTTCTGTGAGAAACGGAATGTCAGCGGGAAAGCGTCAGGTGATATGACTAAAGAACGACTTGAAATCTTCAGATTCCACAAATGTTTTAACGACATGCCAAAACAAACCCTGCCCACTGAGTCCGCGCTTGGTCGGTTCCACTCATGGGACAGAATGTGTGTAAATTAGCAAAGTAGATACATAATTATGACTTAATATTGACATTGACAAGTGGAGTGTTCTTCGACTATATCAGCTACATAAAAAGTACAGATTCTGTGTGAAGTGGATTGACAACGGAGTGACAGCAGGAACGCTGACGGGAACAAACTTACCTACGGCCTAACTGGAAAAGACATGAAACCGGAAGTTTAAACTTGTGTGATTCTACTTTACGTAAGACTATGAAGATATCCCCTCTTCTTCGATGTGACTAATATCAATCTCTCAGTCCTTTTCCTGTCCAGCCAGGATCGAAATATGAAACGTCAACGCCAGAGAATAACCAGTCTCGATTATCCGACGGGACAGATTCCATTGGGCGTAAAAGGCAAAATAGCTGAAAATTCTGAGAATGGATCACTGAAAATCAATCACACCCGGTGTGCGCGAAAGAGAAGCAGGTCCTGCCACACCGGTAGCCTGGCAACTCAAATAATGTGCATTAAGGTAGTATCTGATGTCTGCCTGACACTACACAGCCGTACAACAAACCAGACAGTCAAGCGACTGACCAGAAATCCAGTTAAACGACAGCGCATTTACTGATTTTGTTGAAACTAAAAAATATATGTTAATTTTAAATTATGCATGCTGTGTACAAGTGAAAGTGAAATAAGGTTCTCACTGACTGTGGCCTGTAATGTGCATTGTTTACAGAAGTGAAAGCAACAACTTTACATCCAGCGAAAAATCTGTTCATCACACACACGAGATATTTAAGGATAGGTAAATTTTCTTCGTGTGTGGAAGTATATATACTTATAGAAACTATTGTGCATACTGAGAAGATGTGTTGTTACGTGTCGATTCCCAAATTAATACAATATATTTACCCAGAAATCTGTTAGTAAAATAACCTGGTGTGAAACCAACAAACAATCAACAAGTGATGTATACAATAAAAAAATGCATTACCAAAATTAACTAGGTTTACAAATCAATACAAATTACTGCACAGCAATTACAATGTCAGTACACAATAGAGAGGATGTACAATAGATACACACAATGGAGGTGGTGATAGAAAACAAAGGTCAGTGATAATAATGTATATTCACTCAGCGGCGACAGTGGTCAAGTTTCCGAGATGTGCTCAATCTCATTAAAATCAGATCTTAGTTTTCGCTACCGCTAACTTTAGCGGTAGCGAGAACTAAGATCTGATTTTAATGAGATTGAGATGGTCTAGGCAGTGAATCAGGGATGATGAGCGATCCTCAAATGAAAGTTGGTTTCGAATCGATGAAAATGCATAAGAGGCAAAATGTGTGAGAGATATGTAATCACGCACTTCCCACTATATATACCGTCTAACCAGATACTGGAGGGTTCCACCGCGCCCTGGCCAGTCCATCGGCACGAGAACACAACAGAAGTTGCCACAACATTCAATCACCGTCCGCGGAAGTCGGAAGTTCACACACCACGCTATCATCTAAATATTGTAACTTCCTAACTGCTCAGATTAACTGGCACGACATTCCTGACAACTAACCACTGCCAAAACACAATGCAATGAGCGTCTACCGAATCTCAACAGAAACAATGTAACACCGTTACAGTCATTGTTCATATAGACTGGACTACGTTTTCCGCTAGTGCTTCTTATCTATAGCAAATGTTCTCTGGGATTAATTTACCTGTGTAAGTGGGAATTATTTTGTTGTAATTATTTCAATCAGAAATATATAATTTTCAATGAATTTCAGTGATAAGATAATTTTACTTAAGATGTCTAGTGGAAAATTAGATACTAGTAGTTAATGGGAGGTTAATCAGATTTTAGCATGTAATTAATGACTCTCCTCGAGAATTCGAAACACCTTGCATTGCTCGTCATTGACTGTATTTACGTTTGTGGGATCTAACCACACTTGTATAGAGCAAGACGGCTAAAGAGATGTTGGAACACCTTGCATTGCTCGTCACTGACTGTATTTACGTGTGTGGGATCTAACCACACTTGTATAGAGCAAGACGGCTAACGAGATGTTGGAACAATGGGACCGAGATGCTTATGAGGTGAAGGAGAATGATGAGGATGATCTGTAAAGGACACCTTCGCATATGGAAAACAGCGTTGTGTCGTGTATAACAGGTGTGACGTCTCCTCCTGGCTATTCCACACAGGTGATTATAACTACGAAATGAGAAGCTCAGCCTTCCTTGGGTTACCATATATCAGTATTTTTATCAAACAAGCATTTAAAGGAAGAGAGAATATATAGATGTCAACTTTTTTTTATTATGAGGAACACGACGTTTCGGAGTATATGCTTACTCCTTCATCAGGTGAATGAATGCCATGAGGCAGAGAGCATATATATGTACATGTAAGGACAACAAAAGATCAGATAAGATAACAAACGGTGGTAAATAACAAAGGGTAGAGGCTAACAAAGGAAGCCAACAGATGATTGGCGCTGATAGGTGATTAGTAATAGACAATGGAAGCCAACACTTAAGTTATCATAGATAAGTAATGGACACAGGGGAAACGGGGGGGGGGGGGGGGGGGGGGGGGGTTATTAGCACTGCTAGGTGACAGAATCGACATTGCAAAGGGCAAACTGAAGCAAGCTAGGCAATTAGCCCCGACAAAGATCAAAGCAATAAGTCCCAGGCACTAGGCAGCATTTAAACAACAACAATTTATCCTTCCAGTTCACCATCAGATCGAAGTGTAATGACCTCATCTGGCAGGCAGGCAGGCTGGCAGGCAGTGAAATATCATAATGCATATTTTAATCAGTTACACATAGGATCACATTTCCCAAAGTAAACTATTTCTGTTATGAAATGCTGTTAGCGACAATGGGTATGACTGTTGCATAACTGTTACAAAATCTTTGAATGTCTTACTCTCACTGTTTGACTCGGTATCATAGTGAGTGAGTATGGTCGTACGCCGCTTATAGCAATATGTCAGCAGTATCACGACGGGGGACACCAGGAACTGGCTTCACACATTGTACCCATGAGGGGAATGGAACCGAGGTCTCCTGCGTGACGAGCGAACTCTCTAACCACTAGGCTACCCCACCGCTCCTCGGTAGTATTGCTTCTTGGTGGTTATGTGTTGCAGTAGGTGTAGCGTATAATTAGACGGGCGATGCTAAGGAGTGGCCTGACTAATGAGTATTGTGGCAACTGATCTAACTTGTTAAATAGTTTGTAAAGATGTGTGGACACTGCATCATTAGCCTCATTACCAGACAACAGAGGTTACAGATGATGCGTGGGTCATTCTATGGGGATGGATGACACATGAACAGTTGCAGTGGAACCAACAGGTCCTCGTCATGGTGGTGTCCGGCTTCATGAACAGCGCGGTCACCTTCGTGTATGGCACAACGTGCATGCTGTCGTATTATGCAAACACGTTCGTGTTGTATGTATTACTCAGGGGGAAGAATAATAGTATGAAGCTTTTCCTTCGGTGTATGTTAATATTAATGACGATTTCAGACCTGCTTCAGACCCTTCTCTTCATCTTTCCCATGGCATTAACCCGCCTTAAGCCGTCGGTGGTGACGCCATGGCTCTGCAACCTCGTCTCCGTCTGCCGCGTCTGCTTCAGCACAATATCAATGCTGACAATCACAATCATTGGAATAGAAAGGTAGGTGTGTATGCAGTTCAATGTTAGTTTATTGTTTGTAAAACGTGTTTATACTCGTTAAAAGTGTAGGGCACACGCGGACTTAACTTTCCAAAATTGTAAATATAAGAGAAAACTATTTCTATATCCAAAGGAAATCTCGATTTCGATTGTACGATTCCAAATATATCATGAACATGTGTTCACGATTCAATATCAAATAGTGATGATACCAGGATAATGTTTGCAGATGATATTGCTAATGTTGG